TATATCAAATGCAAGGATTATTATTATTATTATTATTATTAGCAACACCAAACCCAGGTACAGAATGTAACAAAACTAACAATTATTTTCTCAAGTCAGCTAACCTGAGGTAATTGACACTTTCAGCACTGCAAATACTGTAGCTACCATTTTTCTAGTAGCTACTGAAACAAGTTTTAATGTTTCCAATTCGGAGAAAAAATATTTACTTCCAGAAGCGCTGAAGTAGAAACTTGCCAAATATGAAATATGAACACGCCAAAGGATTTATTTGTATTACATTTCTTTTTATATTTGTGTTTAGTCTGTTTTTAATTTTATGCAAATTATGCCACATCGCTTCTGAGGACATGTGCTCTGCTCAGGGCATCTGGCAATGCCCTCTCTCGCCAGCTGCCAGGAGTGAGAGATGGCATCCAGGTGTACCCATGCCTCCTTCCTCCTCTGGTCCCAACCCACCACAACCCTACTCCATGGTGAAGTGACACAGTCATCACTTGCCACTTAATGCTGAAAACAGGTCAAATCAGGAGCAAAGCAAAACGAGAGAATAAAAGCTCTGTTCGTAGCACAAGTTGATTACAGTTTTCACTAGACTAACCTTTCAGCAGTATCCTTCGGTATTCCAGCTCTGCAAAACTACACATTCCTTGATACCTTCACTCTACCGGTGGTGGCCAAGTCTTCAGCCACAATGCACCTACCTTTGGGACTTACAAAACCATTTTGTCCTGCTATCTCGCTCATTGATTTCAAATGTATCTTAAAAACAGATCTCTTAATCCATGCCATTGGAAAACACGTTTTTTATTCCCTGCTTGCTGTAACACCACTAAATTTGTCATATGCGTTGAGGTAATCCTGTACATAAAAGAGGTCATTTAAATGTAAGGTTTCATTGCTTCATTGTTAGTGCTTGGAACTTATCTACTGTTCAAAGTCATTGATGCAGAAACACAATCCAACAGATTCATAAAGGTTGGCATTACACCAGTATGCTTGCTCTTGCATAGTACTTTCTCAGAAAGCTGCCATAAATTGGTATTTTCAGAGGATTTTTGAACATATGCCTCAAGAAAATAGAGCCATTATCTCAAAAACATATGAGTAAGGGCTTTGTATCATTCCTATTCTAACTCTTCTTCAAATTAGCAATTCCAAAACTTGCTAACCTCCTAGCCACAGAGGTAGCCAAAAACTTATAAAGATTCCATTGTAGGACTACTGTGATGGATCAGTGAGTTTGTCCGGCGAGTAGCTGAGTAGCAGGTGCCAGTTTGACACTGGTGTGTGCTGAGAAGGGAAGCTACAATTGGCCTCAGCTAGTAAGAGGAAAATCTGAAAGAGTTTCTACTCCAGATACTATCCACCATCTCCTCATATGTATACCCTGTAGTCATCGACTCAAGACAGTTAACTGCATTTGTCCTCCATACCTTCACATAACCGCACATAGCCAACTCTCAGTATAAAGGCTCACAATTGAGTTATGCAACTTAAGTGAGTCAGTGGAAGGTAACTGATGCCTGAGGACCTGTACCAGTCAAAAGAAAAATGATTGAATGCCTTCAGGAGATGACAGGAAGAAGGGAAAAAAAATCTAGATTAGACAAATTGTCCACTAGCCACATACAGTGGTAGATTTTAATTACTTGTACGCTTTAACTTTCAGTTGCGAAACATCTTGTGGTATTGTGTATTATTTCCTGTGCCAAGTTAGTGATACTGAAAGAAAAATGATATGCAAGGAAGGAGTGTGAGTAAACTTCCTGATTCCTAAATGATGAAAAATTCCAATGTTTCACTGACACAACTCTCCTCTCCCTAAAAAAAACAGGGTATTGGTGAAAACCAGTAAAAAAGAAGTATTTCAATGGTCCTTAAAATTAGAACTGGAACAGTTAGAAGCGAGATCATAAATTATAACAATAAACCTTGCATTTGATAGAGCATCTTTCATATCAGGATGTCTCGAATGCTTCACAGGATGCACTCTGAAGTGAAGTGACTGTGTAATTTTTGTAGGGAACCGCGGCACCAATTTGCGCACAGCAGTATTCCATACACAACTGTGTCACAGTGAATAACCACTTTTATGACCAGTGAAACCGGCTGTTGCACCCTACTTTTAGCATGAGTCGAGATTTTATAGATCCCAACCTCCAATTTATAATGGGACTCCACTATATCTCTTAATATCCATACACGACTGATCGTGTTTGCGAAACGCAGCAGCCAATTACGCACAGCATACACACTGCTGTGCGTAATTGGCTTCCGAGTTTCACCCATAAAATATGCAGTCACTATACTTTACAGTGTATCCTGTGAAACACATTGAGACATCTCAAAGATGTGATAAGGCACTATATCAAATTCAAGGATTATTATTATTACTTCTAAATGCCTGCCTCTTTGTCAATCTATCTTTGATTATGTACCATCAGACCTTTGTAGCAGTGCATTCCACATTTTTGCAATGCTTTGGGGGAAGAAATGTTTTATTTAGTGGATATATGGGGATAAATGAATGTTCTAGAGTTTTTTCAAATTTCCTGTAGTTTGGATAATATGGGACTGTCTCAGTTTGGAGCACTCTCACCTTGAGTGAGAAAGTGTGATTGTCAAGTTGAGATTTTGAGCTCATCTAGGCTGACCATTCCAATAGAGAGCTGGGAGCACACTGCATTACTGTCCTTTAGTGAGGATGTTAAAGCAAGTTCCCATCTGCTTGTTCAGGTGTATAATATTTTCCGTAGCGAAGGGGAAAATACTCTAAGGTAGGGGGGAACGGCACTTTGTTGGGGATAATTGTTGAGCAAAGTAATGTTTGATTGAAGAATCAGCAAGTTGTTCCAAGAGGTCCAGATATGACTTTAGAACTTGAATTCTTCCAAAAGGAATTTTAAATAACATTTCCTGGATTTGTTACGGGCTGAACCTTTGGAACCCTGAGTTGGACACTGAGCGTGAGTTCTCATTTCCCTTCTGTTGAGTTCATGTCCGAGCAGCGTGCCAGAGGTTCGCCCTGTGACACATCCGAGAGTCACCATTTATAAATCCTTTTGCGGATATCACAAATTAGATCCCACTGTGAGCAATAACTTTGATGAGAAAAGCTGACTGTCTATATTCAGTAATGCCATCTGAATGTTTTATGGTTCTAGTGTGCCATCTAGTGGGTAAATAACATTATAGATTCTACGAATCATTTCTCCAAATACAGTATTTCAGAACTGCATTATCAGTAATCATTACATCACATATTATACTAATAGTATTCCTTGCATTTGATATAGGGTGTTACAATGTCTTTTGAGACTTCTCAAATCGCTTCATATAAAATATTGTTAAGTGAATTGACTATATTTTGTGGGTGGTTGGTAGCCAATTGCGCACAGCAGTGTCCCACAAACAGTCATGGATTGAGTGACCACTTTGAGGTTATTATTCCCAGAAAAGCAGTCCGCCAATTGGCTGACAACTGGGTTCCTACTTACTGCTAGGTAAACAGAGGCGTGTGGAGTAAGGAAACTCACCCTACCCGGGAATTGAACCCAGGTTCTCTCGCTTGCAAGGCAAGTCCTCTAACCACTAAGCTACAGGACTCTGTGTATCATAGAATCCTAGAAATGTTAGCACTAAAGGAAGTCCATTATGCCCATGCAATATTAGCAGCCCATTGGAGCTATCTACTCTAATCTCATCTTCCTGCTTTACCTCTGTATCAATATCATAAAATCATAGAATTATACAGCACAGAAGGAGACTAATCGGCCCATCGTGTCTGTGCTGGCTCTTTGAAAACAATATTGTATACAAAATACAAAAATAATCAGGTAAACTCTGACCTGCTTGTGGGTGGGGGGATCTCTGACCTGTTTGTGGGTGGGGGGATCTCTGACCTGTTTGTGGGTGGGGGGATCTCTGACCTGCTTGTGGGTGGGGGGATCTCTGACCTGTTTGTGGGGGTGAAGTGAATTCTGACTGTTTGTGGGTGGGGGGATCTCTGACCAGTTTGTGGGTGGGGGGGGATGAACTCTGACCTCTCCTGATTGGTTCCCGTAAGCGCCTCCTCAGCTCAGGCGCTGACAGCATCCATGGATGCACACTCATCCTCACTGAGCCAATCCAGAACCTTGTGGTCTTGTTTGACCCCAACTATCCTTTCTACCCCACATCTGTGCCGTGACCTGCTCTGCCTTCCCCCACCTCCACAACATTTCCTGGCTCCACCACTGTCTCACACCACAGACCACCGAAACCCTCATATGCACATTCATAAGATCTCAGCTTGACTACGCAAACTCATTGCTTATCGGCCTCCCCAACTCCTCCCTCCATGGGCTGCAGATCATCCAGAACGCTGCAGCCCATGGCCTTTCCCGCACCAGGCTCCGCGACCCTATCACCCCCATCCTCGCCCGACTCCACTGGCTTCCCATCACACAGAGGATGCAGTTCAAGATCCTGGTCCTCACCTTCAAAACCTTCCATGGCTTTGCTCCCCACTACTTCTGTGACTTTCTAAACCCCCCCACCATCCATCCCGCTCCCTCCGCTCAGCGGGCTCCGGCCTGCTTCACGCCCCCCCTCCCCCCTCCCCCCCGCCTCGCTCACCCCACTATCGGCGGGCGGGCGGGCGGGCCTTCCCCCACTCTCCCCCACCCTCTGGAACTTCAACCCGCAGTCCCTCCGCCTCGTCGCCCTCCCTCTCGCCACCTTCAAGACCCATCTCAAGACGCTCCTCTTCGACCGTGCGTTCGATCACCCTCCTTTCCCCCCCCCACCCCCCGTCCTCCACCCCCACCCCCGACTACCCAACCCTCCCCCCCCTGACCCCCACCCCCAGCTCGGGTCCGTAACTCTGTCGGTCCAGTGCCTCGGGACATCCTCCTGACGTGAAAGGCGCTGGACAAGTGTGAAGTTGTTGTTGTTGTTGTCTTGTTGTTGTTGTTGTTGTTGACCTGTGTGGGGGTCAGCGATGTGGGCGGGGCCTTGTGTTGGTGACGGTGATGGGGGGGCGCGGGGAATGCTGGGAACATGGCGGACGCTGCCCAGAGGGAGAAGACGGAGCGGTTTGTGCGGGTCACGGGGGCCACGGAGGAGCGGGCGGCGCTGCACCTGCGGGCGGCCGAGTGGGACGTGCAGGTGAGGCTTTGTGGCCGCTCCGGCCCCGCGGGGTGACTCCGGCCCGCGGGGAGACTCCGGCCCGCGGGGTGACTCCGGCCCGCGGGGTGACTCCGGCCCGCGGGGTGACTCCGGCCTCGGCAGAGGCTCTCACTGCGGGGAGAGGGAGAGGCACAAACAGCGGAGAGCAGTTATTGCCCGAAGCCACTGACACCCACTGACACCCACTGACTCCAACTGACACCCACTGACACCCACTGACACCCAGTGATACCCAGTGACACCCACTGACTCCCACTGACACCCAGTGACACCCACTGACTCACCCACTGACACCCAGTGACACCCACTGACTCCCAGTGACGCCCAGTGACACCCACCGACTCCCAGTGACACCCACTGACATCCAGTGACTCCCACTGACACCCACTGACACCCACTGACTCCCAGTGACACCCAGTGACTCCCACTGACACCCACTGACTCCCAGTGACACCCAGTGACACCCACTGACTCCCAGTGACACCCACTGATTCCCAGTGACACCCACTGACTCCCACTAACACCCACTGACTCCCAGTGACACCCACTGACTCCCACTGACACCCACTTACTGCCACTGACACCCACTGACTCCCACTGACACCCACTGACACCCACTGACTCCCAGTGACACCCACTGACACCCACTGACTCCCAGTGACACCCACCGACTCCCAGTGACACCCACCGACTCCCAGTGACACCCACCGACTCCCAGTGACACCCACTGACATCCAGTGACTCCCAGTGACACCCACTAACTCCCAGTGACACCCACTGACACCGACTGACTCCCAGTGACTCCCAGTGACACCCACCGACTCCCAGTGACACCCACCGACTCCCAGTGACACCCACCGACTCCCAGTGACACCCACCGACTCCCAGTGACACCCACCAACTCCCAGTGACACCCACCGACTCCCAGTGACACCCACCGACTCCCAGTGACACCCAATTACTCAGACACCTTGTAATCCCAGCCTCCTATTGGCACCCAGTGATTCTCAGTGACCCCCAGTGATTCTCAGTGACACCCCCAGTGATTCCCAGTGACCCCCCAGTGATTCTCAGTGACCCCCAGTGATTCTCAGGGATACCCAATGACACACCATGGCACCCAGTGACACCAGTGATTTGGACACCTAGTAATCCCAGCCTCCCTTTGGCACCCACTGACTCCCAGTGACACCCACTGACGCCCAGTGAATCCCAGTGACACCCACTAACTCTCAGTGACACCCACTGACTCTCAGTGACACCCACTGACTCTCAGTGACACCCACTGACTCTCAGTGACACCCACTGACTCTCAGTGACACCCACTGACTCTCAGTGACACCCACTGACTCCCAGTGAATCCCAGTGACTCGGACACCTTGTAATCCCAGTGACTCCCACTGACACCCAATTACTCAGACACCTCGTAATCCCAGCCTCCTATTGGTGCCCAGTGACCCCCAGTGATTCCCAGTGACCCCCCCCCAGTGATTCTCAGTGACCCCCAGTGATTCTCAGGGATACCCAATGACACACCATGGCTCCCAGTGACACCAGTGATTTGGACACCTAGTAATCCCAGCCTCCCATCAGCACCCAGTGATTCCCAGTGACTCCCAGTGACACCCACTGACTCCCAGTGACAGCCACTGACTCCCTGTGACACCCAGTGACTCGGACACCTAGTAATTCCCAGGGACACCCAGTGATTCCCTGGGACTCCCAGTGACACCCAATTACTCAGACACCTTGTAATCCCAGCCTCCTATTGGCACCCAGTGATTTCCAGTGACCCCCAGTGATTCCCAGTGACCCCCAGTGATTCTCAGTGACCCCCTAGTGATTCTCAGTGACCCCCAGTGATTCTCAGGGATACCCAATGACACACCATGGCACCCAGTGACACCAGTGATTTGGACACCTAGTTATCCCAGCCTCCCTTTGGCACCCACTGACTCCCAGTGACACCCACTGACCCCCAGTGATTCCCAGTGACCCCCGGTGATTCTCAGTGACCCCCAGTGATTCTCAGTGACCCCCCAGTGATTCTCAGTGACCCCCAGTGATTCTCAGGGATACCCAATGACACACCATGGCACCCAGTGACACCAGTGATTTGGACACCTAGTAATCCCAGCCTCCCATTGGCACCCAGTGACTCCCAGTGACCTCCAGTAATTATCAGTGACCCTCAATGACACCCAGGGACACCCAGTGATTCCCAGGGACACCCAGTGATTCTCAGTGACTCCCAGTGATTCTCAGGGATATCCAATGACACACCATGGCACCCAGTGACTCCCAGTGACACCAGTGATTTGGACACCTAGTAATCCCAGCCTCCCATTGGCACCCATTGACTTCCAATGACACCCACTGACTCCCAGTGACACCCAGTGACACTCACTGACTCCCAGTGACACCCACTGACTCCCTGTGACACCCAGTGACTCGGACACCTAGTAATCCCAGTGACTCCCAGTACCACGCAATTACTCAGACACCTTGTAATCCCAGCCTCGTATTGGTACCCAGTGATTGCCAGTGACCCCCAGTGATTCTCAGGGATACCCAATGACACACCATGGCTCCCAGTGACACCCGTGATTTGGACACCTAGTAATCCCAGCCTCCCATTGGCACCCAGTGATTCCCAGTGACCCCCAGTGATTCTCAGGGATACGCAATGACACACCATGGCCCCCACTGTCTCCCAGTGACACCCACTGTCTCCCAGTGACACCCACTGACTCCCAGTGACACCCAATTACTCAGACACCTCGTAATCCCAGCCTCCTATTGGCACCCAGTGATTCTCAGTGACCCCCAGTGATTCTCAGTGACCCCCCCAGTGATTCTCAGTGACCCCCCAGTGATTCTCAGTGACCCCCCAGTGATTCTCAGTGACCCCCCAGTGATTCTCAGTGACCCCCAGTGATTCCCAGTGACCCCAAGTGATTCTCAGTGACCCCCAGTGATTCCCAGTGACCCCCAGTGATTCCCAGTGACCCCCCAGTGATTCCCAGTGACCCCCCAGTGATTCTCAGTGACCCCCCAGTGATTCTCAGTGACCCCCAGTGATTCTCAGAGATACCCAATGACACACCATGAATCTCAGTGACACCAGTGATTCGGACACCTCGTAATCCCAGCCTCTCATTGGCATCCAGTGATTCACAGTGACTCCCAGTGACCTCCAGTGATTTCCAGTGACACTCAGTGATGCCCAGTGATTCCCAGGGACACCCAGTGATTCCCAGGGACACCCAGTGATTCCCTGGGACTCCCAGTGACATCCAGTGACTACCAGTGACATCTAGTGACTCCCAGTGACATCCAGTGACTCCTAGTGACATCCAGTGAGTTCCAGTGACACCTAGTGGCACCCAGTGATTCCCAGTGACTTGGACACTCAGTAATCCCAGCCTCCCATTGGCACCTGGGACACCAAATAATCCCAGTGAAACCTGATGATACCCGTAACACCAAATGATCCCAGCAACTCCCATTGCACCTATTGATACCTAGTAATCCCAATAACACCCAGTGATCCCAGTGACACCTTACTTATCTCAGTGGCACCCAATGATCCCTGTCACTGGGTCTCACTGGGATCACTAGATCTCAGTGGGATCAACAATCCCCAGATCAAATTGATCATACACTTTATAGTTGTTTGTGGGACATTGTTCTACGTCCCATAAACAACTCTGTAAATTGGACACCGTATTTGCTGCAAAAATACACAGTCACTGCACGTTGAAGTAAAGTGTCTTCAGGTGTCTTGAAGACATGAAATGAAACGGACGATATTAAATGCAAGGATTATTATTTTATTTTAAAAGAATCCAATGCACAATTACCTGGACAATTGGGCAGGCAGTTGACTTACAGTGATACTTCTGTCTGTTGCTCTGTGATTAAGTATAACAACAACTTGCATTTATATAGCAGCTTTCATGCAGGACAGTGTCTCTGAGCGCTTCACAATGACGGAGCTTGACACCAGCTGGGAGAAAGGGGAGGTAGTCAGAGGCACAGTCAAAGAGAAGGGTCTTCAGTTACCATCTGAAGACTGGCAATGAGGGGGAAGGTGGAGCAATTGAGGGGGGAGATCCAGAGTTTCGGAGCATAGTGGCCGCCAATGGTGGAAAAGAGGGGACGAGGGATATACAGGAGCGAAGTCAGTTCATTCTGCAATAGGGATCCAGTGGAGCCTGGCAAGCAATGGGGTGACGAGGGTGCAGATTTGGTACTGCAGAGGATATGGGGGGGGGGTGGAGTTTTGAATCAGTTGGATTTTGAGAATGTTGGAGCTTGGGAGATCCCATGGCACTATTTGAAAAGAGAAAGGAATTTCTCCTGGAGTTGTAGCTAACAATTCTCCAAAAATAAAAATGATCATGACTGTTGTGGGACGTTGCTGTGTGCAGATTGGCTGCAGCATTTGCCCACAAAACTGAGTCAGTATACTTTACATTATATCCTGTGAAGGGTTTGAGACATCTTCCCAATATGAAAGGCACTATACTAAATCTGAGAATTATTATTATTAATAATGATTTTGCCTTCTTTTCACTTAGCTAGCTCTGGCTAGTTTTTATAAGGATGAGCGTGACCATCAGCCGATTCAGCAAGAAGCGCCAGTGTTTAGTAATGCTACTAATTTCAAACCTGCAGTTAATAGGTAAGAAATAAAACTATCAAAATACCATTTGAGGTCTTAGCTTTCTCTAAAAATGTTGCTTGTAAAATTCAGTTGAGTGACTTCCAGGTTTAGCCTTACAAAACTTAAGTAATTGAATTCTTCAATGTAATTTATTTTCTGTGATGAAATCTGTTTTTAACTAGTTTTGAATGTTTAGATAAGCCTGGGATGTTAACCTATGAACCACACAAGTTTCTCATTATCATTTTGAATATAGGTTGTTCATCTAGAAATGACTATTTTTGAAAGGTCCATCCGTTGACTTTGCTTGTACGATGATTGATATTGCTGTTTGGAAAGGTGTTTGTGATAGATATCATTTCTGTGGGGGAAGCTCCCTTTTCATAGTAATTCAGGTATAAGTAATTAAAGCTTTAGTGGACATTCCAAGAGCTGGTATTTGTACTATAGAAGACTGGGAAGGCGTTCATGTATTTTTGACCTGTTAAAATCTTGATTCGATTTTATTCATTTAGAATATTACGTAGAACTAGCAAAGTTACTGAAAATCGTGGGCAAGGTTGAAATCTGATCTGATTGTTTTCCTGCATCTTTTGTGAAGTGATGTGAAGGCTTTGAGTTTCTTACAAGGATATAATCTTAATACAGTAAAAGTCAATTTGTTTCAGTACTCTCAGCCATGGAAATTATTTAGAATTTTCCTCCTTGTTAGTCAGTAATGGTTTTCATTCCTCCTCCACCGCCTCTCCTCCCTCATCCACCTCAGTGGGATCGCACTCGCATGGTTTGAGTCCGACTTAACCAACCGCCTCCGTTTCATCTTGGCAAATGATTTCTCCTCCCGCCACCCCGGTTACCTGCAGGGTACCCCGGGGCTCCATCCTCGGCCCTATTCTTTTCCTTATCTGTATGCTCCCTCTGGCCGATGTCATCCGCATGTACGAGGATGATACACAAATCTACTTTGCCTCCTCCAGTAATAACTCTAGGTGCGCTGATGTTCTATCAGCTTGTCTAGCAGACATCAGGGCCTGGATGAGTGCAAACTTCCTGCAGCTGAAGGTGGACACGACAGAAGCCATACTCCTTGGCACCCATCAGCGTCTTCACTCCTGCGGATCTGAAATCCTGAACTTCCCTAGGCTCTCCCTCATACTCACCGAACCAGTCCGCAATCTAGGCGTCCGGTTCAACCCCCACCTGTCCTTCCACCCCCATATCTGGTCCCTAACCAGGACCATCTTCTTCCACATTGCCCGCCTCCGATTGTACTTTACCCCAAATGCAGCTGAAACCCTCGTGTATGCATTTGTCACCTTCTGCTTGGATTACTCAAATGCACTCCTCGCTGGTCTCCCCAGCTCCACTATTCAAAAATTCCAGCTCATTCAGAATGCTGCTGCCTGCATACTGACCCGGACCAACTCCGTACCCACATCTCACCATTCTGGCCAGGCTCCACCAGCTCCCCATCACCGAACGGATTGCCTTCAAGATCCTCACGTGTTCAAATCCATTCACTCTCTGGCACCTCCCTACCTCTCTGACCTTCTCACTCCCCAGTCCACCACCCAGCGCCTCCGCTCGACTGGCATTGGCCTCTTGCTCGTCCCTCACACCCTCCGCTCCACCATCGGAGGTTGCGCTTTCAGCCACTACGCCCTGAAACTCTGGAACACTCTTCGTCAATCCCTCTGCCTAGCCCCCTCTCTCCCCATTTCAAGTCCCGCCTGAAAACCTTCCTCTCCCCTTTCCCCCACGCCCCGGAGTCAGGCTCCGCCACTGTTAAGCGCGCTGAGATTCTACCCTGCATGGAGGGCGCTATATAAGTGAATGTTGTTGTTTTCCTAATCTCTTTCATTTAATTGCTCAATTACAGCAAAAGTTTGACATTGGCAATACTGGGAGTTGTTAATGTTACAAAATGTGAATAATGCTATGAAACATTGTAGTTTGTTAGTAGTTAAAGCAGAGTTCTGTTTGTAAAAATACAATAAAGTATGGACCAAAGAATTAAGTTCATTGTTTTTTAGGCATTTTCTGCCAATAACTATCTTCTATGTCCTTGATATGTTATGTTAAGAGAAAGTCATTGCCTTGTGATATTAATCACTCGTAATATATACTCATAGCATTCCTGCTATTTTAAGCAGCTATTGATTTTCACTTGCTAACCTTGAGCCTAAATCAGATTCTTCATTACAAATCAGCCAGATAAAGCAATGATACCACCATCAATCAAACAGAAATTGAAATAAAATTGCTTCCAGGAGATCTGAAGTGTATCATCGAGGTTTCAGATAATGGTTACAATCTGTTCAGGTTTCGCTTTTATTAAAGATCTCAGATGAAATCATGCAGTTCCCTACTAAGAGAATACAAGGGTTAGCACTGCACCCCTTCTGAGTTACAGGTAGCAGTGAAATTGGATTCAGAGACTTGCAAAAGTAGCCTCTGCATAGGCCCTTGTAAAGAGAGCATGTATTGAACTAGGCATAGGAATGGTATAAACAAATTGAACATAAGAATTAGGAGCATTTGGCCCCTCTAGCCTGTCCCGCCATTCAATAAGATCATGGCTGATCTATTCTAACGCCACCTACCTGCCTTATCCCCATATCCCTTAATCCCTTTATCCACAATTAAAACCTTAGGCTCCAGCACTATGTGAAAACCACTAGGGGGCAAAACCAAGCTTTACCCATTTGTATGGTTCCCCAAAGCTTTAGTGTCAGTGTGGACCAGAATCTTACAATTTAAAGTGTGAAGAAGATCCTACACATTCTTTTCATCTTTGTCAGTTGTATTGTTGCCACCATAGAGCTTTTAGGTTTTCAGTTTTACTCAAAAATGTGCATTGTCCAGTAAAAGTTTCAGAATTGCTGTTATTCAGAAACATTCACTCATGCTTTATGTAGCGGCAACGACTGAATAAAATGAAGCATGTAAAGAAATATAAATTAGTGAAATTTGCTGTAAAATATTGACTGGACATTATTTTCTGTATATTTCCAGGTATTTATTAAGAGTGCATTTCGAATGGCTAATTTTGATGTGGATGATTTTAATATCCAAGTTGGATGATGATTAAAAAGAACGCTTGATAAATCTGCTCTTTACCCTTGAGGTTCACATATTCATTTTTAACTTTAGGATGTCCATCCCATTACATTTCCATATGTATTCTAATTTTCTGTGTTGAGTCTTTGAGGAAATGACTAACATTGGCACAATGCTAAAATGACACAAGTGAGAAAGCAAATAATGAAGAATTGGTTCATTGCCAGGGTTTTATTCACTAATGAGTTGAATAATATATCCCTAATAGCTTTTAATATCAATTGAATTTCTTATAAAACCAACATTTTAATACAGTATTTCAATTATACTACAAGGTACCTTTATGCATCCATTTTTACCACTAATTGCTGAATAACCACCATAATACTTGTTGTCCCCCTCATCTCATTTAAGGTCCATCTCAACAAAACAACAATTTGCATTTATATAGCGCACTTTACACGGGGCAGTGTCCTGGAGCACTTCACAATGGCGGAGTCTGACAACGAGCCGGGGGAGAGGGAAGGGGGAGGTGACCGTAAGCACAATCAAAAGAGAAGATCTTTAGGCTGGATTTGAAGGTGGGAAGGGAGGGGTCAAGGCTCTTTGACCGAGCTTTCGGGTCATCTTTCCTTTCCACATCCGCTCTGTTCCCGTGACATGAAAAACACTATATAAATATTGTATTGTACTGATTTGCTGCAGAAGATATGCTCACGGTACAAAAATGAGATGAACTGTACATTGAGCCGTACAGTTTTCAATAGTGTTTTAAAGAAATCCTGAATGGAAAATCTTTTTCTTAGTGATGTAAGGAATAAGATACTGTATTATGAGCAATATATTTTACTCTTCCAGCGGTAATCATTCAAAAATAGCGTCCATGAATGACCTCAAGAAGAATGAACAAAGTAAAAGTGACGGTGAAGAGGGGCAAAGGTAAAATTTACTTTATTTCAGTATATGGATAACTCCCGCTGCTCACTGGGCTCCGGCCTGCTTCATGTCCCCCGTCCCACCATTGGCAGACGGATCTTCAGCCTTTCTTCCCCCACAATTTGGAACTCCATCCCACAGCCCCTTCACCTCGCCCCCTCCCTTGCTTCCTTCAAGGCCCGTCTCAAGAACCTCCTCTTCAACCGCACCTTCAGTCACCCTTCTATCCCGACCCTCCCTGCTATTCACCCCTCCTGATCCCATCCCCCAGTTCAGGTCCAAATCCCTAACTCTCCAGCACCTGGGGACGTCCTTCCGATGTTTATGTAAACGTAATTTGTTGTTGTTGTTGTCATCCTTATGGGTTATTTAATTTAACTCCATCTCATTCTTGCTTGTGAAACAATGCTGGTACAAATTGGCTTCTGCATTTGCTTACACAACACCTTTCCGTATTAAATTCAAGTTTATTTTCAGATCATCTCTTTCTTTGGATTGATTTGGTTCCTTCTGCTTTGTAAGTCACATAGTCACATAAGTTTCTTCCCTTTTGTTGCTAGGACAATGTAATAGTTGTACTGGCTCATATTCTCCTCATCCCAAATCATGTCAGAATAGACCCACGTGTAATTTGCATGAGACCCAGATCACCATGCTCTGGGCAAGGATGTGCAGACAGTTTCCAGAAACAGGCTAAATTGAACGTGACAATACTGAGAGGAGAGTAAGGATTTATCAGTTTACATATAGAAGAGATCTTGGGTTTCAACCAAACTCTTACCAGTCAACATAACATACCAGGGGTGCCCAACAGGAGATGCAAAGTCCCCAGATGCTTTGTATCTGTGCAAAGTACCATTTGTGCTGCAATTTTGCCATTTATTCTGCTTTTTAATCCCCATTGGGTACTTTCTAGTCTCATGGAACCAAATCTCCCCTCAGATTTTATGCAGGTGGCTCTGAGCACAGTGGCCAGCAGATAGTAGGGCCCCCGAAGAAAAGAAATCCAAATGAAATTGTGGAAGAGCTTTTTAAAGAAGCTGAAGAGCATGGGGCAGTTCCTGTGGATCATTGGGCGGCAGAGTCCAGTCGTGCGATGGTAAGATCATGTCTAGTGCACTGCAAAATGCAATAGTGCTAACATTTGTTCCAAAAGATACTGATGCCGGCTATTTTGTTATTTGTTACATAGGAAAGGAGCATGTAGCAATAATGAACACTGGTCATTCACCAGGAATTTGAGAATATTCTTACAATATTGGGGTCTAATAAGCATGCAGTATTGGCAAACTTGATGTGTTTTGTGAAATTCATGGTACATAAATTGCAAAATCAATTCGCCAAAAAAAGGACCGTCAAGCAAAACTAGTAGAAAACGTTGTTCTCCCCTTCTCCAAAGAGAGCAAACACAGCTTCCTTCATGTTTTCTAACTTAAACCTTGTATATATATATATGGCTCCTCGCCTCTCCAGGGCAGTAATTTAAGATTGGGTGACATTTTGCTTAGAGCTCAGCTTGATTCAACATTAAAATACCTTGCTTCTCAACTTAACATCAGAACATAAGAATTTGCTAGGTGAATTAAAACCAAGGACCATCTAGTTCGCCTTCCACCATCCTGGCAATCGCTTGACATTTCATGTCACAAATTATATACTGTATCCCGAGATATTATTTTCCAGCACAAATCTATCCAATTTTTTTCTTGAAACAAGCAACATTTTCTGCTTCCACTGTCTTCCTAGGGAGCCTGTTGCATAAGTTTACTACTCGCTCACTGAAGTAATGTTTCCGCAGATTTGTTCTGAATTTACCCCCCTTCAATTGCAGGCTACTGTTCACACACCCGAGGAACCCAACTTGTGGTCTCTTTCTAACCTGGGAAGTTCACCCATTTGTAGTTACCTTCTATTTGCTGTTTGCAGTCCAATTTTCTATCCAGGTGTTGTATAATAAACCCCTTCTTATATTAGCTATTAATTACCATTGAGAAATCTTGTCAATGGTTTTCTGAAAAACAAGTGTTTATAATGTTTTAGGATGAAAGAGTAATTTCTCATGTTGAATTCACCCGATTACACGTAGAACCAACAAAATTTACAACATAGAAGAAGGCCATTCGGTCCATCGTGTCTGTGCTGACATTTTTAAGTACAATCCTTTCAGTCCCATTTGCCTGCCCTTTCTCTATACCCCTGTACCCTATAATTTATTCATTTTTAAGTATTTATCTACTTCCTTTTTGAAAGCTAATATACTAATCGTGCTTTCAGTCACTATGCCCAGAAACACTGGAACACTATTCCTCAATCCCTCCACCTTGCCCTCTATTTCCCCTTTTTCAAGTCCTGCTTGAAAACCTTCGTCTTTGACCGTGCTTACCTCCACTCCCCTCCCGGTTCTGAGTCAGGCTCCGCCACTGTTAAGCGCTCTGAGACACTACCCTGCGTGGAGGAAACTATACAAGTGGAAGTAATATTTTGCCTTATTTTTGTCATGAGTAATGAGCGAGTGTGCTCCACATTGGACCTCATCTTATAAAGGATATTATTGCCCTTGAGAGGTACTATACAAATGTAATTTTGTATTGCATTTTGTATTATACAAGGGAAGAGTTTACAATAAGCAGTATGCAACTGATATGAACGGTTATAAGATTTATAACCCCATCGCCGGTATAAAACGAGCAATCTGAGAGATATGTTGGCATTTTGTGTGAGGGTTCCGTTTTAAAATGAATTGATTTATTTTGTAGCCATTTTCTGGTGGTGGGTACCGACTTGGAGCATCATTACAAGAACATTCTACATTCCTTTCAGAAGATAAAAGGCGAGATTCTGTGCAGGATGTAAGTTGTGAGAACTAAAGGCTAAAATGAGCAAAAAATTAGCTCATCAGAAAGGTCATCAATCACAACCTGTTGTTTTCCATTTGTTTCTATTCCTATGTCTACGTGTCTTAAAGATTTATGATGAGCCTTTTGTTTGAAACTTGTGTCTGTGGTTTTTGTTTTCTACAATTCAGCAATCTGTCTGCAACCGCTGTTTCAATCATTGAGAAATATTATATTTCTTGTGCTCCACCTTTCCAAGTATCATGTTCAGTGTATCTCCCTTTAGGGGCATTCCCACCAAGTGATACCATTGACATCATTTCACTTGTGCCAGGCATCATGATGGGCAATAGCAAAAATGACTATCAGAACCACGATCTGATTTCCCACTAAATGGCCTGATGTATTCTTCTTGTTGAAAACAGTTCCAACTGTTCTGTTCTGAGGTAGCCATTAGGTAATATGCAGGACTGGCTGTAGGATAAATGTCACTATTTTATTGTTGCTTCATCACCCTCCTTTCTCCTTGGGGTAAGTGATTTCCTGACCCAATCTCCGCAGCCCTTGCAGCTGCTATTAAGAAGTTGTAAGTGTGGGTTAATCGCAAGTGTAAAATCTATGCCGCGTTGCTTTTGTTCAACCTCTATCATACAGCATTTCCTTGTCATTCGCATTGTGTCATTCCCATCGTCACTACTTTGAGATTTCACTAATTAATTCATGAGCATTTTGTTATGATATAACTTCTATTGATGTTATTGTAAGTGTTATTTTCAGTTTCTTTGGACTTTGTGACCTTGTGATCAATTATTTTTATTCTCCTGTCCTACAGCTAGTGACTCCAACTGGGGAGCAGGATTGCTTTTTAATGTGATTTCCAAAACCATTTGTGCAGCCATCGATCGATCCTCTTAGAATCATAAGAGGAGTAGAAGAGAAAAGAAATCTAGGAATTCCATAAATCTCTAAAAGTAGCAACACAGGTAGATAAGGCTATAAAAAACACCAGTAGTGCATTGTGTCAATTTCTGTGAACATTACAAGAAGAATATAGCAACGATTGAAAGAGTACAGCATAGATTTACAAGGATGGTACCAGAGTTGGCAGGTTACTGCTGTCATGATAGACTGGATAGGTTAGGCCTTTTCCACTAGAGAGGAGACATTTAAATGGGAACCAAATAGAAGTATTCAAAATTATAAACAATTACCATAAATAAACTGTTCCCACTTTTGGGGACCTCCGTAACCAGGGTACACGAGTGTAAGATTATGACTGGGAGATCTAAAAAGAAAAGTTACTGGGAGCAACACTAGTAGATGGTAGTGAGAATATGGAACTTGATCCCCAAAGCAGTGGTTCAGTAGGATAGTATTGATGGATTTAAGGGGAAACTAGATAAATGCATAACAACAGTAATAATGATAATAGGCATTTGATAAAGCACTTTTCATGCTGGGAGCATATCCCAAAGCACTTCACAGGATATAGCGTATAGTGCAGTGACTGTGTGTTTTATGGGTAAATGAGGGAGCAGGAAATGAAGGGGTATGGAGGGAGTAAGGAGTTGCCGGAAATTTGTGTGGAGTTTAAAGGCTGGCACAGACTATTTGGGCAAATTCTGTGTAAACCTGTGTAAACCATTTAATCTATCGCAGTGTTGCAAGAGTTGCTCCTCTTCTGGTTCTATAAATGGAGAATTTTGGTCATTACAAAGATTTCTCCAGTGTTTGCCTTGTGAGCGATATGTTGGTGAGTGAGCTGTGTAGGACTCTGCTACACTTTGCTAAAATCTGGCCGCACCCACCAGGGATGTCACCATTGTTCATTGTTTTGAACAAATGCATTTTGCTTTTCTTCATTTTCTTCCTCGATTTTAATTTCACATGTTTGTGGGATGGTCCTGGTGCAACTAACTGCTGCTTTTACCTTCACAACGATCTATATTATGTATAATCATGTTATTGATTTTCAGATAATAATCCATTCTTTGATCATTTTAGCTTCTGTCTGCCTTATGATTCCGGTAGACGTTAGAGGGCGAGCCTACCACTGCTATTTCAGAGAAATGTGGAGCAAGGAGTCTTTCTCCTGGTTATCCTGGTTTATTTTTTCACTTTTAATCCAAATTTATCCCCAATTCCAATTAATTGGCTGCTTATCTCCTTATTATTCATTTGACATTACTGTTGGAGATTGGCTTCCTAAGCAATTATATTTTGGATATCACTTTGAGATGTCTTTGCATGAAATGTCGTATATAAAAGCAAGTTATAATTATTTAAATGTTAAACCATAGAAATGAGGGGTGTGGTGGGGAGAGAGAGAGAGACATGAAAATCGAGGTTGAAGTTATTTTATTTCTGTTTCTCTTTATAAAGTTCTGAATGTGTGATTTCCTCAGTTGTATTTAATATAATGTTAGGAATATTTTTTCTGTGTTTTTTGTGTGAAACTAAATATCAATACTGTACTTTTTATATTTAGGTTCAAATTTTACTGAAGCTCTGGAAAAATGGCTTTAGTTTGGATGATGGAGAGCTTCGGACCTACAATGACCCTGCAAACTCTCGGTTTTTAGAATCCGTCGGCAGAGGGTAAGATCCTGATAGCACAGCAGCTCTGATGCTCAAAATTAGAAAAATATAATTTGAAATATTTGAGTGCCTTTGCAGTTCATTGCAGCACATTAATGCACATTAGTCCCCCCGAGAGACTAGAATTCAGGCCAAAAGCAGATTAAATCTCAGAGCTATCCTCTAAGGTGAAACTTGATTACTGGGTTCAGTTACCAGATTAATGTGACACATCTTGCTGTGCTTAATTTGAAGGAAAAACAGCTTCTTACCTCAGTGTGCTATTTGCTTGCCAGATGCAGGAGGTAGTGCATATTTTGAGTACTTTTTAAGCTCCTACTTAGATTCTTGACAGTATTGACTTCTTGATGTTAATTCACTATGTAAGCTTTACTCTGCCTAAGGCTCTGGCTTTAACATCAATTGTACTCCATTTTGTACAAAAAAAGCAGCATTTCTTCAAAATGAAAAGTCATCTTTTATGTATGTAGTATGTAGTGGAGGTTTGTTTTCTGAATCATCAATGGGAGTTCATCAATGGTTGGTATACTGATATATTTTGCCTCATTGGATTACAAAGAGGATGACCAGACAATTTATTATTCTTTTCCTTCCCCCCTCCCTGAAGACATGCTTATAAGATGGAACACATGTTTGAATTCTCTCTGGGCATGGGGTTTGAAGTTTTGCTTTCTTTCATCTTGCAGGAAATCTGTCGTTCACATATAGATTTGGTAGAGAAATTACTTCATAGACATTTCTTTGCAATGTGTACTAAAAATATAATTTCGCTATAACCTAAGTTAATTGTACATAAAAACTACCTGTAGAGGAAATCCCATGGGTGTTTTCTGGGCCACTAGTGAGCACTAGATTCATTTGAAGCAGATTTTTTAAAAAAATGTTCATCACGCTCATTCAAATCTCCAATTTCATTGCTGTTTGTTCTCTCTAGAGAAATTCCCCTTGAGCTGCAAAGACTGGTACATGGAGGCCAAGTAAGTTTGGATATGGAGGATCACAGACGTGAAGAATATTTAAGGCACAAATTAAAGTTCAAGCCATTTTCTGGAGAGGGACAGAAGCTGGGAAGGTAGGGGGCATTTTATTTGGTGTGTCATTAGGCCAAGTAATCTTCGACTGGTCAGTATTATGTCATTGAAAATATTTTACTTGGGAGGTGAAAGACCTCCGAGATGGAGATCCAGAGAACAGAGGCAGCAGATTGGCTGAAAGATCACCAGAAATGTACCAGGCATCTGATCTAGCACATGTCTACAATATACACAGGCTACAAGTAGATCAATACTAAACTGAATTCAGTTATAATGGGGTTGCCATGTGAGGTTTAATGGAGTTTTTAATTTGTAAGATATACACTAGGGGCTGATTTGTGATAATTCTAGCTGTAACTTCCTTTTAGTGAATATCGGATTGTTCAATTTGCGATTTTGCAAATTGACTTGATTGCAATTTCTGCAAGTGTTTATTTCAGGGGATGGTGCTTCCTTTGACACTAATTTGCTACAAGTGTTTTTTTCTTTCTTCCTGTAGTCCTACTCCAACCATTGTCAGTACTCCATCTTCTCCTGAAGAGGAATTCAAGCATTTTGTTAATGTTATGAGCATCGATGACTCTGTGCCAACAACCAACATCCAGATCCGACTGGCAGATGGGAGCCGCGTGGTACAGAAATTCAATCAAAGTCACAGGTAAGGACTAATACAAGCCTCCGGTTAGACTTGCTACAGTTCCCCTTCCCTACCGTTCATTACATCAATAACACAATAACTTCATGTAGGATAGTGTCTCAGAAAGCTGCATAACTGCAGGGTTAGATGCTGCAGTTGAAGAAGTTGGTCTTAACTAGAGATTTGAAGATAAAGAGGAGGGAAGACGGAGGGATTGAGGCAGGGAGTTCCAGAGGTTCTGGTGTAATGGCTGAAGGCATGATAACCAATGGTGGATAATGGGGTTCGGGTACGTGCAGGTGAGTGAAGGGGCAGGCAGAGGAGTGCGGTACAAGTGGGTCAGAGGTAACGAGGTGGTCGGGCGTGAAGGGATTTGTTTGTGAAGGTGAGGATCTTGAGGTCAATCCGAATCCACCTTTTCTTTAAGCGCTCTGGGACGCTACCCTGTATGACGGGCGCTATATAAATGCAAGTTGTTGTTTGCGGATTCATTATGCACCCTTCACACAATAATAGCACTTGTAAGAAATTTGTAGAAAAACAAAACAATCTTTGTTCAAATTGCACCCAGGACATAAGGTATTAAATGCAAGGATAATTATTATTATAGATGAATATCCTACACGAAAACTATCAAGTTTCAGTTCTTTTTTCTTTGTGAATCCCAAGCAAGGGTTCTGAGATTGTCACAACCTATTCTTTTAATTACAGGATTCATGATATTCGTCAGTTTATAGTTCAGCATTATCCTGTCTTTGCGGCCTCCTCCTTTCTGTTGATGACAACTTTCCCAAATAAAGAGCTGACAGATGAAGACCAGACTCTGCAAGAAGCCAAGCTACTCAACGCAGTGATTGTTCAGCGCCTGAAGTAGTTATCTTCAACTTAACAGAGCCACACCGACAAAATGAGCCTTGTGATATTTGTTTCTCGGTGTATTGAGGCGCAGTTGTGTGCCAGGACTGTGGTAACACTGCCAAGGCACTCGCATCAGAATGCTCTATTGAGCACTGAAAAGAAAGCCACTGTTGACCTTTAATTGGTTGCTTTTTGACTCTCCTATCGAAGGCCTGTGGGAACTGTTCCCACTGTATGTTCATTGTCAATAGCTACTCATTCATATTGTGAATAGATGTAAAGTTTACTATAATCTGAATTGAAATAAGCAGCCATCGTTTGATCTTAGCAATTTGATTCAATTTATCACTACTATGGGCTAGAATCACTGCAATAATGTTTACTTATTTGCGACTTATTATTGGCGAGGTGGAAGGCACAAAGTTGTAAGGGGCCGACAACGAAGTCCAATTTTGCGATTTTTGCAACAGATGGGAAGGGCTTATTGCATCTTCAGTTTGCAACGTCTGAAAACTCTCTACTTTGTGATATTCACAAAACAGCAATTTGCAATTTCCGAAAGCTACCACAGTACAAATGAAAACTCTAGACAGATAGCATTTCAGGCGTCAGCACTTTCTTAAAAGCTCGGTGGTTTCGGAAATCACAATTAGCTGTTTTTCCAGTAATACAAATTAAACCCTAATGTTTTCTTATTTATGCATGATAATTATTACCTAGATCAAGATTTCATACTACTGACGTTTTATGAGAGAAGTAAAAATTAATTTATATGTACCTTCACAATCATGGAATAAAACAATTCTCAAAGTGAAATAACGGTGTGATAAGTGTTTTGCGCTCATATTTAGCTGTAAATTCCCCTGTCAGAAACACTACATTGCTGTGTGTTATTAAAATGGCCAGCCAGTCACCAGCTACTATCAGCTAGTTCACCTGTGAGGTTAGTTTGAGATACAGAGGTAGTCATTTCATAGTGAAACTCACATCAGCATTGCTTCAATACAGCATTGGAGTGCTTGCTGCAGGTTTGCTTTCCACAATAAGATTTAAAGGAAAAAGTTAAATATTTATCCCTTGCACCATTTCTCATCTCTCATTTTTCTCCAAATGGTGTGTTGACACAATATACCCCGGCCAACTCCCCAGAGTCTATTCCTCCTCTTCAGCACAGTGGATTAGGTCATTATACCAGAACTGTTCACCTTCCCTAAAAAGAATGCATCTGTACCCTCTGAGCTTGTGACAATGTATAATCTCAATTTAGATTTGAGAAGTGAACAAATTTAGAAAAAGGAAATTACTGTTTGCTTCATCAAGTCCATAGCATTACTCACCACCACCTTCCATTGCCATATCCTTTCATATTGCTGCTTGCCATCTGTCCACATCTTAAATTGCTGCAGAAATGTGTAATCGGCGAAAGGTACAGGAAGGGTGGGGGATATTACAGAACTATTATGTTTTCATATAGCTATTTTAAACAAAAAAAAAGCTTTACATTTCATGCTGATTCACAGCATAACACCTCAGTTAACATTTTTTGTAACCTGGAAAGATCTTAACAGTAAAGCAGCACTAAAACATTTAAAGCTTATTGCATGCATTCAAATTAATTCACTCTTTTATTCTTATTCCAGTTCAATAAAAATATAGATCCAGGAAAAATATGAAGTAAAATTTACAGGGAGGGAGCACAGATAAATCTTAAAATTACTGTATACTTAGTCACTGTCAAAATTGTGAATATTGTCACTACTCTAAATGGAAGTGTTTTGCAGTCTGCATTGATTAAAAATGAAACTGCTTAATCTCTGACTGATCTGAGAGTCTATCTAAATCATGAACTGATGTCTGCAAGAGTTGCAACATCAGAGAACCAGGTGATTTTTGGGAGGAGAGTTTTTCTTTTGCAATGGAACAAAATCTGTAGGGAGGGGAAATAAAACCAATAGAACTACCTTCCTACACAGGTCTCATTAAAGAATTGTTTTAACTGCTCTTTGTTGTGACAGCACACGCTGATTTTTAGCCTGTTTAATGTTATTTTACTAAGATCAATACATTAGAGTTTGACTTTGAATTATGGGTGTGTGCAGATTCCATAAAAATCTACAATATAAACAACCATGGAAATGGAAATCTACAACACAGTGGGAGGCCATTCAACCTACTGTCAGTGTTTGCTCTTCCATGAAGCAATTTATTCTAATTCTGATTCCCTTCTCTTTCTCTTTGCCCTCTAATACTTTTTCTCTGCACCAGAAGTCACTACAATTAGGTAAGGTAACTATTGGGCAAATTACAATGCTTTTAAGTGCTTATTTATAAATTCCATTCGGAAAAGTCAAAAGGTCCAGGGCATGACTTATCAGAAAATATTTTCTCCCTTGCTATGAAAGACTTGTATCAAGCACTTTTCACTTTCATCTTATTGCCATAGGGAATTCTGCAAAAACACAGTTTACATAATATACATCTGTTTGTTTCTACATCCAGCAGGAGCTTTTAGATTGTTTACCCTTTCAAGTTTTCTTTTAAAACAAGGACAAGATAACAACAAGATTGCATTTATAGAGCGCCTTTCACGTCGGGAGGACGTCCCAAGGCCCTGGACAGTTGGGTCGGGACCCGAGCAGGGGGCAAAATGGTCAGGGTGAGGGGAGGCAAGGGAGGGAGCGAGGAGGGGGTAGAGAGTCGAGAGGAGAGCTGAAGCCACGGTTGAAGAGAAACAAGATAAAACAAGATAAGGTAAAGTTCAGGGGTCAAGGTTTCCAAATATTGGGAAATCATGAAGAAGAAGCAACCTGCACAGCAAAGTACTAAGACAAACGTATTGTTAAAAAGTAAACATTGCCTGTAAGCAAATAGATGATAATAATAAATAATCCTTGCATCTATATAGCGCTTTTCACGTCTTTTAGACGTCTCAAAGTGTAAAGTGAATTAACTGTATATTTGTGTGTGAAACGCGGCAGCCAATTGTGCACAGCAGTGTCCCACAAACAGTCGTGGATTGAGTGACCAAATTATTATTGTGTTTTTTTCTTGAGGATTTATTATCCCCGGAAAAGTGATCCACCAACCGATCAACAACCGGGTTCCTACTTACTGCTAGGTAAACAGACGCGTGTGGAGTAAGGAAACTTGCCCAACATTCGCCCTGCCGGGAATTGAACCCAGGTCTCTCATTTGCGAGGCAAGTGCTCTAACCACTGAGCCAGTATGATTAAGTACTGTACCAGAGAAACACAGGGTCCCTGTTCAGAGACACTAGCTTCTGGAACTGTGCAATTTGATCTGTTTACAATGAAAGGTGAAATCCACAGGATAAGCAATTTTTTGTGGCTCTCACATGAAAAACCATAACAAAGTTTCCAAACCAGTTTCAGCTATGTATAATCTATACATGGAGATATCTCTGTCTGGAATTAAGTGCGTACTCTCTGCCCGGAGGGATACATACAGTTTACCTAATAACCGAATGCATTTGGCATGAAATTTTGCCAAGAGCCAAGCCTTGGAGACCTCAGAGGGTGGGTTTGGATACTGCTGGAATCTAACTTTGTTGCTTGCCATTGAAAGTCTTGTCTGGCAAGCTTCCTGATGCTTGTCCAATGAGGACCACCCTGTCTGTTAGGGTTTCGGGCTTTGAAAGGTTAACGGAAGCCAAGTGAGAAGAGTTCCTGCTCATCGTGTACCCCTCCAAGTCCATCCAATGAGCCAGACTTTCTCATCTGTCATGAACAGTGCTATTGAGTACTCCAGATGTGCTTGGCTCAGGAACTGGACTATCAAGACCTCCACAGATGATTGACTGAATTCCAACATTCAGTTGACAAGCATGTCCTTGCCACCATCCTCCTGCTTACAGTTTGGAAACACATCCCTACTTCTATTTCTTTACATTTCATGTGTTTTGCTGATATCAGAATGTGTCAATCTTGCTATTTTCAGCCTTGTGTTGTACGTAAGCCCTGGTTTCATGGTGGCAGCTGTTTTTAGTGTTTTATTGGCAACAATGAGTAAAATTGCCACAGGAGTTGCAGTAACACATTGACATGGATGTTTAACATACGGGATATATTTTGAGATGTCATGTTGATCTCTCCAGTCTTTTCCTAAGAGGTTTGACATTTGACAAACATAAACACAGATATCATAATCGCCTGTAAATTTTTTCATTGGTGATTTATACATACCTAATATTTGCACAATTCACAAATTCAACTCGAATGAACAAATACAACTGATGAACTCTGACGGTGAGTCATTCTTCCATATTTTCACAAATGTTTAATTGACATAATAATCCTTGCATTTGATGTAGCGCTTTTCACATCGGGAGGACGTCCCAAAGCGCTTCACAGAACACACTGTAAAGCGAATTGACTGTATATTTGTGGGCGAACGCGGCAGCCAATTGCGCACAGCAATGTCCCACAAACAGTCGTAGATTGACCAATTTATTGTTTTTGGTTTTGGAGGGATTATTATTAGGGATGTGGAGTAAGGAAACTTGCCCAAGGTTTCGCCCTGCCTGGAATTGAACTCAGGTCTCTCGCTTGCAAAGCGAGTGCTCTAACCACTGAGCTACAGGACATTTACCTGACATTGACATTAAATATCAAAGGTGTGAGAAAAGGGGGAGAGGGAAGGGAGAAAGTTATTAAGTACAAAAATCCTATTGCCAGTCCTGGGACAGACTGCTCTTCATTAGTTATAGATAGACTCCCAAATGATGGATCCTATCTCGAAATTTTGGTAAAGAAAACTATCAATAAGAAACATGATCACTGTTCTGATGAAGGGTCGTGACCCGAAATGTTGACTCACTTTCCTTTCTCCATAGATGCTGCCTGACCTGCTGAGTTTTTCCAGCTCTCTCTGTTTTTGTTTCAATGTATGAAACTCACTTAGTACTGCACCTACTAAATTACCAGACTGTATTTGAAATAGACTCTTTCTGGAAGCAATGTCCATATCGTTCTAGGTAATCTGATCCTAAGAACTGTATTGAATTATGCAATTAGCTTAATGTGTATCCAGCTAAAGGAACATTATGATCTGGAAACCAAAGTTCTTGCACTTCATGTTTTGTGTTTTGTTTTACTGTCTTCTATTATCCTGCTTAAAAGTAAAACAAACACATTTGGTATTTCATGACTAGCCTTGAATAAAATGTAAACAGAATAAAAATGCTGCTAGGAAATAATCCAGGATGTTCAAATAAAAGAAAAAAATCATTATTAACTGATTTGTTGAAGTTTTATAGGCAATATATCTTCTGGATGTGGGCAATGAGGTAAAAGAGCAGACGAGCGGTCTTTGTCAGCGACAGTATATGAGGAAAGAGAGCTGAGGATCAAACCTGTTTCAATGGCTTGGAAAGAGAGGATCAGAAGGTTAAGGAATTGGAGCCAGAAGCAAAGAGGTGTTGGTGGGAGCTGAGGAGCTAATGGTTTCAGATAGTTTCTAAAGAAATTATGGAATTGAAGGAAAATGGTACGTCTTTAACCTCTAATTAAAGCAAACAATATTGTTTTGTAAAGTTATTTAAAAATTCAGAATCATTACATAAGAAGCATGCAACAACAAGGTCCAAATGCAGCAGCATCTTTCTCGAAAATATATAATGCATTTGAGTAATGTAAAAAAGTCTTGGTCCAAAATTTTATTTCAAACATCAGCGCAAAGTGTCTTCTTGAATAAGAAAACCTGATTGAACTGTTCCAAAATAATTTTGTAGGAATTTACAACTTTAATGCTTCCTTTCACACTCCACAAATGAGAACATTTTTATGCAGTTAGAATATTCCAGCTGACTGCTTTTACAATCTACCACCTGGTGGGTTTCTGCAAGTAAAAGGCTGTAATATTTTACAGCCTGGTGTGTGAGACTGACAGGAAGCCAGCCTGCAATTAAAACCTATGAGAAAATAGATCAATTGGACAGATAACATGCAGGGATCATGATTACCATAACACTAAATTGAAATCCACCAAAAGTCAAATTAAAAACAGATTGCTTGGTAAATAGCAATAATAATTCTTGCTTTTGATATAATGCCTAAAACACTAAAATGTCGGGTAAAATAACACTGATTAGCAAATATCTACTCTTTTGCAGCCCTCATCTGTATTGTATTTGAATTCACATTGAATGGAATAATTTCCTCAATTCTGACTGCTCTTACAAGCTACAACATCAATTTGCATTTACATAGCGCAGGAAAAACTCCCTTCTCTTTTAGAATAATGCAATGGGATCTTTACCATTCACCTGAACAGGCAGCCAGGATTTTATTTAATCTCTCATATGATAAACAACATCTCCAACAAGGGAGTGTGACCTAGATTACAAAATTCAAAGGCCTGAGGTGGATCTTTTGTTCACATCAGCGGAATGCTATCAACTGAGTCAGGCTGACGTACTACTGAGGAAATGTGCCAAAATGTGCTGCTAATTGTCGCTTACAATATTACGGGACCAATTACAGAATAATTTCACATAAAAGTGTATCAATGAGGGCCATGAACCTTCTCCATTTGCACAATGTGCTGGGAAAAAGGCAGCACTAATCCTGCAGTTGATATCGTTTTTGCAATCGGATTATGAGGAACTCGGGAGGTACGACCTGGTGATTACTTGGCGCCTCACCCTCTTGGACCTCACCATCATCGATAAAGTGATCTCGGACCATCACTTCATCTCCCTTAATTCCTCAATCCATCTCCCCAATGCCACCCAACCCACCTCCATCACCCACTGCCAATAGAAAAAAATCTCCTCCCCCTCCCTCTCGGCTGCTTTGGAGTCATCTGAACTCCTTCCCCTCTGGGTGTCCTCCTGCAATGACCTATCCTCCACTCTTGATTCCCTCGCTTCCCCCTCTCCTCCCAAACAATCTCCTATTCACATACGTCACCATGGTACACCAGCCACCTCCGCTCTCTTAAGCCCAGGTGCATTCCGCTGAGCGCACTTGGCTTAAATCAAACCTAACGGTCCATCGGCAGATCTGGCTGGACCTTATCAAATCCTACAGCTCTACCCTCGCCTCCTCTAAATCGTCATTCTACTCCAAGACAATCTTGGAGGCTAAGGACAACTCCAGGCTCCTCTTCTCCATCACCAACCAGCTCCTCTGCCCACCTCTCACGCCTCGCCCATCCTCACCTTAATGCCAACTGCGAGGCGATGCTGGACTTCCTCGAATCCAAATTCAAGGAAATCCACTCAGCTGTCTCTGCAACTGCTACCCCCTCCCCAGCTCCTCCTCCCATCCCGGCCCCTACCCATCCCTCCCTCCACACCTTTGAACCTGTCTCCCCTTCCTCTCTCATCACCACCATAACCTGTGTGAAACTGACCATCTGCTCCCTTAACCCCATCCCTACCCCTCTCCTTACCTCTCAGCTCCACTTCCTTGCCCCTCTACTCACTGACATCATAAACCTCTCCCTGTCCTCTGGTTCTGTTCCCACCCCATTAAAAACCACCATCATCACTCCTATCCTTAAAAAATCCCTCCCTGGATTCTTCTCTACTCCCTAACTACCGCCCCATCTCCAATCTCCTCTCCAAGTTCCTGGGACGAGTTGTTGCTTCTCAGCTTCGCTCCTTCCTCTCCTGCCACTCCCTTCTCAAACCCTCCGATTGGGTTTCCGTACCGCCCACAGCACAGAAACAGCTCTGGTCAAAGTGACAAATGACATTCTGTCCATCTGCGACCTGGCGCTTTACAAATGTGATTTTATTGTTGCTGTATTAGGCCTAGCCAACTTTTGATTATTGTATATAATAGGAAATACCATTTTAAAAAATATACTTGTATCTCTCTAACTTGCTCTAACCAGCGCCTTGGGACGTCCTCCTGACGTGAAAGGCGCTTTATAAATGGAATCTTGTTGTTGTTGTTGTTGTACTTGCACTCTACTCCAGTGGTGGCCAATGGCCAACAAAAATAACAAAAATAAATGTTACTTGATTGAGATTTTTTTAAAAAAATGATGGCATCAATCTATGCTATTTTGTGATTTCTATGATTAATTTGTTAGCTTGGTGATAAAGTGTCACAAGCAATGCTGTTGCACACTGCTCTTCAACAAAAACTTGCATTTATACAGCGCCCTTTCACACGGGATAGAGTCTCGGAGTGCTTTTCTTATCATTATCATCTTGTAAAGATATAAGATCTGTGACCTGGATGGGCACAAATGCAATAACGATAACAATTGTAAAGCTGTCAAAAAAAAAGCCACTTTGAAATATCGCACCTAAAAAAAACCCAGAAACACTTGTAGTGGCTGCAAAGAAGGTTTAAACAGTGGATCTCTTTGCTGACATCTTCATGTCCATGTGTTTTCCCCCAGCACCTGCTTAAAACTAAAAGGAAATGGTTGCAGGAAAAACATGATGGCGTATTTATAAAACCTGCTCTGCATTTGTATCCCCCAAACCCACACACATACATAGTGTATGAGGTCTTGGCTGCAGCCAATTCCATCCCATCCCCACACGATGTCACACGACTTATGTGCTGTGCTGTTTATGGGAAGTTTACCCCATAACGTTGCAACACAGATATTTGCAGAGAGAGGGAGAGGGAGAGGGAGGGAGGGAGAGGGGGAAAGAGAGAGAAAAAAATAAAGTCTGGTGGTTGGTTGGGTCGGTGCGTTTGGCTGTGGCAGAGAGATCTGATCAAAGGGGACGTCAGGGACAGCGCAGTGTAAGGAACTTTGACCACTGGAATCGCCATAACAGGAGAGAGAGAGAGAGAGGAGAGGGATAGAGAGAGGGATAGAGAGAGGAAGCCACGATCAGAGCAGGAATCTGTTACTGTGACCCAACCCCTCCACACAGACAGATCTCCCGACCATGGCAGGTCTGAGTATCTGGATAGTGAGTGTGTTGGTCGGGATGTTCCTCGGTTGGTTCCTGCTGTTGGGGAACAGGAGGAGGTAAGTGTCACTTCTTCTCTGAGTAGTCTTTCAAAAGCTTTGGTTCGTTTCATACGACGAACTCTGCGGCAATCCGAGTGAGTGAGGGTGAGTGTGTTGTGTGTGTTGTGTTTTTGGGGGTTTTGCGAGCTGGCGGGTCAGTCCAGCCGCACGTTTTTACAGATCGTTAGGTTTGTGTTAAAACGTAACCTGGATCAAATGCTGTATGAAGAATGCTTCACACATGTTGCACAATTAATTGGCTGCTGCTTTTCGCCCACAAAATATACGGTATATCCTGTGAAACGCTTTGAGACCTATAATACAGAACAATAATAATCCTTGCATTTGATACCGCGCCTCAATCCCTCCGGCTTACCCCCTCTCTCCCCCTTTTTATATCTCGCCTGAAAACATTCCTCTTCGACCATGCTTACGGCCTTCAGTTTTTATGTTCTTAACCTCTGGAACTCCCTCTCTCTACCATTGTATTAAATTGTGTTTAATTTTCGTTTATATAATACTCTTCAGGGAGGCTAATGGCTCAGAGCACCGTACATGGGCGAGGTTGGTGGACATAAGTGTGTTCATAGAGGTAGGATTTGAGGCAGCGCTTATAGACATAAAGCTATTTTTTTGTAAATAAACAGTCACTACACCTCACAGTAAAATCTTATGAAGCACTTTGAATGGTTCTCCTTGTGTGAAAATAAAAGCTCACACCTGTAGTACTAATTCTAAGTTTACTACCATCAGCAGATGTCATTATGGATATTATAATTGCATTACATAGCACAAATTAAGTCCATCCAAAATTATAATTTCTTTAATAAAATTAACACAACTTTCTTAAAGTTACATATTATATTGTGTTAAAAACATGTGTAAACATGGCTTCATGTTTGTGTTAACATCGGTGGTAGGAAAGATAATGGAATCCTTACTGAAGGAGGTAATAGAAAAACATCTAGAAATGGAAAATATAATAATATAATAAATATAATAAAGAATAATCAGCACCGATTTCAAAAAAGGTCATGAATTCACCTCATTGAATTCTTTGAAGGGGTAACAGAAAGAGTCGACCAGGGTAATGCAGTAGATGTAATATATTTGGATTTCCAAAAGGCGTTCGATAAGGTACCATATAATAGACTAATGAATAAGGTCAGAGCATGTGGAGTCAGGGAAAAATGGTAGAATGGATAGCAAGCTGGCTACAAGACAGAAAACAGAGAGTAGGGGTAAAGGGTAGCTATTCAGACTGGCAGGGGGTGGGAAGTGGTGTTCCACAAGGATCGGTATTGGGACCACTATTGTTCACAATATACATTAATGATTTGGACTCGGGAATCAGCAGTACAATTTCAAAATTTGCAGATGACACCAGATTGGCGGAGTAGTTAATACAGAAGAGGACTGCAACAAAGTACAGTATGACATTAATAAACTTGCTGAATGGCATTTAAATGGCAAATGCATTTCAATGTAGAAAAGTGTGAGGTGATACATTTTGGTAGAAGGAATAAGGAAGTCACATACATCCTGGAAAATAAAAGCCTAAATGGGGTAGAGCAGTAAAGGGATCTAGGGGTACACATACACAATTCACTAAAAGTAGCAATACAGATTAATAAGTCCATAAAAANGCAAACCAGGCATTGGGGTTCATTTCTAGAGGGATAGAAATGAAAAGCAGGGAAGTTATGGTAAACTTCTATGGAACCTTGGTTAGACCACACTTAGAATACTGTGTGCAGTTCTGGTCCCCACATTATAGAAGGGATGTCGAGGCACTGGAGAGGATGCAAAGGAGATTCACAAGGAGGATCCCAGAACTGAGAGGTTATACCTATCAGGAAAGACTGTACATGCTTGGACTCTTTTCTCTTGAAAAGAGGGTAAGAGGTGACCTGATAGAGGTTTTTAAAATTATGAAAGGTTTTGATAGGGTAAACATAGGGAAGATGTTTCCACTTGTGGGGGAGACCAAAAGCAGGGGCCATCAATATAAAATAGTCACAAATAGATCAAATAGGAAAGTTAGAAGAAATTTCTTTACACAGGGAGTAGTGGGAATGTGGAACATGCTATTTGCCTCAACAAGGAGTTGAGGTATTTAATGGAATAGCATAGATGTATTTAATGGAAAACTAGATAGATACATGAGGGAGAAAGGAATAGAAGGTTATGCTTGAAGGCTTATTTAAGGAAGGGCAGGAGGAGGCTCATGTGGAGCATAAACACCGGCATAGACTAGTTGGGCCGAATGTCCTGTTTCTGTGCTGTATATTCTAATGTATTCTAATGTAAAAAGCTGAAATGGATAGAACATTACATCAAAGTTCTTAGACACATTTGGAAGGTATGCCCTGGTACCTCCCTACCTGTCTGACCTGCTTATTTCCCAACCCACTACCCGCTGCCTCCGCTCGACTGGCTCCAGCCTCCTGTGTCCCTCTGTTCCACCATCGGTGGCCAAGATTTCAGCCCCTACGCCCCGAAATTGGAACACTCTTCCTCCATCCCTCGCCTCCTCCTTCCCAATCTTCAGGTCATGCCTGAAGACCTTCCTTTTCGACTGTGCCTACGTTCACTTCCCCCGGCTCAGAGTCTTGCTCTGCCAATGTCAAGCACTCTGGGATTCTAAGCTGCGTGACAGGCACTATATAAATGCAAGTTGCCGTTGTTGTAGTGTGTAAAGAGCACAGTCAGAATTAAGGAAATTCTTCAACTCAGTGTGAATCCGAATGCAACACAGATGAGGGCTGCAAAGGAGCAGACATTTGCTAACCAGTGAATTTACCTGATGTTTTAGTGTTATTCTCTCACATTTTTGTCTTACAGATGGGAAGCAGAACCTCCTTTAGAAACTGGCTGGATTCCATACATTGGCTGCGCTTTCGAATTTGTTTCAAATCCTTTCAAGTTCATGCAGGCTCGACAGAATAAATATGGAGAAATTTTTACTTGTAAAATAGCTGGGAAATTCATCACTTTCATCACTGACCCTTTCTCGTACACCTCTGTAATTCGGCATGGGAAAAGTCTTGATTTTCAGAAAGTTGCACTAACCATTTCAAAAAATGTGAGTGCCTGCAATTGCTGCTTTAACGTTTAGCTTTGAAAAGTTAATTAATCAGGATTTAACTGTGAAGTGTAGTGGCCGTGTATTTGTAGGTAAACGCGCAATCAATTTGTGTACTGCAATGTCTTAGCAATTAGCCATGAAGTGACTGACCAATTTTATTGACATCCATTTACATAAATGCATTCAACAGTAATTTACATATGAAGGAGGCATCAGAAGTTGTTAAAAGATTTCTAACTTGTTATCTCTGTTCATCGACTGGAAGGTCTCCTTCATTCATTGATCCCTGCCACCAACTTGTACTAATTAATGTTATATTAAGAAAGGTCAGTATTTAACTAAATTGCATATAAGAAAAATTCTATTTGACAAATGAGTATTCCAAACAACTCATTCTCTTTTAGTACATTCAAAGAGATACGTGCTTTGTGTTAAGACAAATACTATTTCTTGTTAGTTATCACAGTAGTACTAATATCAATTATTGTTTGACTTATGATCATGAACAAATGTAATCAATTTTCCAATATTTGCAGGTATTTGGTCATGTAGACTTTACTAAATATGATATAGGCAATGATGAGATACACAACATCTTCAACAGGACTCTCCAGGGATTGTCACTGGGTTCTCTAACTTCAAGTATGATGGAAAACCTCCAGTTTGTAATGTCCCAGGGCAAGTCATCATCGGATTCTAGCAGCTGGACTATAGAAAACCTTTATGAGTTTTCCTGCAAGATAATGTTTGAAGCTGGGCATTTAACACTCTTTGGAAAGAATGATAAAGCAATGAAGGGAGGTGATGTTGAAAAGATTAAGCAACAGCATGATGCCATTCAGTTTGCATTGGAGGAATTTAAAGCGTTTGACACAGTGTTTCCTGCTTTAGTAGCTGGTATCCCAATGGGGTTTTTCAAAACTGCCAAGAAAGCAAGAAAGGCTCTGGAAGGCAGATTGCTGAACAAAACTTTGAGAGAACAAGATTGTAAATCTGCCCTAATAAAGGAAAGAATGGAGCTTTTTGACAGTTCTAGTTCTCTCGATGAGCATAACAAGGCGAAAACCCATGTCATAATGCTGTGGGCATCACAGGCCAACACTCTTCCAGCTAGCTTCTGGAGTATTTATTATCTAATGAGGTAAAGTTATTTCAAATTAAGCATGAATTTGAACATTAGAAAGCCTATGATTTAGCCTCTGATTAAGCTTAAGACTAGACAATGTGCCATGGTGTCATTTACCTTGTGTCACTTTGGTGCCAATGATATATTCAAGATTGCATGTTGTGGGGGATATGGAAAGGAGAGAGACAGTTATAGTAGGTGGTGAAGGTGTAAGTATCATAATGTAGTCTGAAATAACCAAGCCCAATTTTTCACCATGTACAATAGTTAACAGAATAGATATCATTTTTATCTTAGTATGGTATTAAGTAAAATCCTTATGTACATGCTGCCTTAATGTGCATAAAATCCTATTATATATACTGACCTCTGTGTACTATCATTACATAAAATTTCCCTTTTCAATGCTTAATATATTTATACAATATCCAAGTAATAAAAATGATACTCTGTTGGGGAGTGTTTAGAAGAATTTCTTGTTATGCGTTACAAGTGACAATTGAGGATGACTTGATTATATAATTTAAAAGTGAACTGAATTGATGACTAAATACAAATATACTAAAAGATCTGGGGAAACGATGGGGAATGGGATTCAAGCAAATAATTCCAGTAAAAAGTTAGCATGGTGAAGTTACGATGGGCTGAATGATGGCCTGATTTTGTACGGAAATGTCTATAAATTTCAATAAATTTCCCACATCAGTTGTTACTCCAGTAATAGGTAGTTACTTCATTACAATCTTCATTTAAATCATTCAGTTTTATTGGACGTCAGGATAGGATTCAGGTGCAAACTTCAATAAGAAAATAAATTACAGTATTAAGACAACTAATCTATCCTTCAGTTATTTCCATAAATTCCAATACCCTTCCTCCATGTGGGTTTTTCTAATTCCATTTTAAATATGCTATCTAATGAGTCTGTCAAATTCTGGAAGCTGAATTGATGAGTAATACTTGTAGCAGTTTACTCTGCTGCGTGAATCAAAGGTCCAATATGAATATTTTAAATCTTATCCATTCATTTCTCTTCGAAACGCAATGACTTGTGCTGGAACATGTTCCTTGTTTGTGGACATCAATGTTTCCTCCAATTGGATACTCTCTATATGTAACAATTTGTAATAATATAATAATAATACTTGCATTTGACATAGCTCCTTATCACATCTTTGAGACATCTCAAAGCGTTTCACATAATATACTGTAAAGTGAACTGACTGTATATTTTGTGTGCGAAACGCAGCAGCCAAATGTCACATTTAAATTTTATATTCATAATTTAAATTTACATTATATTTCAATTTAAATTTTATATTTATAATTTGTATGATGTTAGCAGAAGTCATGATGAAATACACTGATTGCAATCACAAACTAATGGGTTTATTCTAAACTATTGATCAGAAACTCTACCAGTTACAGCTGACATATTTCAGTTTCAATCTGTTACTTGAGAGAACCGCAAAGCTGCAGTTTTTGACAGCAACTGGGGTGATGAGTGTTCTATCACAGTGGGAACTGTTTTGCTTAATAGAGCACATTTATTGATGCAGCAAAACTGTCATTGTGTGTTTATAAATAATATAAATCAAAACTATAAATAAGAGTACATTATAAATGTTAAATTAAATTATACATATAAAATTCCATGAGAGTAATTTAAAATCACAGAAGGGCATATTCGTTAAACTTAGTATTAGACAAAATAGCGTTAACCCACAACAGTGATTTGTTATATTTAGTGTATGCTGTTGAATACCTTTTGCATAATTGTAAGAATGACTGTGATGTGAAGATGGACGTACATTTCAGACTCACCATTTTAATCGATTTTTCTAGACTAGCTGTGGTGGTTGATAGTAGTAGATTCATTTTCCTTTATGTACAGTACACTAAAGATTTGAAGGGCAGTTAAATTTGTCCTTAGTAGATAATGCATGTATGGGTTATACCTAATGAAACATGCTACGGCTATCTTTTTGAAATATGGTACATTGTTTTTAAGATTGACTGTCGTAATTTTCATCACTGGAGATACAAATGTAGCCAAAGTAAAACAAAATGTTTATTCTGGACGTTTTAGTATATATAAGAATTACCAGTGTGAAACTCATTTTTCTAGTTTTATACAATCCACAGGAATCCAGAAGCTTTGAACGCAGTGAAAAATGAAGTGGAAAACATACTTAAGGTTACAAACCAGAAACCTGGAGATATTAACAGTCCGATTATTTTTACTAGAGAACAGCTGGACAGCATGACAAATATGGGTAAGTTTAGAAAATAACAAAGCTGTCTAATAATGTATGCATTGCCTGATGATAATAAAAATAATGGAATGATTTTACTTCTAAAAGACAATGCCCAGGTTCTGCAGTGAGCTTCAGTATCATTCAATTTGGATTTGTTGTGCAATTGCAAAACATCCATGCTGGAGTCCAGCTAACAAGACCTTGAGGAGGTGCATTTGCCAGGACCTTAATCTGAACCATTGCTGTATAAATGCAACCAAAGCTAATCAGTTCAGCTCCCTCTCAACAGTGGTCAGATTTAATCAACCAAGGGCTGTTTTAAAAATGCTTTTAGAAATATAAACCTGGCATTAATCCATTGCCCAGTGGTTATGAATGCACATTATAATTTATTACATTTCACCATTAATGTATCAAGGATAGCCTGTGTTACACAACATTCAACCTATAAATACACAGTCACTACACTTTAAAGTTGTGAAGTGTTTTGAGACATCTTCCTGATTTGAAAGGCACTATAACAAATGTAAGTACTGTACTATTTTACTTTATTATTTACATTTTCTAGTCATGTTACAGATATTGTTTACAAGTTTTCCTACAATAAAATATTACTGTTGAATGAGACAAAAACAATTGTATACCCTGCATTATGATGCAATAATATTTGCTTTTCACTATTTTCAAGAGCTTTTGTTTGTAAATAATTCCATGAGCAAAAATCTAATAAGTAAGAAGATTTTGTAGGCAAATATAGAGGTCAGTTGCCACAACAATGTCCCACAAACAGCCACGAGATGAATACCCAAACCTCAGCATCGTCTTCTGAGAATTGTAGCTAGGAACCCCTTCCTCTTTTTGAGTAGTGTCATTCTTTTTACAGTATATAGTGAGATCATTTTGCTCTATCTGCTCCGAAAAATATTATGTGTCAATCTACCTACCAGTCATGTAATGCCACATACCTTCAGGATCTACATCAGAATTATCTAATATCCTTCATAGCCCATTAAAAAAGCTCAAAGATCAAGTTTAAGGAAATATGAATAAGAATCTCCTCATCTAGTTCACAGTAGCAATTCAGTCGTGCTTTTGGTGACATCCTAAACTATAAGCATTCTTGAGGCATTTATGATTCTTAGCAGAACCCCATCAATGAAATGCTATGTTGTATATTATTGCAGTCATATTCCTACAGTCCTGAGGTGCTAATTACAAAAATAAAATAAAGGCTGGTACCCAGTTACAACAACACCCTTTGGTCCACTTAATAGTGAAGCTAAGCTGTAGAAATAGGGTATATTTCTGGCTTCCGATAATGACTGACTGGCTTCAGATATGACACAATGTCCCAAAGCGCTGACTGGCAGCATTTTATTGCTCATTCTGCTGGAACATGTGGTCTACATTTGGGGGCCCAATCACCACCTTATAATAGGGTCAGCTGTATACATTTTTTGTGTGTACTTTAACAGTAAACCTATTTAGACATGGAATGCAACGTGTTATTAAATCTGTGATATCACCATCTTTTGAAATTAATCTTAACAGGTAGCCTGATAAATGAAGTGCTACGTTTATCAAGTGCATCAATGATGATCCGAGTGGCGACTGAAGATTTGCTACTAACCTTGGATTCAGGGAGAAAAGTGGCCATTCGAAAGGGAGACCAAATTGCTTTATATCCTCAGCTATTGCATTTGGATCCAGAAATTTATGAAGATCCGCACGTAGGTGGTACACTATAAACAACAACATTTTTGTTAAGAGATATTAGGTTCTGCGATTGGCTTCTGAACCAAAGAAATTTATGGCACAGAAGAGGGCCATTCAGCCCGTCGCAATTGTGCTTCTGCTGTGAGAGATTGAGGGAGAGGTTGGCACATTTCCAAACTTCTGTTAATGCCTATAAGGATGATTTGGGGACTTGGGGTTCTAAATTAGGAGAGGATTTGCCAGGATATTGATTTGCAATGCTGTAGTAAATGCAAATCAATAGCAACCAAGTGAGATTCACCCATCCCTTTTCCTGATATCTCTTTGTGTGGTATCAAGCATTAGCTCTAATGCATCAATGGCATTAAAAACTCAGACCACAACATTCAGCAAATTTGCTGAGCAGCAGAAATGTAAATGATTCACTAGACAAAGTTGGTAAGGTCTGCAACATGGAAGTACCCAAAGTAACACTTTAAAGCAATGTGCCTTACAAGCAAATTTCTTACTGAATATAATCTCAGGATTATTCCACAGAGAATGTGAAACAACAACTTGCACTTATATAGTGCTCTCCACGCAGGGTAGTATGTCAGAACGCTTAACAGTGGCAGAGCCTGACTCTGAGCTGGGGGGAGAGGGGAGGTGACTGTATGCACGGTCGAAGAAGAAAGTTTTCAGGTGGGACTTGAAAGAGGGGTGAGGTTGAGGTAGTGTTCCAGAATTTTGGGGCGTAGTGGCTGAAAGCCCGACCTCCGATGGTGGGGCGGAGGGTGTGACGGACAAGCAGGAGGCCAGTGACAGTCGAGCGGAGGTGCCGGGTGGTGGATTGGGGAGAGGTAGGGAGGTGCTAGGGAATGAATGGACTTGAACACAAGTGTGAGGATCTTGAAGTCGATCCATTTGGTGATGGGAAGCCAGTGGAGCCTGGCCAGAACTGATGAGTTTGGTCCTGGTCAGTATGCGGGCAGCAGAGTTTTGAATGAGCTGGATCTTTTGAATGGTGGAGCTGGGGAGACTGGTGAGGAGTGCGTTGGAGTAATCTAAAGGCGAGGTGACAAACGCATACACAAGGGTTTTGGCTGCATTTGGGGTAAGGTACAGTCAGAGGCGGTCAATGTGATGGAGGTGGAGGTAGGTGGGCCTGGGCAGGGACCGGATGTGGGGGAGGAAGCACAGCTGGGGGTTGAACTGGACACCTAGGTTGTGTACTGGTTCGGTGAGTCTGAGGGAGAGCCTAGGGAGGTTGAGGAGTTTGGATCCGCAGGAGTGAAGACATTGACGGGAGCCGAGGAGTATGGCTTCTGTCTTGTCCATATTCAGCTGCAAGAAGTTTACACGCATTCAGACCTTGATGTCTGCCAGATAAGCTGATAAAATTCTGACAGACATGGATTTGGTACTGGAGGAGGCAAAGTAGATTTGTGTGTCATCCATATACATGTGGAGGTTTATCCTGTGTCTGCAGATGACATCGCCCAGAGGGAGCATATAGATAAGGAAAAGAAGAGGGCCAAGGATGGAGCTCTGGGGCGGGGCCGGGAGGAGAAACTATTCACTAAAATGAAATATAGGCGGTTGATTAAGTAGGACTCGAACCATGTAATTGTGGTCCCACTAAGGTAGATGAGGGAGGAGAGGAGATGGAGGAGGATAGCTGACTGTGTTGAACGCGGCAGAGAGATCCAGGAGGACGAGGAGGCAGAGGGAACCCTGGTCACAGATAAAGAGAATGAAAGATATTTGAAGTATAGATTCTTAATACTTACATATTAATTTATCTTTGGTTCAATTATTTATTGCTTTCAAAGAACATTTTGCTTTGATAAATAATTAAACCAATAACGCTAGATGTAAAAGTTTATATGAATAATGGTTTATTTTGAAACTCACCTAGAGAGATTGTCATATGTATTCTTGCTGTGACACTTTCTTGATCTCTTTATTTAAAATAATTTTAGGAGCTCCAATTACCATTTTCTGATGCTTGAGCAAACCTGTTATATAGCCTGTCATATTGCAGTATCTCATAAATCAGACCAAAATTAGACATATCACATCCAAAATGTGGCTGCCACTTTCAGGTTGTCAGATGGCTGCAAAATGTGCAAGAGAGATTCAGAGAACAATATTGCAGGTGGATTGGTTAAGGACAGGAGTTTAGGAGATTGAATAGCAAAGCTTTGTCTTCCTGCAGACAATTTGATATCAGTACATTTCTATTCTACACCTTTTTCAATGTATTTAATAAACTGTTGTTTCTGTAATGCATTTCAGGAATTTAAGTACAACAGATTTTTGGATGAAAATGGAAAAGATAAGACCACATTCTACAAAAATGGCAGAAAGCTTAAGTACTACCTCATGCCCTTCGGTTCTGGCACCAGTATATGTCCTGGTCGCCATTTTGCAATCAATGAGATCAAACAATTTTTGTCTTTAATGCTGTGTTATTATGACATGGAACTACTTGATTTTACAGCACTATCTCCAACCCTAAATAACACAAGGGCTGGACTTGGTATTCTACAGCCAAGTAATGATGTCCTGTTCCACTATCGTTTAAAGCAGCAACCTGCAAAACAAAGCTAAAAACTGGGACAATGCCATTCTGAATTGAAAGGAATTGCAGGCCTCGTCCTCTGGTTTATTATTCTGGACAAGTTGAAACAGCCTGTCATGATCTATATTGCCTTGCCTCTTTAGAAAATTGGGTCAATGCCAACTTATACATAAAATAACATAAATATAATATTATTTTAATGCATAAAACTGGTCATTAAAAGTTGAGGTATCTTTAGAAACTAGCAATCAAATATCTGTAAACTTGTTACTACTTCCAATAATATGTTACATCTTATGGTTCATTGTATTGTAACCAATTTAATTGATACATTTGTTATACATACTCAGTAGAACTCTAGAAATTTCAGTACAGAAGTACAGTAATTGATCTTCGTGACAGTATTCCTTCACTATTCCATATTTACTAAAATTCCATTCTCTTTCCCTGTTACTTATTATATTCTTCAAGTGTTTAATTCCTTTTTAAATGGTATTTGACAGCCAATTATTTCTTAATGAGTCTATTGTCTTGTACTTGTACCACCCTTCCTGCTAATATGTTCCAGTTATTAATTTACTGCTATATAAAGAAATACTTTCTGATGTCTACCCTGAAATTATCTCATATTCCTGAACCTCATCCCAGTCTGACAGTCTCTTATTATTTCTCAGGTATGTTTTGACTGAGTCATAAATTTAATACAATGTAATTGTAGTAAGTGGAATTTATCTCATACTTTACATATCTTTCAACTATTAAAGGAATTGTTAAAGTGTTGTTGGTTGGGTTGTTCAGTGGAATATTAACTTCCTACAGTTGAACGTCAATAAGACCGAGGCTCTCCAGATTGGCTCCCGTCACCGCCTCCTCACCTCAGGCATCACCATCCATGGTTGCACACTCCGCCTTACTGAGCCAGTCCGGAACCTTGGCGTCTTGTTTGACCCTCAACTATCCTTTCTACCCCATCATCCAGCTCCACCGCAGGCCGGCGAAACCCGCATACACGCGTTCATAACATCCAGGTTTGACTGTGCAAACTCCCTGCTTGTCGGCCTCTCCAACTCCTCTCTCCATGGGTTGCAGATCATCCAGAACTCTGTAGCTGTGTCCTCTCCTGCACCAGGCTCCGTGACCCTATCACCATCATCCTCGCCCGACTCCACTGGCTTCCCATCACACAGAGGATCCTGGTCCTCACCTTCAAAGCCCTCCTTGGCCTTGCTCCCCCCTACCTCTGCGACCTACTAACCCACTACCAATCTGCCCGCTCCCTCCGCTCAGTAGGCTCCGGCCTGCTTCATGACCCCCGCCTTGCTCACCCCAGCATTTCCGCCACTCTACCCCCACCTTCTGGAACTCCGTCTGCCGCAGCCGCTGCCTTGGTTGGGTTGTTGAGTGGAATGCTCCAGTGCAGACATTTTTACACATTTACATATCATTACGTAGATTTACAGAGTGGAAACAGGTCATTTGGTCTAAGTAATCATTGTCATGTTTAGACATAAACCTCCAGCCCTCTCAATCCCCTCATCTGAACTCTTATTCTTTTCTGCCTCATGAATGCATCTTTTTCTCTTAAATATATTAATGCTTTCTGCTTCATAAGAACAAATAAGAACATAAGAAATGCTAGACCAAAAAAGACCAAGGTCCATCTAGTTTGCCTTCCATCTTCTTGGTGGTCGCATGCACATATGTCCCGAACTTCCTATGTGTTATATCCCATGATGTTATTTCCTAAAAGAAAACCATCTAATCTGTGTTTGAAAGAATCAAGACGTCCTGCTTCAACCACCTCCCCAGAGAGCCTGTTCTACAGGTTCACTATTCGCTCACTGAAATATGTTTGCGTAGGTTCATTCTGAATTTACCCTCCTTCAATTGTAGACCGCGTCCTCTGGTTTATTATTCTGGACAAGATGAAACAGTCTGTCATAATCTATATTGTCTTGCCTCTTTAGAATCTTAAAGACAGCAATTACGTCACCCCTCAATCCTCTTGTGAACATGCCTAATTTACTTAGTCGCTCCTCTTATTCAGTCTCTCCATTTCCTCAATCATTTTAGTTGCCCTCCTCTGTATCTTCTCGATTTCTCCCAATATCCTTTGTGTACTGCGGCGACCGGAACTGTACACAGTACTCTTACGTGTGGTTTCACCAATGATGTATACAGTGGCAGGACTACCCCCACTATTTCGGTTTGCTGTTGATCTTTTGATACATCCCAACATCTGGTTTGCTTTCCTCACTGCCGCAGGTCCTCAGGTCCTTTTCATTTTCCATAAATATTATTTTCCTTCTGTTCAAATAATAGTCCCTTCCAGGATTTTTTGTCCCCATGTGAAGTACTTTACGTTTCTCCATATTGAATTTCATCTGCCATCGATCGGCCCAATTCCCTAGTATGTTCAAATCCTCCTGTAACCTATCTTGTTCAGTTTCACAATCTACCACCTTCATTAGCTTTATGTCATCTGCAAACTTAGCCACTGTGTTTGCGACTCCTAGTTCCAGCTTCAAGCACAACTTCCAACTGAGTTCTACATTCTTACCATCTTCTGCATAAAGAAGTTTCTCCTAAATTCCCTTTTAGACATGCTATTCTGCTATTTAAAAACAGTAAACTCCTGATAACTTGTCACTCCAAGCGAGTCCTGTAGCTCAGTGGTTAGAGCACTTGCCTTGCAAGTGAGACATTTGAGTTCAATTCCAGGCAGAGCGAAACCTTGGGCAAGTTTCCTTACTCCACACGCCTGATAATAATCCCTCCAAAACAAAACAATAATAAATTGGTCATTTTCAATCTACGACGGTTTATGGGACACTGCTGTGCGCAATTGGCTGCTGCGTTTCACCCACAAATATACAATCAATTCACTTTATAGCATATTCTGAGAAGCGCTTTGAGACGTCTAGAAGATGTGAAAAGCGCTATATCAAATGCAAGGATTATTATTATTATTAGAACTCAGTAACGAGTTACCAGACTGGCGAGTTAGGCATAGGTCCTCCCAGGCCACAAGGGAGCGCTGTGAGAATGTATTCTGTACACCAATACACACTGTGCCTGCGCAGAGCGAACAGGTGTTAGTGTGATAAAGCGACCCAGCTACCACGACTTTCAACTTATTTGTTAAAACTCATTTAAGTAGATGTATGGTCATATGTGCCCATAAATGCTCTTATTTTCTGTTTCTTATCATTTATTTGTTACTGTATTAGAAATTGTGCACTTCTCCACCCCCTTTTTCCCCATCTTCCCCACCTCCATGTAGTGTAGTGGTTAAAGCATTCGCCTCACAAGCGAGAGAATCCAGGTTCGATTCAATTCCTGGGCCGGGCAAAACCTTAGGCAAGTTTTCTTACGCTATACACCCATCTCTGTTTACCTGGGAGTAAGTAGGTTGGTGGATCGCTTTTTCAGGGGTAACAATTCCTTCAAAATATGTAAATAATAATAATTGGGTCACTCAATATATTATTGTTTGTGGGACACTGCTGTGCACAATTGGATGCCGTATTTCGCCCACAAAACACAGTCATTACACTTTACAGTATATCCTTTGAAGCGAAGAGCCATGTTAACATTTTGCACGTGAAGCGGCCAGGATATTGACAGCATGGTAACCTAAATGGTAGTGACAAGTTAAACCAGGGTCGAGTTAGCAGGAATTTACCCCACTTTCAACTGGGGAAAAAAGTCAGCTCACCCGCTGTGTGACTATGGTGACAGTAATGAAGTAGTCTATGACATTTCATAATTTTATTGTTTTCACAAGATCACAAATTGTTTTGTATGCAGAGGCCTTTTGGCACATTTGTTCTCATTTATCCAGAGTACCATCCTCCCATTACAGTTTCAAGTTGTTCTTGTATTAAACAAGTCCACTGTCTTAGTCTCAACCATTTTTCCTGATAACCTAATGCAGTCATTTAGTTATCCTGTGGTTAAAAAAATATTGCTTGTCTGGGCTGATATTTTTTGCAATTCTAAACCTGTATCCTCCTGTTCTCCAATCTCAGTGCATCCGAAAGTATATAAACTATGTTGTGAAGCCCGTATTCTTACCCGTACCAAACTCCGCTCCCCGATTACCCCAGTCCTTGCCAGACTGCACTGGCTGCGTGTCCCAGAGAGGATCGATTTCAAGATCCTCACTCTTGTCTTCAAGTCCCTCCACTCCTCTGCACCCCCCCTACCTCTCTGACCTCCTCTCTCCTCACAACAGTGCCCGTTGCCTTCACTCCACCGGGTCTGGCCTCCTCCTTGTCCCCTGAATCCTATGCTCCCACCATCAGCGGCCGTGCCTTCAGCCACTACCCCCCGAGGCTCTGGAATTCCCTTCCTCACCCCCTTCGCCTCGCCCCCTCTCTTCCTATTTTCAGGTCTCGGCTAAAGACCTTTCTTTTCGACCGCGCCTTTGGTCACCTTCTTCCCCCTCTCCCTGGCTCAGCCGTTATTGTGAAGCGCTCTGAGATGTCATCCGGCGTGGAGGACTCTATATAAATCCAAGTTGTTGTTGTTGTTGTGATGAACAACTGTTGTAAAAAATATATTTTAAGCTGCTTTCTGTTTAGATCTGTTTACATTTGTATAACGCTTTTCACGTCAGGAGGACGTCTCAAGGCGTTGGTTTAGCATTCTCATTTCTGAGTCAGAAGTTTGTGGTTTCAAGGCCCACATTGGGCTTTGAACTCACAGTATGAGCTGTCACTCCAATACAGTGCTAGGGGTGCGTCCTCCTGACGTGAAAGGCGCTTTACAAATGGAATCTTGTTGTTGTTGTTGTTAAGGAATGCAATCCTTTGGATGAGATGGTAAAAAAAGATTGTGTCTCCCTTGGCACTGTTCAAAAAGAGATGAAATTTAAAGCATTTCACAGTGCTGTGTGATTACTTCCAGTAGACTTCTGTGCACTGACAGCAATGTAAACATAAAGGAACATGTTATTATGGCAATAATTCCCACTTGTTCATTTAAATCAATATAATTCAAAAGGCTGATTGAGAAATGATAAATATAGAATAATATTAATCCTTGCATTTGATATAGTGCCTTCCACATCAGGACCACATCTCAAAGTGCTTCACAGAATTCACTCTCAAATGAGTGGCTGTGTATTTTTGTAGACAAACACAGCAATGAATTTTGCACGCAGCCACCTTTAACAAACAACCATGAAGTGAATGACGAATTTTGTTGTGGGGATTTTTTGCCAGAACATCAGGAGAACAGCTCTTTTCAAACAAGCTCAAGGGTAAACAACCTGGGGGTCCCCACGCCTTGGCTCCTGCCAACCCCGCACCCAACACTTTTAACATAAAAGCAGGACGCGTCCCTCCAGGAAGACGGCGTGCATTCCATTCCAATAAACATCTCTGGGATTTCCATGTGCGGGTGGGATGCAGGGAATTTTCAGTTTGGTTTCCACATGTGTCAGACACCCACCCGGCGCGCCACAAAAACAGACGTACACTCGCGGGGTACCGTACGTGAAACTCTCCCTAACGGCATCGCTCTCTGTTTATTATTTCTGTGTTTCGCACAACACCCAGTAGGATGTCACGCCTTCTTTAAGGTACGCTGTTCCGTGCCATCGCTGACCGATACTGGATGAAGTCATCAGTGAAGTATCTCTCTGAGCTCAATCATATCATATCACGGGACTATTTACTTAAGTTCACTCGTGACTTTTCCTGAGCAAACTGGAAATGTTACCCAGGGTAGAGCAGCCACACTCATCTAACACAGTGTACAGTGACTGGATCCAGTCCATCAATTATAGCAGCATTTGGTCACGGGTCCGTATCCTACCCCAAGCCCAGCTGAAATAATAATAAATAATGATTGTGGGGGTGGTGGGGGAAAGGCAAAAAGAAAAAAAAGTCCATTGGGTAAGGAAACGTTTATTATTATTATTATTACTAATCATAACAATACCTTGGGAGGCCCGCGCCACCACTCGACTGTCTGTTGACAGGACGTTGCTAGGAGACGCGCGGGACGGTTGTGAGAGAGAAAGCGAGAGAGGGGAGGGGGGGGGGGGGAGCTGCGCGCGCTCCCCGCCGTTTGTTTCCGTGACGTACTTCGCTCGAGGCGTCCGGGAGGTTGCGTCACTGGCAGCGCGAGCCCAACGGTCAGCGAGTCTCAGACGCTTGTCACGCGCGCACACGCATCCGCGCAGAGAGACGAGGCACCATTACCCCCTTCCCCGTTCACCCGCCGGCAACCGACCAGGTGAGGCGTTCGCGGCTTCTTGTTCTACCATTGTCCCATCTACACCCGGTAGGTACATCGTACGCGCGGTTTCTCTCGGTGTCGGTTGGGGTTTGAAGAGAAGGAAGGCATTTTTTTTAAAAAAAGGAAAATATTCGCTGGGTGAGCCGAAGAGAAGGGCGCCGTCGTCGTCGCCGTCGCCGTCTCTGCTGTTTCCTCTTTTGGGTCGGCGACCGACATAATGTGGTTTGGATTTTTCTGGGGACCTGCGAAGGGCAGTGTATGTGTGTGTGTGTGAGAGAGAGAGAGAGAGAGAGGTGGGGAAGAAGGAAGAGTCGTCAACACGACTACGTTGTTTCGTGATGTGCATGGAAATCTTTTATTTGGGGGGTGGGGGGGGGAGAGGAGAGAAAAGATGTCTTCTCTTTCTCTCCCCCCCCCCACCTCCACCCCCCCTCCTCCTTAACGTTGTTTATATAAATCACCAGCAACAGCGGGCGGGGCGAGGGGGTGGTGGTGCTGGAGAGGATCTCACTCCCCTCGGGGTTTTTGCGGGGGCCTGGGAGCGACGGGGCGGAAATTACACTGTGTTTGTGTTTGCATTGCTCACTTCCAGCCACGTCATGTGCACCACAAGAGTGCCGACTCTTTAGCCCACCTCTTTTCCAATGTGTTATAGATGTGTGTCTTGGAATATTTGGTTTAGAGGAGGCGAGAAAAATAAAGAGCATAGGAGGAAATGAGTGGAGTGATTCCCTCTTCCCCCCCCCCCCACACCATCCAGTTATTTTCCCCTTCTCATGGCCTCCTCTTTTGACTTGTGTTTTCTTTTTACCAGAGGGGATGGGTCTGTAGGATCCTTCCCAATACCTCACCCAATGGTCATTCACATATGACTCATCATTGTGAGTTACACTAGTAAATTGACCACAGAGAGATGTTGCCCTCCGGAAGGATCACAGACGGATAGCCTCGGTAGCGAGGAATCTTTACTTGCCTCACCCAGGACCCTGAAGCCAATTGTACTCACTCAATCAGCTAATGTAGTACATAACTGGAATTCAATTTTGTAATTTCTACTTTGACCTAGTCAGAGAATGTTTGGAGCTAATTGTTGTTTTTCTAAGATGTTCACAGTGTAATTGTGTATGTACTCCAATCTGGACAGTTCGTTCTCTCTCTGCAATCAGGGCTCTGCTCTCTCTTCCTTGTGACCTCTCTGTCGCTTTTGACGCTGTGGACCACTCCGTCCTGTACAATTGCTTCTGCCTCTTCACTCACCTCTGTGCATCTGCACTCTCCTGGCTCCAAGCCTACTTGACCCACTGTCTCCACCTCATCTCTGTTAACAGTTTCTCTTCCTAATTCTCAGCAGCCTGAGTTGGTTGCTGACTTTTAGTCAGCCATGTGATTGAAACGCATCGCTATGATTATGAGTATCCAAACCAGATTTCCATGAAAACCACCTCCACATCATGTCTTTGTTTACCTAAGTTCTCTGGTGTACAGTTCATGTGTCCGGGGGATTTGTTGGTTTTTAGGCTCTTGAGCCAATCTAAAATCACAGCCTCACTTATATTAAAGACCACAATCTCAAACAATGTTTAATGGATGTTGTTTAAAAAAAAGCCAATGCAGTTGTAGCCTCAATACGCAGCAAGATTGGAAATTTTGCAGCTATTGTTTTGATTGGTTTAATCCATTGCATTCCAAGAGATTAGCAAATGGCTTGGGAAAGCCTTGCATAGTTATTTGAGGAATTCTGTGTGATGTCTGAACTGGAGCATACTTATTAAGCTATAATGTTTATTTTTTTTCCTGTGCCTGCTTGTATTTCCCATTAGGACCAGAGCTTCACAATACAGATAATTTCCTGACATGTGATGAGATGATTTCATTAGGAATGGGGAAGTTGTTTTTCACATCAGATTGAGGCTAGAGTGTTGTCACATTGAAAACATTTTGTCTTAAGAAATGTCTGTAACATGTTGATGAGTATTGTATCACGGTTGCATGGAAATCTGCTTTCTTATCATTAAAATCTGATTTACAATTATTTTTAGCTGTTAACTATATTGAATCATGACAATTCTAATCCATTTTTTTTAAAAGCTCTGTAAATATGGGTTACAATACTTTGGCTTGTATAGTAATGTAGTTTAGTTCACCAAGAGGATGTCATGACCGGAAAGGGTCAGAGAACATGTGTTCCTGTTTATTTTAGCAGTATTCAGCCTGGGAGAAACAAAGCATTTACAGTAAAGCCCAAGTCATCGTCATCTAATTAAGAATTTGCAACTAGCAGGGATTGATGACTAAGCTAATTTTACAATTTATTATTTATATCAATCAATCCACCAATACTGATTATGTAGGTTTTTCACTACCAAATCAATGGTTTCAAACAGCCAAGTAGCCGTTTTCAATTTTTCACAAAGTACTGTAGGTGAATGACTAGCTACTTAAATCATCTAAATTTTAAATTGAATTATTTTTCTGGTTTCTATTAAAATGTCCGTTTTTTTAGGTTGCAGAATTGCAATAATATCTTGGGTATCAATTTTCCTGTGCCTTATTGCCTGACAGTTGTCACGTTTGTCATTTGCTTATTTGAGAAAACAGCATTTTATTTTTCCTTCCACTTTATGAATTTGGTTCAGTCTGCAATATGAATTAAAATGTTCATTACAAACAGTAGCTACAATACAAAATTACATTTGGATAGTGCCTTTCACGTCGGAAGAATGTCACAAGGCGCTGGACAGTCAGGGATTTGTTTCAAACTGAAACAGAGTGCTGAGTACACTTGCCAAGAGGAAGGTTGAACGAATCTTAAAGGCATGATTCAGCATGTGAAAACCGTGTGAGGCAAAAATATCAACGAAAACAGATGGTTTACCGAATTGCTAGATTCCCAAATAAATTGAATTAAGACTCCTTTAAGTCATGCACAAGATGTGTAGTGCTTTCTGCAGTGGGTATGCATTGCAAAGTTGGTGGAATCTTAAATCAAAAACCATGACAGAAACTCACTTTATTGAAATTGCATAAGCAAAAAGTTCCTTCTGCAGCTTTCAATTTTGAGCCTATGAATGGACAACATCATGCATTCTTGGTGGGGAGCTGGTGGTTGATCTACATGGCTCAATAAAGGAACCTGGGGTTGTAGGTATATTCTCAACCCTGTGGTTTAAAAAAACAAAACAAATGCCGAGTGATCTGAGTTAGGCAAGTTGGATGGAATTTACTTGTGTATTGGTAAAATGGCATTTTTTCTATATTTAGGGAGAGTATAGGCCAACAGCTTTTAAATCAAATTTATTAATTTCAGTTAGTGAAGGCTCAAACCTATGCTTGTCAGATGTCAATTTACCACCTAGATACTATCCTCCTTGGGGGAAGATAAGCCGCTTCTCTTTGGAGCTTCTCTTTGGTAATCTAGTTCCTAAACCAGGTAAGTCTGCAGGACTCCAGGCTGATGTCAATCCAGTCTGATCGGCAGGAATTCGGTCAGCAGACCCACTGGGAGCATGGATTTTCCCCACTGTACTCTTCGTAAACATGGAAACCAAATCTATAATGGGTAAGGTGGTCCTAGTGGAAATTTGCCAGATAGTGCTGTCAAGCTTTGCTGTTTTAGTGATTAAACTCCCAACTCCAATGCACACTGTGGTCCCCAAGCATTGGCTCTTGCTAACCTGTACCTAACCATCTCTGGAATAAGATAAACAGGTACATCCTACTAGGGCATTTTACATTCCATTCTCGGTATGTGTATGAGGTATACGTGAAGCTCTGTCTGGTTTGGATACTCTTAAGCATAATGATGGTTTACTGCTTGTGTCAGACACTGTTGATTAAAATAAATTCTGGTGAATTGCATGTTCAAAATGTGATTTAGACAAATGTAGATTTGCTTAGATGCGTATTAATACATTGTACTACAATGCTTTTATAAATAAGTATATATGAGGTACAAAATATTTAAGGAGTTTTTCTTTTTTCAAAGGTTTTACATTCGAGCAAAGATGTCTTTGTACCCATCCTTAGAAGACCTCAAGGTAGACAAGGTGATGCAGGTGTGTATGAGGATATTATTTTTAATTTCAGTTAAAATGGCTTTATATAATAATAATCTTTGCATTTGTTGTAGCATTTTAACATGTCAAAATGCCTCAAAATGCTTCATATGACTTTATTGCAAAGTGCAGTAACCATTTGTAGACTGCCAGAAACTGGTTGAAGCAGAAAGCATCAATATGCTTAAAATTCCGACACAGACTAGTTGGGCTGAATGGCCTATTTTATACTGCAACGTTCTATGTAATGTGTGTGCAGCAAAGTCCAACAAATGGCCATGAAGTGATTGAAAATAAAATAATAATAATTCTTGCATTTGATATAGCGCCTTATCATGTCTTCAAGACATCTCAAAGCGCTTCACAGAATATACTGTGAAGTGAATGACTGTATATTTTATGGGAGAAACGCGGCAGCCTATTGTGCACAGCAGTGTTCCACAAATGGAAATGACCAATTTATTATTGTTTCTTACTTTGTGGCTTTGATCCGTGGAAAGCCTCAAATTGGTTTGGGTTTAAGGCAAGCGCAGAGTGCAAATTAGCGAGTTTAATCTCAAGAGGGGAAGTGGGGGGGTCTTGTTTCCAAGTCGGCAAGGGCACAAGTTGATGAATAAATACTCTTGTGCGGATACAGAACGATACGACTTTCATTTACATGCTTAATTCGCATTAGGAAGTGTCCAGGCGTTTTAACAGCTGCAATTACTCTGACAGCTGCTGGTAGTACTGGTACCCGATCATATTTATCTGAAGGATTTGGGGCCAGGACACCAGAAGAAACGTTTTTTTTATATCTCTTAATATCACCTGAACAGACACACAGGTTGTCTCATCCAAAGGACATTCCCTCCAAAAATGCAGTGCTTCCCCATGAATGCATTGGGCTGTCACCCTAGATTATGAACTCACAAGTCTCAATTTGGCGCTTGAATTGCAATGTACCTAATATATAGCACGGGTGCACAAATACCAAACCCAACATCTGGCACTTTTACCTAATCCTGTACAGTTTTCAAATGTCTTAATGCTCCAAATATAGTGTATTTGCTGCAAGTATAGATTGTGTTAGGCCACCCATAAGCCTTTTTTGTTTATCGGCAATGCAATCCATGATCAAAAGGAAATAATAATATTCCATTGGTTGGTGAGTCAGTAACAAGAGAGCACATATTTAAGATGCTTAGAAAAACGAATTAGAGTAGGTTAGGAAAAATATGTTTACAAAAAGCTTGTTTGGAATGTGGAATTCTCTGCCATAAACATTGATAAAGAGTTCATAGATTTTTTTTAAAAAAAAGGGTATTAAATACCTGAAAAGGGAAATGTTGAAGGACGTGGGATTAAAGCAGTAGAGTGGAATTAGATTAGGTTGCTCATGTAGAAAAGAACTTGAATGCAGGCTTGATCGGTCAAATAACCTGCTAGCATACTGTAACTTTTCATGATATCTTTTTAGTTAAATCCATTCATCCTAGATGTTACTCGGCTTGCATCAAGGCTGGTTAGTATATATTGTCATGAGTCAATTCACTTTACAATATATTCTGTGAAGCGCTTTGAGAGTCTTAATTTTTGCTATTAATTTTTGTATTGTATTCCAAATTAGACAACAATGCATCCGACAATGTTCCTTCCACTTATGGAATTAATTATGACTTATTGTAAATTTCTGCCTTTCATAATTTATTGTAGGTTTTAGCTTAGTATCATTTACAAACTGGGATATACATATCCCTGTTCTCATAAATGTACCTCTATTCCCACAACTCATATACTCGCCTCAATTCCCACATCCCACATTTATTTATCTCATCAAAGATAGATGTGGTAGAGTTGCAATGTAAACATGCTGTAATGAAAGTCAATTAATAATTAAGTTATGAAGCCCAAACTATACATAAAAATGCAGCCCATTGAGATAGGGTTCATTGATGTACAAAGCTAAGATCTAAAACTGGTTGGGCTGGAGGGAAACCACTTTTATCTGCTATCAGAATGGCAATCTGTCATTTTATTACGTCAGATATCTCATTTAACTTTGTTTCTCACTGAGCACAGAATGCTTCAGAAGAACTTGGCTTTCTAATTTAGAAATAAGTGCTAAATGCCCTGGATGGAAGCTCAAAAGAACTGAGGCTTCTTTGTCTATATAATTATGTGTGTCCTTTTTTCGTCCCCTCCTTCTCATACCCAGCAGTCCTGATTTTCTCATAATTTACCAACTTTCAGTCTTTTTTTCTACTCCTTGTGTTAATTTTGCTTTCTCATAATATTAGGCATAGTAACACCCATGGGTAGTTACTTTAAGGTCAGACATTATTACTTCATTTTTAAAATCAATGTTATTAACGACTGAACAATTTTACGGTTCAGTTGATTTAAAGAGCATTATCTCAGTAATAAATTGTGTTGACTTGGACTTTCATTATAGCATTTGTTTACATTGTAACTGCCACAGTAGATTTTTGATGAGGTAAATATGTGCTGAACTTCCTCATAGATAGAAAATTGTTCTCAGGGAGGGCGAGGATAGATTTCTTACTTTGAATTCCCTCCATTGCCACACTCCTACCTCTGTGACGTCTAAACCCTACTGACCTGGTAGCTGCCTTTGCTGAATGAACTGCTTCATGTCCTCTGCCTTATCCACCATTATGGAATCCCTCAGACTCTCTCGCACACTAGATTAGACACCCTTTTTACTTGTTCTGTTCCATTCAAACTCCCAATTTTTCAAGTCCCCTGCATCATAACTATAAATCCTCATCCCTGGTATTGACCTTACCAATGTAAAACTGCAACCTTTCCATGGATTTGACTTTTATTCCCTGTAATAAGGTGCCCAGAATTTCAATGAGTATTCATCCATAGTAATGAGTGTTCCATATTCTCTTTAACTATGTCCTTTAAGATGCGTTTTGTATGTTAAAAAGTGAGATAATTAAGTAGGTATTTGTTGGAGGGAAGTAATCAAGGGATGGATCTGTCCTGACGTAATATAACAGCCAACTAGCTGGATTAACAGTGGGAAATTTACAAATTCTTAATCATGGAAAACGGTTTCTATGCATGCTAAAGAACCTGTCTGTTGTTTTCTATTTTAAAGGAAAAGTAACTGCAGATGAAAAGTTTAGTTTAATGCCTCAGTGCTGTTTCAGTCCTTAGCACAAATTCTGAAGAAGATGGAAACTAGCTATCAAATGTACAGGGTGACCAAAAATGTCTTGATACCATTACAATGTCTAATAACTCTTAAAGAAATGATGATATGTTTTTTGTAGATAGTATAGTAGATATCACAGCGTTTTGGTCACCCTGTATTTTCAAATTAATTTAGGTCACTGTTTGCTGATCTGGAATAAAATCTGCTTCATGTAGTGAAATTTTGAATATCAATTGAAGATTTTCTTAGGCCTTCCAGTGATACTCTTAGGAAAATGATCCCGTTCAAACTTTGGTATTTGTACAGTAGTGAGGAGCGGCCCCAGCCTTATTGATTTATATGTCTGGTGTTGTTTGTTATTTCCCTCAGCCTCAGCTGATTGTACAGCTGATCCAATCCGGCTTCCGTGCTGCCCACAACATGGAAACAGCCCTGGTCAAAGTCACTAATGACATTCTGAACATCTGTGAGCAGGGCTCCCTCTCACTCCTTGTCCTCCTCGACCTCTCTGCCGCCTTCGACACTGTCGACCACTCCATCCTCATACACCACCTCTCCGCTTTACTCAATCTTCACGGATCTGCCCTTGCCTCACCGTCTCCACTTTGTTGCCTCTAACGGTTTCTCCTCCAGCCTCCGTATTGTCACGTTTGGCATCCCCCAGGGCTCTGTCCTTGGCCCTCTTTTTAATATCTATATGCTCCCCTTTGGTGACATCATCCGCAGGCATGGGGTCAACTTCCACATGTATGCGGATGACACCCAACTCTATATTTCTGCCTCAACAACAACAACAAAATTACATTTGTAGAGTGCCTTTCACGTCGGGAGGACGTTCCAAAGCGCTGCCTCCACTCTCAACTCCAGGACCACTGCTGTCCTGACAGACTGCCTGTCGAACATCAAGTCCTGGATGAGAGCAAATTTCCTACAGTTGAACATGAACAAGACTGAGGCCCTCCCGATTGGCTCGCGCCAGCGCCTCAGCATCTCAGGCTCTGGCAGCATCAACTTCCATGGTTGCACACTACAACTCACCAAACCAGTCAGGAACCCAGGTGTCTTGTTCGACCCTCAACTGTCTTTTCTTCCCCACATTCAAGCCATGAACCGCTCTGCCTTCCCTCAGCTCCATAACATCGCCCGACTCCGCCACTACCTCAACCCTCAAGTCTCTGAAACTCTTGTTCATGCCTTCACCACCTCCAGGCTCGACTATGCAAACGCCCTGCTTGTCGGACTTCCCAACTCCTCCCTCCACAGGCTGCAGATAATCCAGAACTCTGCAGCCCGTGCCCTCTCCCGCACCAAACTCCGTGACCCCATCTCCCCCACTCTCACCCGACTCCCATTGGCTCCCTGTCCTTCAGAGGATCCAGTTCAGGATCCTGGTCCTCACATACAAAGCTCTCCATGGCCTCGCCCCACCCTACCTCTGCGACCTCCTAACCCCCTACCAACCCGCCCGTTCCCTCTGCTCAGCCGGCTCTGGCCTGCTCCAAGTCCCCCGACCCACCCGCCCCACCATTAGCGGGAGAGCCTTCAGCTACTCTGCCCCCAACCTCTGGAATTCCATTCCCCAGTCACTCCACCTCGCCCCATCCTTCAAGTCCCACCTCAAGACCCTTCTCTTCGACCATGTCATCGGCCACCCGCCTTCCCTCCCTTCTCCCCTCCCCCCTCCAACCCCAGCTCGGGTCTGAAATGGCCTTGGGACGTCCTCCCGACGTGAAAGGTGCTATACAAATGTAATCTTGTTGTTGATTGGCTAAGATGGTTTTGTTTGATAAATGTGAATCTACAGTTGCCTACATGTCTGTATATTTTGTATTTAATCACATTGTCATTGCTTATTATATGGTTTATCAATTGTCTGTTTTTAGGCTCAATCAGAATTTGCTTCAAATTCTGCAGCTCTTGCTGCTTTACCTGAATCTACAGCTGCTGAGTCTTCAGGTAAATATTTTGGGGGGATGGTGGGAAGAGTTTGTAACATAAGTAGTACTACAACTGTAATGGTCAGTTGATGGCATATGCAAAAGAAATGGTAGCATATCTGACTGCATTTGCATTTCAGTAGTTCCATGAAAAAGGTGCACTTGTAACACCCTTCAAGAATATCCAGTTCCATGTGAAGGTGCATTAAAATGCATGTGCATTAAGATATGAAACGAGTTTGCCCACATGTTCCTAGGTTCTGGCACTACCCTTGCATAGCTTTTTTAAAAAAACTGTACCAGTCTAGTGCCACCTATCAAAATCTTGAAATCCAAGGATTCAGAAAAAGCACTGGGATTGCATCGTCTGGTTCCACTCATCTAATGTCTGTGCCCACTACACTGGTACCAGCCCAATATTGCACTGGTCCCTTCCATGTACCAATCTGGTACTACTTGGCTTTTTTTGTTTATTTTTACATCATTCCTGAATTTGGGGTTCCTCAGGAGCAATGGTAATGTCTTAATCTCATTGCCTTTTTTACCGTTGCAACTTTCTGTAGAGCAAATGCATGTTACTTCCACCCACTGCCATTTCAAACTTTATTAACAGATTGTTTAAGGCAGATTATATAAATTATTAGTAATTAAAGATCTTTTTACACATACTAGACTACTACATTTTCATAATGAACAAAGCTTTTTGCTGACCTTTTTTTCTTCACAGACCTTTATCCTCGCCTTTACCCCGAATTGTCTGAGTATATGGGGCTGAATCTGCACTCTACAGAGGTACAAAGGAACTTGGCTGTGGTTGGAACATCAGGAGTAAGTGATTGTATCCCCTGCTTCTTTATTTCACTACACAACTGACATTTGTTTCTCATGCTGTTTATGATATGGCAATTGACAGGAGCCAAACAAGTGAAAATGCACACATCTTGATTTTAAAGTAAGCTAGATCTGGAAATTCCCATTAATGTATGCATATATCCAAGCAACAGGAATGTTCTGAATGTGGTTGTTTTTGCTGTCATGAGATCTGAATGGTGGATCTGAAATCCCTTGTCAAATGGAAAATTTTGTTTTACAATCTAACTGGGAGTTTTAATCCAACAGCAAACTGGTGGTAAATCATCTTCGAGTTTGATGATTGCACCGGTAACCGGAAATGATGTGGGACTCCGAAGAGCTGAAATCAAACATGGTATCCGGGAAGTCATTCTCTGCAAGGACCAGGATAGAAGAATTGGCATTCGCGTGAAATCTATTGATAATGTGAGTACAATTGACTAGCCTGGGGTGAGCTGTTTCTGCTTTACAGCAGAAAACATGTAGAAACTGATTCTTATTTTAAAAGAAACCTTTCATTCCTATTAGCCACAATACTAATAATGGAGCTACAATTAGGTTCTCATTTGGAACTGGGAAGGGCAGAAGCTAAGTCCATCCAATTGTATTCCACTGGACTACTTGCTGGATTTCACAATGAGCTGTAAATATGTGCAACCAGACCCTTGAGTGCCTGTAGCCCCGGAAATGTTTCCACATCAGAGTTGATGTTTTCACTCTGGTTTTCCATGGAGGTGAATAGAATACTTGTTCAAGTATAGATTGAATATGTTTCATGAGAGAAATTAGTTGAATAATATGACAGATGGATATTTAAATTAATCTGTTGAGAAATACTTTTATTTGATCCCATTATTTTTTCTGATATTAAAGTTATAGATAGTAATATGATACTTTTACTCTTCTGAAAAAAACATAACCAATGCATTATATAATTGTATGAATTTTCCTATGACATTGTTTCTTTTGCCTATAGGGTATCTTTCTTCAGCTAGTTCAAGCGAACTCTCCAGCCTCTATGGCTGGTATGAGGTTTGGTGACCAGATTCTACAAATAAATGGTGAGAATTGTGCAGGCTGGAGCACTGACAAAACTCACCAGGTACTGAAAGATGCAAATGATGAAAAGATCACAATTATTCTGCGCGACCGGTAAGAGTTTGTTTTGTTTCCCTCACTGTAACTTTATCATAAATTGGTACATGTTTGTTTTCCCACACAGGAAAGTAATAACACAGGAGGGTGCTACATAAGTGCAAGGTTTTGTTGTTGTAATATCTGCTGAGTCATTGTGGGGAAGCGGAGGGCAGGGTTTGGTTTCATAATAATCCTTGCCTTCAATAATCCAAACTTCTTCATGTGCCAAAATGCTTCACAGGATTTTAAATCAATGTAGAGAGAACTCCAAATTGCAGTGTACAAGATGATCTTTTTCCATATAATCAGTAAATATCAACATTTAAAAAAATTAACTTCCTCTTTAGAAAACACTTGGAAACACTTATGAGTAAGAATGTCATTTGAAGCCTTCTTGGGAATTGAAATACACATGTTTTGCAGTGAATTAGTTGCCTGATTTATTAAACCTTTGATATTAACCTCAATGAATGTTATTATTTTGTACAGGCCTTTTCAACGTACAATCACTATGCATAAAGACAGCACAGGACACGTTGGCTTCATTTTCAAGAATGGAAAAATTATCTCAATCGTGAAAGACAGCTCAGCAGCCAGGAATGGGCTCCTGACCGACCACAGCATCTGTGAGATTAATGGTCAAAATGTCATTGGACTAAAGGTGAGAAGTTTTGGCATTTATTACTATCGAGATCTGGTCTGAAATTTCCAGCTAAGTGTAATTACAATGCCAATAATTACATTTACCAGTTTTTTTCGGGCTGGTACTGGCATTGTAGTTGTTTGAATCCTGTGTGCAGAAGGAGATAGTGAAGAAGCTATCCTCTACTTGTGGGGTTTAAACCAAGTTAAAGTCAATACTGTATCTCTGAAGGCCAGCAAGGATGCTAAAGCGGGGTGGTGGGGTGGGGGGCACTAGGAGAGTGGGTCGACATATATGTGTGCGGGCCTGTGGATTTTTTATTTTTAGGTCTGAATTCTGGGAGCCCGGGGGTTTCCTGTATAGTTTATTTTTGCTGGAAGTGGAGAATTGGAGGCACAAATGTTGCATTGTTCGATTTACATTTGCACAAATTTGTCTCAACTAAAATGTATCTAAATAGTTTAGATGCACTTGTGCATCACAGTAGTATTCAGTAGAGCTTTAATAATTGACTTTCTATATAGAAACAAGTCAATACCTACAGAAGTGAAAGTAAATGGTGTAAATTGAATTGTACAAATATGAATTTTGTATTTCATATTAAATACTATTTATAACTAATATTTTTAAGATTTCCATTTTTTAAAAAAATCATTGGTGTTCCAGATATTGTGTTTTTAAACCTGATCAATTGTTCAGCACTTTTCTATTTTCCAAACTCTGAGGAGATGCTGGATTTCTTTGAGTACAAAATTGAGGGGATCTGATCAGCTACCTCCACCCTCCCAACTGCCGAACCCTACCCATCCCTCCCTCCACATTCTTGATCCTGTCTCCCTCACCTCCCTCATCACCATCCAGGGATGCACTCCACCTCACCAAGCCAGTCAGGAACCTGGGCATCTTGTTTGACCCTCAACTGCCCTTTCTCCCCCACATCCATGCCATAACTCGCTATGCCTTCCCCCACCTCCACAACATTGGCCAACTCCGCCACCGCCTCAGGCCGCGAAATCCTCATACACCCGTTCGTCACGTCAAGGCTTGACTATGGAAATGCCCCCTTGTCGGCCTCCACAAGCTGCAGATGATCCAGAACTCTGCAGCTCGCGTCATTACCCCCACCCTCGCCCGACTGCACTGGCTCCCCATCCCTCAGAGGATAGAATTCAATATCCTTGTCCTCACTTTCAAGGCGCCCCACGGCCTTGCCCCTCCTACTCTGATCTGCTGACTCCCTATCAACCAGTCAACTTCCTCCGTTCAGTTGGCTGCGGCCTGCTCTGTCTCCCAAACTTGGGGATCTGTTATGTATCGGGCTAAGTTAGATAATTTTTGTATACTTCAGTAAAAATAGAATTCATAGACTTGCTTATAAATTAATATAATTTGTATTAGTACAGTGAAGCAGTTAGCTGTAGGTGTGAATATTTTAACCTTTTCCTTTTCTCTATGACTAAACAGGACACCCAAATTGCAGACATTCTGGGGTCAGCATCAAATGCAATAACCATTACCCTAATGCCTTCGTACATACAGGAACATATGTTGAAAAGGTAGGCATTGCCATTTGACAATATTCACCAGAGTTTCATTTATTTGGAACATATTGAACATATTTCTGAAAATGGTTGGATGGTTTAAACATTTTTTAGCTTTACCAACTCATATTGAAGTATTAAATTAAACCTGACAAATATATTGAATGTAACCTCAATTTATTGGTGATCAATAGTGAAATAATACTGTTATTGCAGTGACCATGGTTTATTATTAAGAATAATCAAAAAATCCTTACATTTGGTATAGCGCCTTTCACATTGGGAGGGTGTTCCCAAATTACTTCACATCTGACTGTCTTGTGCAATGTGAAAATTTTTAATTATAATTCATCTGCTGCTAGCAAACTAGTTCAGACATGGCATGTTATGAGTACAGTGAATTGTGGAGAACAGACTTCATTAATTGAATCCTAAGATTGACTCCACAAGCTGATATTTACTGAAGGGAACAGTTGTGTAAAAATGATTCATTTTAGGTCAAAGATGGTCTGATAATTAGTGTCCAGGTTCAAATGTAAAGAATTATTTGAACAAGTACACAGGGCCTGCCTCTATTTATGGAACTATATCTAAAGCATCAGCCTGGCTCAATTGGTCTTCTCTTGAGACAGAAGGTTGTGGGTTCTAGCACCACTTCAGATCTTTTGAGTTTACAGTCTATCCTGATACTGCACTCTGGTGCAGTGCTGTATTGTTAAAGGTGTTGTCTTTCAGATTAGACTTTAAAATAGAAATCCCATCTACATGTTCAGGTGGATGTTAAAGATCCCATGGCACTATTCAAAAAAGAATTCTTCCTGGTGTCCTGGACAGCAGTCCTCTTGGTAAAATTGGTTGTTTGTCTCTGGGCTGTTTTGAGGGATATTGTTGTGCACAAAATGACTGTTGCATTCCCCTACAAATAGTTGTTATCACAGCAAAATCAGGTTAACTGCTTTGAGACATTTTAATGATGTGATAAGATGCTACATCAATTTCAGGATTATTATCAGAACTGATGAAGGGAGAAATTGAAAGAAAGAATTGGTATGTTTAGTATTGAGATGCTAATGTTTAATTATTAATATAAGCCAAATTTGATTTATAAATTAAATTCAATGCATTGTATGATATAAGTTTGTTAGTGGTCCCAAACTCACAATATTTATAGTGATCAATCGAAACTGAATACCATTTGCGGTAAATAACAGCTGATTCAACACGATAGACGAGATGAACTAATTATTTTTCTTATTCTTTAGGATGGCCTCAAGCATTGTTAAGCAGCTTATGGATCGCTCTCTTCCTGAGGTGTAAGGTCTCATGATTTGTGAGCTTCAGTGATATATGGTTGTTCATCCTTAGTCTAGTTAAAGCAGCAGTTTAGAGAATACCTGGCTTCCACATCAAGACAGTTTTTTAAATAAGTGTAAAAAAGGCAGTTAATCTTTGCTGCATAGGAGTATAATTGCTGTTCTGTATTACACTTAAAGCAATGTACAAAATATTAGTTCTTATCTACTCAATACTATTTGTTTACAATACATGGTAAAATGGCACATTAACTTTTTCCATTCCTAATCATTTATGTATTTCATCGTTCCGTATACTTTCAATTGGATTATGTGCAGAATTTGAGTTGAGATTTAGCAGTGTTGAAGGATACTAAATCTAGCAAAATTGTGAATAGTTCTGGTTTCAACTCTTATCTATGTCTTTGACTACCTGTTATGCTTTTTTACAATTCACTTTTGAACACAATGCATGTTTTTGACCTGATCATAATTATTTTAATACAATATAACTTTATGTATCCTAATTTACTAGTTTTCAGTGTACTCACTTCTCTCATTACCTATAATTAATGACCTCTAGGAAGCCTTATGAATGCAAAGCTAATTTTTGACTATTTGCAAATAAAGCATCTTGAAAAGGATTTAACACTTTCATTGTCTTTACTCATTTTAGACACACTGCATTACTTTCCTTAAGAGCAAGATAACATTTGCAGATGATAACCAATGTGGAGGAATTGGGTTAAAATCCAAGATCTTATAGTGAGAGCTCAAACAGGCATAGACATGTAGGTCGGTGGATCGGATGAATGCAAGGTACTGTATTTAGGAAGCAAAAGTGGACTGATGTAGTTTGTAAGACAGAACATTCCAAATTGTAACTTTCAGATGTAGTTATCTTGTACTATGTTGAAATAGTGAGGCAGAAACAAAACAAGGAGCGGAGGTCTTTTATCTGATATGTGAAAAAGAAACTGGGTCAGGGCTCAGACAAGGTGCCACTTATATTAAGCATTTTGGTTTATCATTTAAAAAAAATGATCTATGGAAAAGCATAAACCATCCAGGAAGGTTTTAAATGAAAAAGTACAATATTTTATTTACCTGCTAACACTCTCAAAGAATGGAAGCCTTAAATACATAATAAAATGAAACTAAACACAAATTCAATTTAAACATTTGGTACACGTTATGTACACCTAGGGATAAATATTTTAGAACAATGGAAAGTCTTGCCTTTTACACCATGTTATTATGTTCAGTCTCCAAATCACTACAAAACTTTGGTTTAAGAATGATGCAACGAAAATGTAAAAATAACTTTCCATTTATTGGATATTTACCCCTGTTTCTCAAAGTGCTAATAATATACCCACTATGACTTTAAATATCAAATACAAATATTTTGATTTGTTATGTAAAATCACTATCATACCAGAGGCTATTGAGGAAATGTTTTCAAGCACTCTGCCTTCCAACTAAAACAGATTTGCATAGCAAAAACAAAGTAGATGAGGGATAAGCAAAAATACCACATCTTCACCATGAAAAGGACAAATCAGTATGCTTTTCTTGTAAACAGTGGATGCTCATAAAGAAATGTTGACCTAACTAGTGAGTTTAAATTATTGCCCAATATTGCAATTAATAGGATTGCAAAAGACTGCCCACATTAGTGGGGTGAGCTTCCATTGTACCTTAATGACAACATTCTAAGTCGGTGGCAATTTGTGTCAAATAGGAAATCAGTTTTGTTCTGCAGCCAAATTTCTAGGAGAAATCAGACTGGCGGTGCAGGACGCTTTCCCCAATCCCTGCTGGTTTGTTTGCAAACCACCTTACTGGAGATTTTTTTAATAAATAAAAGCCTAAAATATTTCAAGTATTAATGTTGTGGGAAACGTTTAATGTCTATAAATTACTAAATTAAACTAGATGCACTTTGCATACATATATAGGAGGGAAATGAGATTTTACTAGTCAATATCTAGAGCACAAGTTGAGAATTGCACAACTGTGATGGCAGATAATGGTCACAAAAAGGCAGGCTGGTTCAACATGCAATATGAAGTTTACACATTCCTTATAACAGCTATTGTACCAAAGAACACTCAATGCCATTACAGTATATGAACAATATGATACATTTGTAAATGAATCCCAGTGCACAAAAAACTACATCCACAGTTGAATATGCCAAAAACAGAAAGATGTTATAATAATTACATGTAACTGAACCAATTATAGTATTTCCATTGGCCAACAATGATATAGAAAGCTGTTGATAATGAAATTTGCTACTGACATGGCATATTTTACTTTGCCACATCTTGAAGTACCAACCTCCACCAAAAATTATCTAGACCTTTTGTGAGGAGTAATCCTTTAGATCTTTTGATAACTGTACTTAAAATACAAGTAGACACAGATTTTGGTTAGGAACTACTCCAGATGTAGATGTCCAAGATATTTTCTACAGTAAAAGTCAGCCACTAAAAGGCAGTAAGGCACAATCATTGAACGAAAACACCGCGATTCATATAAGTTATAAGGCTGAACATTTTATTTCAAGAGTCAATACTTTTCATTAAAATATGTATATATTTCAATAGCTATTCAGTTTGATCTGAATGGTCTCCACTCCACATTATTTGAAACCAGAGTCAAACTACAATATTATCTAAGTTGAAAAGGAAAATGGCTTAATGTGGCTGAAAACACCTTTGTGCTTCCAGCTTTTTATTTTGGAGCTGGCTTGTTTCATACACATGCTTGGTCAAAGAAAACATCATCAATAACTTTTGTAAATGCACATTGTTATATTGAATGCAGAATAACTGATTCTATAGTAACCAGACTAAAAGGCAAGATATACCCAACTGTACAGAATTTGGTTAAACCCAAGTAAAATTACACAAGCATTTCCCCATATTATTTTAAATTTCTATTTCAGAAATACTCAATACTTTGCTTCTCAGCTGTGTAGTTGCACAGCATTGGAGTAAGAAGACCCAAATTTGCTTTCCTCCTTGTACATTGTTGCATTAAGCAAAAGGTTCGCATATTTCAGATGGGAGATAGAATAACACATTGTGAGTTCAAAATAAATTGCGTTATACAGCTTTAAAACCAGTCTTCACTTCAATTTTTATTCTTTTTAAAAATCACTGTATATTAAAGTGTGATTTCAGAAAAGGCACTTAGTAATGGAGCTTCCAGAAAATGATCTGTTTATCTTCTCCTCCTGTTATGATGCTACTGCATTGCTCGTTCATCCAAATACATGTGACAGCACCTTACGAAAAACACAAGATAAAGTTTCAAAAATAATTTACAGTTTAATAGCAATCATATTGGTACAATTTCTATTTTATACATGTCTAGAATGATGCTTTCTCAAATCAAATAGGTGCAATCTACTTTGAGAACTTCAAGCTCACTTCATGCATTAATACTAAAGGACAGGAATGGGACTGTTGGCAGACCAAAACATTCTCCAAAATGAAATAAAAATTAACTCATACCTGAATGTCCAGGAATTCTTTCAGTGACTTTTGCAGCCATCAGATCCCAAACTAAAAGTTCGCCTGACTGGCTACCTGAAAGAACAGTGTTTCCATCCCAGCAGAAACACCTGTAAATGAGTCAAAACGTCAATTGCTGTAATCCAACAGATACTATGTAATATTCTACACAACCAGGACATTATTTTGCCTGCCAGCCGAGCTCAGGTAGTAGCACTCTCACATCTGAGAAGGTTGTAGGTTCAGGCCCCATGTTGGGACTTGAATTAACAGTCTAGGCTGACAATCCAATGTAGTACTGGCAAGTGTTGCTTTGTCCTTCAGATGAGACATTAAACCAAGGTCCCACCTGCCAGTTCAGGTGGACGTTAAAGATCCCGAGATGCTAGTCAAAAATCCTAATAAAATTTTATCATTTGTCACATAGCTCTTTGTGGGACATAGCTGTGTGCAACTGGGCTGCTGCATTCGTCTACAGAATACAATCAGTACACTTATAGAGTCCTATAGCTTAGTGGTTTGAGCACTCGCCTCACAAGCGAGAGACCTGGATTTGATTCTTGGCAGGGTGGAACGTTAGGCATGTTTTCTTACTCCACGCGCCTCTGTTTATCTAGCAGTAGGTAGGAACCCAGTTATTAATCAATTGGCGGATCACTTTTCTGGGGATAATAATAATCCTTACATTTGATATCGTGCTTATCACGTCTTCTAGACATCTCAAAGCGCTTCATAGAATATACTATAAAGTGAATTAACTGTATATTTGTAGGCGAAACAAGGCAGCCAATTGCACACAGCAGTGTCCCACAACAGTTGTGGAATGAGTGACCGATTTATTATTGTTTTTTTCTTGAGGAATTATTATCAGGCGTGTGGAATAAGAAAACTTGCCCAAGGTTTGGCCTTGCTGGGAATCGAACCCAGGTCTCTTGCTTGCGAGGCGAGTGCTCTAAATCACTGAGTTACAGGTCTCCAAAAAACAGGTAGGGATAATAATCCTTTAAAAAAACTTATAAATTAGTCACTCAATCCAAGACTGTTTGTGGGACACTGCTGTGCGCAATTGGCTCCTGCCTTTCACCCACAAAATAGTCAATTCATGTTGCAGTATATTCTGTGAAGCGCTTTGAGATATCATGAAGACATGATAAGGTGCTATATCAAATGCAAGGATTATTATTATTTTTATTACTTATAATAATCCTTGCATTTGATACAGCGCTTTTCACGTCTTCTCCACATCTCAAAGCGCTTCACAGAATAGACTGTAAAGTGAATTGACTGTATATTTGTGGGCGAAACGCGGCAGCCAATTGCGCACAGCAGTGTCCCACAAACAGTTGTGGATTGAAAATGACCAATTCATTGTTGTTTTATTTTGGAGGGATTATTATTAGACGTGTGGAGTAAGGAAACTTGTGCAAGGTTTCGCCCTGCCTGGTGTCTCTTGCAAGGCGAGGGCTCTAACCACTGAGCTACAGGATTCCACTTAAAGGTAAATCCTATGAAGGTCTTTGAGACATCCTCCTGATGTGAAAGGCACTATCCCAAATGCAAGGATTATTATTATTAACAATATTTTACCTCTGTTGCTGACTTGAAGACAAAGAAGATATCAGCATACCGGTCTGAACATCAATAACTTTAAGACAGCAGTCTTGTCCAGCACTGAGAATATGTCGACTATCTGTCAAGATAAAGTAAAACACAACCACAATCAAATATCAGGTTACAATGAATTTGTCAAACCAGTTTGATAACATCAGCCTGAACTCTCTTAAAAATGATAATACACCACCAAAGTGGGTTTAACTATTAACTGTTACACTGGTGGCAATGGGATTCCTGTTGTCACTGTCACTAGATTCTCTCATAGCATAGTCAGCATTGGGATCAGAATTTAGGAGATTGTAAAAAATGACCGAGTTAACAATACAAGATAAAAATCAGACATTTTTGGAGAAATTTCAGAATTGAAAAGCCATCTTAAAAAAAACAGGTAGGGATGTGTTTACACTGACTGTATTTACAATTGCTAGCTGCCAAATAAGTACACTTGGGGAAAAAAAACATTCCACATTGTAAGACTGCAACAAGGTATGTCTTTGAAAATGTTTTAAAGCTCAAAACATACCGGGACTGAAAGCAACATCATTGACTGTTCCAGAATGACAATGAATCTGATGCAAAATAGTTAAGATAGTCAGATCCCAAATAGTAACAGTCCCTTCCTTGTTACCCGATACAAGCAGTGTGCCAAAAGGATTCAGGCTGATTGTATTTACCTGCCAAAGAAGAAATCAAAACTTAATTATTTTCAATTTGAAAACAGTATCATTTCTTAATTTCCTTTCACAAATGCACATTAAAAACACTATCAGACAGGATGGTGCCAGACTAGATTGTCAGTAGTTTTAAAACACTTATGATACAAAGCGTTTTGTGAAATTAGTCGATAGCGTGCAACCCTGTTAGGAGGCAGCAGCAGCTTTCACTCATGCTTATACTTATTGTTCGCCATACTAAAACGGCCAACTTTTTGAGTCAGATTGTCACCAAAATGACATCCTGTTTACGAACCGATATGTAAAGCAGGAAGTGACATCAGCATTGACATGATGATCTCGAAGTCTGCCTTTTTTAAAAAAATCTAGATACCAGCCGAAAATCAGTGAGCGAGCACTCTGAGACATCCTCCCAATGTGAAAGGGGCTATACCAACTGCTAAGATTGTTGTTGTAATATTCCCTCGCTAGCAGGAAAGATGCACCCCGATAAAGCATTAAAGTGGCCTTGTGCTCAAACATCTGTCTGCAATATGCAATCATGTAGCTAATTTAAGATCTATGACTCACCACATTGGCAGACTTCTTAGGACAATTATTCCAATTGTTTTGAAAGCTAGACCTCAACACAATATTTTGATATGTAGCCCCGACTCCCAACATTTTCCCATCAATGCTCATTGCCTTTAATGTAACAGGGATGTTAGGTGCCAAATTAAAGCAAACCTTGTTTCTGCACTGTGCGTGCCATACGAGTTTAAGAGACAAAGGAGGAAAGAGGGAAGGAACAAAGGCAGATGTGCATCGCTTTACAGATCATAGTAAAAAAAGTTTTGTAAACTAAAATGGCTTGAGAATTTAAAAAATATTTGTAGCTATTAATGTCCACATGGGGAACAGACATGTTTTGTCAGATGCTAATTGCATTCCATACGAATTGTAAAAGCATGTTTAACCACCAACTCCCACAAATCCCTCCCTCCTCAACCCGAGTTGCTGGTCTGCCACCAGCCCAATTTTCCTCAGAGGAATTTAGCGAGAAGCAAGAAACCACAAATCTAATATTCTACCAATGATTTTTTTCCTGTTCTAGCTTGACATTCCACCCCTCCCCTCATTGAGACTGCCTAACACCAAACCTAAATACCATCATCAAGGAATCATCAAGTTATTGTAAACAGAACCAAACTTCTGAAAGGCTATATACTTACACCTGCATCATGTTCCAACTCAGCCAGGAGCTCACAGCTATTTTTTCTGCAACTGGAGATATCGTTTGCGTCACATTTCCACACCTACAGCCAAACAAAGTTACAAATTTGTCTTTTTTTAAAAATTTTTTACCAACCATTGAAACCCAATTCAGAATGTGTAGTTAAATCACTGAATCAACAAATAACACCAGACTACTTTCAATAGATAATAGTCAATTGTAGTTGCTCTGTTTTAAAAACATAGTGCTGCAGTTATTTAATGTCAATAGAGCAAAAAAGGAGCAGCAAGACCAAATTATTAGTTGTATTGATACATCTTAGTCACTGACCAGTAAGAAAAGTATCTATAATAACAATAATCCTAGCATTTGATATAGTGTCTTCTCACAGCACCTCATAATGTAAAGTGTAGTGACTGTGTATTTTCTTCTACTCTGCATTATAGTCAATTAATATTGTATCAGTTTTAATAATCACCTACACCCACCTTAACTGTAGAGTCCCAGGATGCAGTGTATAAATGACCTTCGTACCAGCAGATCTTGCTGACAGCATCATCATGACCCATAAGTGTATCCTGCCTTCTTCCATAAGCTACTGAATAAAAATAACTGGAACAAACGCACAAAATTCTCAGCACTCCAGACATTCCACACTGTACCAGCATCCAAATCTACCTTCAATAGCAGTAAACTCATAATAACTTGACATTGGTTTAACTTAAATCATTATCTGTCAATATCCCGGCTGCATTTACATGTAATTGTGTATTTATACATAATGCCTAATTCACCTCTCTGGGTAACTTATCACTGAGCTCTTTTCCCCTTGGATTGACGAGTTATCAGGAATTTACTGTATAATACTCCTTGAATTTGACAGTTAACACTATTCATATTTAAAATAAGTCTTTATAATACTTACACATTGTTATCCCATGATGAGCAAAGAACAGTTCTGTCTTCCAGCAACAGACAAGATGACAGAGCCTAACGCACGCAAAATGGAAAAGTCAGTTTAGCAGAAGACAGAAATACATTTTAACTCAGTGATTCAATATGATGTGGAATTCACTGCCGCAAAGTTGAGTCAGAGATAATTAGTTAGATGCTTGAAGAGAAGGAATTTTAAAGAGTGGAGGGAGTGAGGTGAATGGCATTAGATTAGCTCATGTAGAGGAAAAACACTTGATGGACTTGATGGACCAAATGGCCCCTTTCTGTGCTGTAACATTCTATGGTTCTGTAAATTACACCATTTGGAATTGTTTTGGAATAACTGGATGTGCTGGGTAAGAGCTGACAGAACTGCGGTGGTCTCAGCAGACAGGTTCCTGGGCACTGCTGATGAAACAAACTAACCTAACTTGGAGGGATAGAGATTCTTCCCACTTGGTTCTCGTTAACCCTGCAAGCCAAATTCCAAGCTCCAAGCTGACAAGCAGCAGGAAATTTGTCCAACGGTGCTCACAAAGCACAGAGGTCTCCAAGCCTTGGCTCTTGGCCACCTACGCCTGATACTTTCCAGAATTCGGTAAACATTACATTTGTACAGCACCTTTCACATCGGGAGGATTGTCCCAAAGCGTTAAGACGGTCAATGGTGTGCACCCGATATGTGGATTGGGATCAGGAGGGTTGGAGGGCAGAGAGGGTGGGGGTAGGAGGGTGACTGAAGGTACAATTCAAGAGGAATAGCTGAGGAAGGTCTTGAGATGGGGACATGGAATAGAGAAATCTCTTTTACAGGTTAAACACAGCATCAGTTCTCACCATATTTGAGAAGGACGTGCTCCGCTGCAACAACTTTGTTTCCTTGGAAAACATTTTTAGTGTTGAATCTGCAATGTTGTTTTTAAACAAATGTAAGGTATGAATCAACGGTATGAATTTTATTATAACTGTAGACATAACAAAGACACAGAGATGTATATTCATGATTATTTCTCCCACAAAACACACAGACATTCCACTTTACAGGATATCCTAGAGGTGCTCAGAGGTGCTCTCGGCACGAGTGGCACTATACCAAAGGTAAAGATTATTATTAGACAAACCACTTAAATATTTTAACAAGATATATTTTACTTTGCATGATGCAAATTGATCGATTGATTTGGGGCAACTAAAACAGTATTAAGAATATGGAATGCCACCGCTGTACAATAAAATGATCCAGTAATAACATTCATTCCTTAACAGCGACACATTGCACTGTAAAAGAGTGACAGAAGGTACGGTAAAGGTAAGTTTTTCGGTATATAGCCTTTAAAGGTATATAGAGAGGAGCAAAAGGGAGGGGAGAGAACTCATTTGTATTTGCCATCACCAGTAGGGCGGAAGGGATGGGAGATGCACAGCAGGCCCAGGTGCCTAGAGGAGTGGGCAAGTAGAAGAACGAGGCTGGAGACAATCACAGAGGTAGAAAGGAGCGAAACACCAGCATATTTTTGTCATAACATGCAAGCTGAAAATTACCTTGAGAAGTTGTGAGGACTGAGGAGCCATTGCTAGATACAGCTATTCCAGTCACTGCCCTAAATTGTGACAAGATAAAAGATATTGAACAACAACAACAACAACATTACATTTGTATAGCATCTTTCACATCGGGAGGATGTCCCAAGGCGCTGGACAGTGTACAGCATTTCAGACCCGAGCTGGGGTCAGGGGGGGGAGAAGGGAGGGAAGGCGGGTGGCTGATGCCATGGTCGAAGAGGAGGGTCTTGAGGCGGGACTTGAAGGAGGCTAAGGAGGGGTCGAGGCGGAGTGACTGGGGGATGGAATTCAAGAAGTTGGGGGCAGAGTGGCTGAAGGCTCTCCCACCAATGGTGGGGCGGGTGGGTCGGGGGACGTGGAGCAGGCCACAGCCGGCTGAGCGGAGGGAAACGGGCGGGTTGGTAGGGGGTTAGGAGGTCACAGAGGTAGGGTGAGGCGAGGAAATGTAGGGCTTTATATGTGAGGACCAGGATCTTGAACTGGATCCTCTGAAGGATAGGGAGCCAATGGAGTCGGGCGAGAGTGGGGGAGATGGGGTCACGGAGTTTGGTGCGGGAGAGGATATGTGCTGCAGAGTTCTGGATTATCTGCAGCCTGTGGAGGGAGGAGTTGGGAAGCCCGACAAGCAGGGCGTTTGCCTGGAGGTGATGAAGACACGAACAAGAGTTTCAGCGGCCTGAGGGGTGAGGTAGTGGCGGAGTCGGGCGATGTTATGGAGCTGAGGGAAGGCAGAGCGGGTCATGGCTTGAATGTGGGAAAGAAAGACAGTTGAGGGTTGAACAAGACACCTGGGTTCCTGACTGGTTTGGTGAGTTGTAGTGTGCAACCATGGAGGTTGATGCTGCCAGAGCCTGAGGTGCTGAGGCGCTGGCGCGAGCCAATCAGGACGGCCTCAGTCTTGTTCACATTCAACTGTAGGAAATTTGCCCTCATCCAGGACTTGATGTCTGACAGGCAGTGTGTCAGGACAGCAGTGGTCCTGGAGTTGAGGGTGAAGGCAGAAAGATAGAGTTGGTTGTCATCCGATTACATGTGGAAGTTGACCCCATGTCTGCGGATGATGTCACCAAGGGGGAGCATATAGATATTAAAGAGGAGAGGGCCAAGGACAGAGACCTGGAGGACGCCAGACGTGATAGTGCGGGGGCTGGAGGAGAAACCATTAAGAGGCAACAAAGTGGAGACGTGAGAGAGATAGGAATCGAATCAGGCAAGGGCAGATCCGTGGAGATTAAGTAAAGCGGAGAGGTGGTGTACGAGGATGGAGTGGTTGACAGTGTCGAAGGCGGCAGAGAGGTCGAGGAGGACAAGGAGGCAGAGAGACCTGATCACAGACGTTGGTAGCTGGAGAGGAGGGATGGATCCAGGTAAGGTTTATTCAGGATGGGGGTGATGACGGCTGTTTTTAGGGGGGGTGGGAATTGAAACGGTGGACAAGGAGAGGTTGATGACGTCGGACAGGAGAGGAGCCAGAAGGTGGAGCTGGGAGATGAGGAAAGAGGTGTGGAGGAATCGAGGGAGCAGGTGGTGGGTTTGAGTTTGCGGACAGTGGTGGTGAGGGAGGAGGGAGAGATAGGGTCGAAGGAGTATAGGGAGGGATGGGTGGGTTATGAGGGAGAGGTGATTTGGGGATGGCTGTGGACGGGGCTGAGGTGGCTGAACATATCCCCTCGATTTTAGATTCAAGGAAGTCCAGCATCCCGTCACAGTTGGAGTTTGAGGAGAGGATGAGCGAGGTATGGGAGGCAATTTTCAAGATGGATCATAGATTAGTAGTTCGCCAAGGGAACTAAGCCAATTGTGCCTGACCTAACAACTCCTTTTTTTGAAGAGGGATGAAGGTTGACAGAAATAATTATCACTTTGCAATTCCCGTTATTGCATTTTTATTTACAAATAATATATAAATGCGCTATATAAATGCAAGTTGTTGTTGATTTAGTAATAGGAGTTGCTTACGTTACGTCTGTTCACCTATAAACCATGTTTAGATGTTTATCCAAATTGCAATATCACCAGACCTATTAGTCAGTCATTCACATTGCACAGTCAGCGATTAAATGATAAAGAAAATATGTGCACAACTTACTCTTTGTGATTTTTTTGCTGGCAAACTATATAGAGTTTACCAATATTACTCCAGGCTAGTTTCTGGCTTTCTTCTGTTAAATCTTCAAACGAAGAATCTTCACAGGGTGATCCTGTGGTACAGAAAATTAGTTACTGTGGTACAGTGAACGTCAGATCGCAAATGAAGTACAAAAGAACCTTTAGAAATCAAGTCAAACATTTACTTTCTCCGTTTAAAAAGTATAGTCAGGGCTAGGCAGAGGATAAAACGGCAAAATAAAGCCATGTCTTTTCACAAACAGCAATTCAAATATAATAATAATCCTTGCATTTGAGACATCTGAAAGCCCTTCGCAGAATATACTGTAAAGTGAATTGACTATATTTTGTGGCCGAAACATGACAGCCAATTGCGCACAGCAGTGACCCACAAACAGTCATGGATTGAGTGACCAAATTATTTCTTTAAAATTTATTTTGAAGGAATTATTAACCCGGAAAAGCGATCGACTAAAAACCGGGCTCCTCTTATTGCTAGGTAAACAGAGGTGTGTGGAGTAAGGAAACTCACTCAACGTTTCGCCCTGCCAGGAATCGAACCCAGGTCCTCTCAATTGCGAGGCAAGTGCTCTAACCACTAAGCTACAGGGCTCCACATATAAGGGAGAATATTCATACAAAACAAGTTAGCACAAGGTCTAATCCAGCTTCCATCTGAAACAGGTTGTGGCACAGAATTGCTTGCAATCTGTATTAACTCTAAATACAAGTTCCCAGAAAGGGCATTGTGTAATGCAGTCTTTAAAAAAAAACAGGCTTGTCGTGGGATTTACTGGGATTTCAGATTGCAAAAGGAGAATCCTGCTAATAGCTGACAGTAAGTCACAGTAACTCTTCTCCAAAGCACCGACAGCAGGTTATGGGATGCCTGCAAGCAAGCAGTGACACAGTGCTGGTTACGGCCAGATTTCCCATGAATGAACGACTCGCTATTAGTGAATCCCGTTGCAATTGGCCACATTTTCAACCCCAATGTAGGGCATGTCTGCATCGTTAAGATGGGCAAATAAAAATAATATGGAAGAATTGCACAAATAAAAGACCATGCAAATTTAACAGTTCTAACAATTCTCTATATTAGAATACATTAGGATATACAGTACAGAAACAGGCCAGTTGGCCCAACTGGTCTATGCCGGTGTTTATGCTCCACATGAGCCTCCTCCTGGTCTTCCTCAACTAAGCCTTCAAGCATAACCAATCTTACATAAAAAGCAACAAAACACACAATAATTTGTGATAACTTGTTTTGCAGTGAAGATCCTTCCTTATATTTGAATTTCCACTATCACAATGAAACATGCACAATTTTCAATACTTCATTATTAGTAAATAATGCAAGCCAATTGATAGTGCAATTGTACCTGGAGATGACTCTGGCATGTTAGCACTCCGGCTGGTTCCCCTGGATAGACTCTTGAACTTCGGCATTATTCTTTGAGGATGTGGAGTGGTAAACAACTGTTTTGGTGTCTGCCCAAACTCCAGGATCTGAATTAACATTGCTATTTTCTGACTTGGATCCTCAATGCTGAATAAACATAATCAGAAACCTTAGTTAAAATTCTACTAATTCGCCCAATGTTCATTTCATTTCTTGGTAAATCAATAATTTGATGTGGATAACATTAATTTACTTCAACAGCAGCCAAAAAACCTAACACAACATTTTTGTAAACTTGTTGATTTACTGGAGTAGGGAAATATTTCATATGTAAAACATGTGTAAGCAAATGCAGCAAAAATAGTTATTACCTGTTCCAATCAACTCCCCCTTCGTACGTCAAAGGGTGAAACACTAAAATAACAGAAGGATTTATAAGAACTTTGTTTTCGCTTTTTTTTATATAAATACCACAATAAAATAAACTTTCTGGTTTTGTTTTTTCCTGTTATCAGTTTGCAATTTTATAATATAAAACTTTTCAAAAATAATATTAAGAAACTCATACCATTGTGTGATGCAATGGCTTCAGTGCCCTTTTGCTTGTAACCAAATATTAGATCAATCCATTCATGCAGATATTCAGAGACATATTGGCTTTCTAAAGCATCTCTGCTCTTCTGGAGAAAATCATCAGGATCTAAGAGATAAATTAAGACAAGTCTGACATACATACTCAAAATACATTTAGCCACAACTTCATCAATTAAACACTACTTTTACACAAAAGACAAATTTGTTTTAAAAAAAAGCTAGCTCATATCCTCGATATAGTTTTCACATTTTCATTTGCCGTGTTTTGTAAATCCTCCTGCAATTTTTGAAATGTTTCATTTCACGCATGGGACTCAACAGACTATTCATTGCTCGCGCTGACTGGTGCCATAACTAAGATCAATCATACGAAATGAATGTCTAGTCTTGGGACATTTGCTTGAAATAAACTGAAAGAGGAACAATGTACTTTTTCAACATTGTAAAATGTCACTTATGAAACTGTACAACCCAGATTTAGAAATGTTAGTGTAACCAAAGATTCAAGGGGAATCAACACCTTGAATTGGAGCACAAGCGTTGAGAATGATTGAAACTAAAATACAAATTTGCTTCATGCACGGGATAACAGGAAATAAGAGCTTGAGAAATCTGACCAGATCTGATTACCTGAAGCCCATGGTGGCAGCTCCACAGAATCTACCATTTTTCCACCCTGCCGCTTCCCAAGGTCCAACTTCAAACTGTTCACAATGAAGCTGGAATCTGTGCCATAAAATTCTGGGATTAACTGGAACATTTTAAAAAAGATTAATCAGTTAATCAGATAATTATTCAATACATAACTTCAGAATAAATTAATTATTAGACAAAAAAAATTGTCTCTCTCTCCCTTACCTCCTTGAAGTCCGTAGCACCTTCCAGACAATTTTTCCAAGTCTCTGCAATACTAAATAAATGTTGATTAAATATTTTTCCCATCCCTAACTCTCTGACAAACCAACACTAAATTAATCTAAGGTACCGGCACTAACCTGTTGAACATTCTATCTGCATTGTCAAATTTTCCATTCTGTAAACACAACATGTATTCAGGGGCTGCAAAACAAATGGGAGCAAAAGGTTAAAAAACACTTTCTGAAACTCAGTTATCTCACTGAACCATTCAAAAAACACAAGGGCATTGCTATAGTTTTTTGTCTTGTAAAATAATCTAAGTACTGTATTTAAAATGATGAGCTCCAAAACAGATCAAAAGTGCAAAGTGTCAGACATTAAAAAAAGGCAAAAAAATGGTCAAGATCATGAGAGGTTTGGACAAAGAAATCCTTTAGATCCATTTGATCTCATCCTTCCAGAATACCCAACTACATTCTTCTAATTACAAATCAAGGGGTTTGTTAAATGAGCATGTGTCCTGGCTTCTACTACTTTCTGGTAATCTAGCCAAGTAAAGAAAGATTTCCTCTTGAGAATCCCCAATCTGTCTTCTTGTTCTGCTGCTTTGGCATATCTGAAACCATCGAATTGGGTTTGCTTTCTCTAAGTGGGGGAAGAAACGCTGAAATCTCGCCCACTGATGGGTGATGTGAGGCAGGCCAGTGTTTTTTTTTGAGCCAGTGAAGCAGCCAGGGCCGCAGGAACAAAGGAGGTCACAGAGGTAGGGTGGGGTGAGACCATGGAGGCATTTAAAATTCAGGATGAGAGTTTTGAATTTGAATTTGGATCTGAGCAAGAAGGCTGATGGGCTTGCAGAACCTGGAATGGGAGAGGACATGTGATCAAGAGTTCTGGATGGTCTGTAGCTTGGGTAGGGAGCAGCAGAGCATGGGAGTCCAGCAAGGAGTGGGATTGAATAGTCAAGTATATAGTTGATGGACGCATGGTTGAAGGTCTGCAATCCTGGATAAGTAGTGGCAGTGGTGTACAATGTTGCAGAAGTGACGAAAAGCTGAGCGAAAACCCAGATGTAGGGTTTGAAAGATAGTTGTGGGGGGCAAACAAGACACTGAGATTCTGTCTCAACTCCACGAGGTGGAGTGAGCACCGATGCAGATTAAAGTGTCTGAGCTAAGGAATTATTGACTGGAGCCAAGGAGAGCTTCAATCCTGTTAATGTTAACTTGTAGAAAGTTACAACTCATGCAGGTTTAGCTGTACTGACTTTAATTGTCCAGGCATCAGCCAGGTGCACACCTTGTCAAGCTCTCTTTATAAGACCTTGACTCCCTTCTCCATCTCAATAACTCTCCCTGGCCCCTTGGCTTGGTGTCATCAGCAAATGCAACTACCCAGCTTTGGCTCTGATTCTCTTGAATATATAAGAAACATGTTTGCAATCTGTCACGGCCTCCCAGACAATTGAATCCATCGCGGAGAAAGTTCCACAGAATTTTTTTTCATCTTTCACTGTCTCAAATGTCAGCGTTCAGCAACCAAACAGCAGCCATCACTGCTCCATAGTGACACCTATTGGTCAGATCAGGAAACCGCAGCTTGGAAGCACTTTTCTGAACCCTCCCTTTTCAACTGAGCAGCAGTATCGCAGTAAAGCAGATTTTGAAAAGACGGAGAACAGGATACAAAATGAAACTAGTAATGCTTTCCAGTCCTTAACAGACGGTCTCTAAGCTCCTGTTTAGCTCCTGGTTGAACAAAATTATTTATTCAGCAATAAACACATTGGGGATTTCACGTCTGCGAGATGTCTCAAAGCGCTTCACAGAATATGTTGTAAAGTGAATTGACTGTATATTTTGTGGGCAAAACATAGTAGCCAATTGCGCTCAACAATGTCCCACAAACAGTTGTGGATTAAGTAACCACATTTTTTTTTAGAACTATTCTTAGTTAAAAAGCATTTAGTTACATAGCATAAATTCCAGGTGTAGAATCACACTTTTATGCAGCTTGTTAAAACCTGCATGCAATTCAACGTTTAATAAGCACATTAATATAGTGCCTTATCATAATGTCACAATATCTCAAAGTGCCTCACAGGATTTACGGTAAAGTATAGCAACTGCAGACAAATGCAGGAGCCAATTTGTGCATATCAAGTTCCACAAACAACCATGATGTTTTTCTGGAAGATTGTTGGCTCGGACACCGGAAGATACTCTCTTCTCTTTTCAAAACTTATCATGGGATCTTTAACATCCATCTGACGGACAGCATCTCCGACAATGCAACACTCTCCCAGGGCTGCACTGGAGCATCAGCCTAGGTTATGAGTGTTTAATTAAAACAAGTGTAAAATGTAAAATTAGTGTAAAACATCAATAGGAGTACACAATGTTTTATTACTCTCTCTGCTGTCAGCAGCTAGACTTTACACTTGTACTGTTGTCTGGACTTGGTTTATCTTCCAAAATAAAAAATTCAAAAGGGAATATTTCAGCAAACTACTAAGAAATGTAATCTTACCAACTCTCACAAGGTAGAAGAGAACATAACCAGGCGAGGAATAATGGCTGCCGTACATGAATTTGGGATCTGGCATTTCTCGATAACGGGTCTAAAATGAAAAAATATTATCAAGCTTACTATATACTGTTTGTGTTTAAACATTCACTTTAATTGATATCAAGTACAATGCTTTAATCCTTAAATTCACTGAGAGTTTTTTCCCATTAATTTTGTGCGTGACGGGAAACAACAACAACTTGGATCTATATAGCGCCCTCCAGGCCGGACAGGGTCTCGGAGCACTTCACAATAACGGATCCCGGGGCTGAGCCAGGGGGAGGGGGAGGAAGGTGACCAAAGGTGCAGTCGAAAAGGTGTTCAGCCGAGACCTGAAAGTGGGAAGAGCAGGGGAGAGGTGAAGGGAGTGAGGAAGGGAGTTCCAGAGCCTTGGGGCGTAGTGGCTGAAGGTGGAGCGGAGGACTCGGGGCACAAGGAGGAGGCCAGTCCCAGTGGAGCGAAGGCAACGGGTACTGTTTTGAGGAGAGAGGAGGTCAGAGAGGTAGGGGTGTGCAGAGGAATGGAGGGATTCAAAGACAAGTGTGAGGATCTTGAAGTCGATCCTCTGTGGGATAGGCACCCAGTGCAGTCTGGCAAGGACTGGGGTAATCGGGGAGCGGAGTTTGGTACGGGTAAGAATGGAAACAACAGTTGGAATTGAAATATATGCTCCAAGTTGAGGACATTATCTTGACCCCAAACACATCTGAGCTTCATTGACAATTCCTGTTTCTTTTCAAACTCTTCTTGTGTGGGAGTTTGGTTTTATAACCTAGCCAGATTCACCTTTTCGACTCTCCAGCAATGACTTTCAAAGTCTTTCTAAACAGAGAAGGTGAATTGACCATTCCCATCAACTTAAAAATAGAGAAAAAAATTGGCCCCATTCATGACAAATAACTTTCCCAACAAGCCATTTCAAATTGCCATTTGGTCAACAAAGTTCATGTGATGAATGGTCCTGGATTAATTCCCAGAAACATGCCAAATCTGTTTGGTATGAATCGTTAGGCTGACTCAATTTCTACATTACAACTCCACATGCAAATTCTAAATGACTGCTCCCTCTGTTCTTAATCTATTCAAAATGTTGCTTCTCTATCAACAAGCAAAACAGCCCAAACAAGCCATTTCATTGTAAAGTACAGGTTAAATTCTTTAAAAACCTAAACCAATTCTGGATGACCAAAGCGATAACAAAAAATACTTGGGTCCACACTAAGATTAGTCTCTAATTTAAAATTTAACTACACAGAAAAACAGGATAGGCTGAAAACTTAGAGCATCTTCAATATCTGAAAGGCAAAACCACAGCCAATGAACATCAAGTCACTAATAATAATAATAATCCTTGCATTTGATATAGAGCTTTTCACGTCTTCTCGACGTCTCAAAGTGCTTCACAGAATATGCTGTAAAGTGAATTGACTGTTTATTTGTGGGTGAAACGCGGCAGCCAAATGCACACAGCAGTGTCCCACAAACAGTCATGGATTGAAAATGGTCAATTTATTACTGTTTTGTTTTGGAGGGATTATTATTAGGCATGTGGAGTAAGGAAACTTGCCCAAGGTTTCGCCCTGTCTGGAATTGAACCCAGGTGTCTCACTTGCAAAGCGAGTGCTCTAACCACTGAGCTACAGGACTCCACGGTATAAAGCACATTATCTTTCTTTCAGATGTAATTCTAATTAATAGAAACTGCTATTGCCAAGAATAACGCTGTAATGATTACTCACGGGGTTGGGTGGGAGAGCTCCGCAGAATGAGAAACTTTCACAGAGGGAAGGCCACGTGCAAAGAAAGGCAAGTGACAGAACTGAAAGCCTAGTAGTGGTGGAGCGAGGCATGCACAATAGCAGTGATCAAGTGTACTGATTCTGTGTACTCCTGTACTACACTAGGTAGTAGTGTAGGTAGTAGTGTAGGTAGTAGTCCTGTAGGGCCTACATTACTCAAAGTCCAGCGCTTCCCTTTTTCATTTTAGACTTTAGCAGGATATTATCTCTACCATTTGGCACAGTAGATCTTCTTTAAACAGTAACCAATTAAAAATTTACAGGTGATACATCTCTAAATTATTGACAAATCTAATCTTGTCCTGGGGATAGAGAACGTATGGCATCAAGTTTAACAACCTCAATTTCAAAAGGCTTGCATAGAACAAATTGAGTCTGAAAGACCATCTGTTGCTAGGTAGGGTTTCAGTTTGCACAACTTTGTCAATGTGTAGCTGTTAGCACCTAACAACACAAATATCCTGTATACCAGACTCAGCCAGAGGAGTTTACCACTTTAAACTTGAAGCAATCTAGAATGATCAACAGTTGTGAGACTGCCTTTCAAATTATTATGCTAAATGTCACTAAGATATTTTTGCTTAAAAAAACTACTGAACACTCACCAACAATCGTTCCATCCTGTCTTTATTTAATGCGCCCACTGGTGTGCTAAGGTCGCGAAATGTTTCAGGATTTGATAGATCTGTTTGAAAAGAAGAATATCTTGCTATGAAGATCATCTAATTAGGTAGAACAATCTTGTGCATTGTCTAATGATCACTCATTAAATCATTTAAATATATAGGATACAATGTACAATTTTAGACAGAAATATGGACGTAGTTTCCTAGTTTCAGATAATAAAAATTTGCTTCAATGGTACCTACCTAGATCTGGACTGGTGTAATCAGCTATGATCCAAGGAAAGACAGGATACTGGGAAAGGTCATTGCAGCTGCGGTCCCCCAGGTTATTGAGGTGCAGGAGGTACTCGTAATTTGACAGGTGTCCTTTTTGCCACTGCAGCATGTAGCTTTCAGCTGTGTGCTCCGCAACGTGATTTTCTTTTAAAGGAAATGGCAGACGGAAGAGAAATAAAGGAACTCAATTACTGATTCATATTATAACACTAATTGCAGCTGCTATCCTCATTTATACAACAACAAACATTCTTGAGGTGGGTCTTGAAGGTGGTAAGGGAGGGGGCGAGGTGGAGGAACTACGGGATGGAGTTCCAGAGAGTGGGGGCAGAGTGGCGGAAGGCCCGCCAACCAATAGTGGGGCGAGCAAGGAGGGGGACATGTGGAGTCCTGTAGCTCAGTGGTTAGAGCACTCGCTTTGCAAGCAAGAGACTTGAGTTCAATTCCAGGCAGGGCGAAACCTTGGGCAAGTTTCCATACTCCATACGCCTAATAATAATCCCTCTAAAACCAAAAAAAAAATAAAATAAAAAAATTGGTCATTTTCAATCTACGACTGTTTGTGGGACATTGCTGTGCGCAATTGGCTACCGCATTCGCCCACAAATATACAGTCAATTCACTTTACAGTGTGTTCTGTGAAGCGCTTTGGGACGTCCTCCCGACGTGAAAAGCGCTATATCAAATGCAAGGATTATTATTATTATTATGAAGCAGGGCGGAGCCCGCTGAGTGGAGGGAGCAAACAGGATGGTAGGAGGTTAGGAGGTCGGAAAGGTAGGGGGAGCAAGGCCATGGAGGGCTTTGAAGGTCAGGACCTGGATCTTGAACTGTATTCTCTATGTGATGGGAAGCCAGTGCAGTTGGGCAAGGATGGGGGTGATAGGGTCGCGGAGCCTAATGCGGGAGAGGAAACGGGTTGCGGAGTTCTGGATGATCTGCAGCCTGTGGAGGGAGGAGTTGGGGAGGTCGATAAGCATTGAGTCGAGCCTCGATGTAATGAAGGCGTGTATGAGGGTTTCGGCGGCCTGCAGTGTGAGACAGTGTATACAATACCAAATTACATTTGTAAAGCGCCTGAGCTGGGGGTGGTGGGGGGTTGGATTGAGATCAGGGAGAGTGGAAGGCAGAGAGGGTGGCCGAAGGCACGGTCGAAGAGGAGAGTCTTAAGGAGTGCCTTGAAGGAGGCAAGGGAGGCAGTGAGGCGAAGAGAATGTGGAATGGAGTTCCAAAGGTAGGGGGCAGAGAGGCTAAAGGCTTGACCGCTGTTGGTGGGGCTGGCTGGGCAGGAACATGGAGCAGTCTGTAGCCTGCAGAGTGGAGGGAGTGGACAGGTTGATTTGGGGTTAGCAGGTCGTAGAGGTAGGAGGGGGCAAGGCCATCGAGGGCCTTGAAGGTGAGGACAAAATTTTGAACTCGACCCTCCGAGGGATGGAGAGCCAGTCAAGCCGAGTGAGGGTGGGTGTGATGGGGTGACGGAGCTTGGTTCGGGAGAGACACAAGCTAGAGTTCTGGATGATCTGCAACTTGTCGAGGGAAGAGTTGGGGAGGCTGACAAGCCGGGGTTTGGCATAGCTTGGTTGTAATGTATAAGGGTTTCGGTGGCCTGAGGAGTGAGGCAGTGGCAGAGTCGGGTAATGTTGAGGAGGTGGAGGAAAGCAGAGCGGGTCATGAATGTAGAGTTTAGTTTCAAATTTGTGCCATGAAAGATTTTTTTATTTTATATTTTTGTGATTAGTTCCTCCTTGCCCCATTTTCCATCTCCCCTTCCGAACAGACGCCAAATGACATTCACCAGTGGTCTGATGTAGCTTTCCAAGAAGTGGATGTATTAACCATCCCAGGAAAGAAATTGATAATGTAGTGATCAAAATTGACCCAAAATGTGCTGGAAGTGACTACCCCCAACACCATTCTCAATCCAAACATCTGTGAAACCAAGTCATGGATTCAACATGCAACTGGAATTTGCTTTACTGACTTTGTGCAGAATCCTCCCCCCCACCCCCACCATCATTCAAACGCCACGATCCACATGTCAAAAGTGAGAGCCAGCTTCACAGATCCTGACATTGAGAACAGTGTTAGGAGACCACCTCTGACACATCTGGGTAATTAATATGACTATGTATTTTAAATTAAGCCATATTAGACCCCATTGCCACTACATATAAATAGGGTGTTCTCCAGCTGGTTGAAACCTTGTACTAATAAGGGTAGCGCAGAACAATAAACAATAGCTTGATGTGTGAATGGTAAAATCAGCTCAAATACATAACTAACATATTAACTGACCTAAAAAGGTTGCAATATAGTAGTAAAGTTCATCACGATCTTTGGAAGTGTAAAATTTCAAGTAGATGTCAGAGCAAAGATCATTTTCAGTGCAAAATACTTCAAGACCCTATAGGAAGAAAAGTGAAGCATAGGAAAAGCAGTTAGTATAACTCATTGCATTATAACTGCATTGAATTAGCACAGCATTCCAGATCAGCCATGGTGGTATAAAGAACATATAGCTTCTCCAGAGACTCTTGATTAAATTAGAAAAACAAGTTATTCTTTATGGCTTGGAAGATAATCCTACATAACTAGAGAACCAAACAATGATAAAGGTAGTTTCAATTATTTGAATCTATTGTAATATTGTTCCACGATACGGATTATGTGGCATAAATAAGAATCAATCACTCACCAGAGGTTTCAGCCCATGCCTCCTTTTGTAAATACGTCTTACATCACGCAACTTAATTTGTACAACAGGCTCCTTCAAAAGACACATCAGAAACATATTGTGAAATGTTATCCTATGTGAAGGAGACTATATAATAATAATAATCCTTGTATTTGATATAGAGCCTTATCACGGCATTGAGATGTCTCTAAAAGCACTTCAAGGAATGTACTGTAAAGTGCAGTGTGTGTATTTTTTGGGCGAAACGCAGCAGCCAATTGTGCACAGCACAGTCCCACAAACAGCCATGGAGTAAGTGACCATTTTTTTTATTTGGAGGATTGTTGCCCAGGATACCGGGAGAGAGAAACCCCCTTCTCTTTTTGAATAGTGCCGTGGGATCTTTCACATCCACCTGAACAAGCAGGTGTGTGTGTGTCAGCCTGGCTCAGTTGGCAGCTCTCTTGCCTCTGGTTGATCAGGGCGTGGTGGGTTCAAACCCCATCCAGAACATAGTACTGCGGGCGGGAGGAACGCTGTATCATCCCAGGCTGATGTTCAGGTGAGGTCCCATCTTTAACATCCTGGTGAGGTGGATGTTAAAGGTCCAGCGGCCAGTTAGACGAATTTAGACACAGAGAAGGGAGTTTCCCTGTCGGTGTCCCATTCCCGGTTCAGAGAGAGAGAGGGAGAGAGAGAGAAATTCATTTTCATATATCCATATAAATGTAAATTGTTTCTGGCTACTAAATAGTTTTAGTGGAGAAGCTAATTTAGGAACATTGTAAAATTCAAAACACAAAAAGGTACAAGAAAATGGAGTTGGCTCATCAAGTACACTCCTCTAACAGATAGTGCAATTGAACTCAGTTGTGGGCTCTACCTCAACCACTATATTTAAGAACAAAGATCTGCAAAGAAACTACCTAATTCCTGGAGGTTATTGTACAAAATGTCAGAACGTTTATTCATTCCCACAACTACACTATTCAAACTCAGCTCATTTCCTTCCTCAGCAATAACTTCAACTTCCTCCCTTTGCTATGAAACCACTGTACCCACAGAGTTTTGGCTCATCTCAATCAATGCACATTGCATTCAGAGTTTTTATTAAATCATTTGAAAACTTGGTTTACCATGTATGCATGTGAAATATTTTCCCCTCTACTGTCCAGCGTGAATATGTAGTTAGTCCAACTGGTGATTATTCTCCTAAGTGGGTAACTTGTTGGAACTGAGTTGGCTCAGAGGAGAAGTGTTTGACAATGGAATGTCAGAATTAAGCCCACTCTCTGTGGCGGCCTCAGTAGTCCAGTTCCTGAGGCAGGAGGATCAGTAGTGCTCCAGGGAACAGCTAATGACAGCACATCCAGGCTGGCGTATTGACAGGACATGGAAGTCACTCAGCTCACTAACTCTGCAAGCCAAAGCCCTAATGGGTAGAGTGGCCTTAGCTGGACAAGCACCAGGCAAGCTATGTGGCGTTTGCTGGTTAGACTCCAGTAGTCGAATCCCCAAACATTGGCTGTTGCCAACCTGCACCTAATATTTTCTGAAATTGGGTGAGCCGAAAGCGTCCCTCCAGGGAGAGTGCACATTCCCTTCCAATAACACCTCTGGAATTTCCATGTGTAGGTGGGATGCATGGAACTCTGTTTGGTTTGGATACTCTTGGATACTGCAATGGTGATGGGTTTCTGCATATGTCAAACACTAGGCTGACCAAAATAAAGCATGAATATTTCCAATGCGACTTTCGCAGGGATGTATTTTTCTTAATATTCTTTTGTAAAGGTACAAAAAGCCTAATAAATCCTTTAAATAGTTACCACTGAATTCCCAAATCACGTTGTGTGAGAAATTCTAGCTCATAAACTGCATTACCACAAATTTTACAACATTGCCTTTCACATCGAGAGGATGTTTCAAAGTGATTCACGCAACTGACTGGAAGCTGGGAGGGATGGAGAAAAGATTGGAAGTCCAGTCAGAAAGTTAGATTTGATCCAATCATGTCTTAGCTCTTCAACCTTCTCTTTCTCTACTTGTCCCTATGCTCAGGCACCTCCCTCAACCACTCCACCTCACTCCCTCTATCTTCAATGCTTTGCTGTAAATGACGATTGACTCAAGCTATGCAATAATGAAAAGGAAAAAGGGAAATAAGCAAACATTTGAAGAGCAATCGTACAACAGGAGAGTCCAACGGAGTGAGGTGGGAACAGAGCGAAAAGGTATTGGGTGAGAGTGGAAATTCCTTGTTTATTAACTGAAATTTAAAATTTTAACTTAACAATAACAAGTGGCAGTTAACTGGTATTAGGTGTTAATTGCCAGCTGACCAGTTGGAACTTCTTCTGCCGGAAGGTTTATAAAGGGGAGAATTGCGAGAGTCGAGCAGAGAGCCCAAGAGAATAAGTGGAAATTAGGTCCTAAGTAACTACAAAATGAACTAATAAAATAAGTAGAAATGACAGCACAGGCAGTGCGTCGGGAATGCAGTACGTGACAGTTTGTGGACTGTGAGACTGTCCCGTCTGCAGTAAATGTCTCTGGCTTGACACACTCCAGCTCAGAATCATTGAGCTGGAGTGAGTTAGACACATTCTGACAAATAAGGAAGGGGAAGGAATTTCTGGATAGTTTTATCCAGAACTCAAGTCACACCCCAGAGGAAAGCACAGGTACAGGAAGGGGAGGGTGTGACAGTCAGTGAGCAGGATAGCGGGAACCCAGGAGAGATAGAGAAAGAGGTCCCGCAGATACTGGTCCTGTCCAACAGGTACAATGCACTTTATACCTGTGAGCCACAAGGAGAAAGACTGTGGGGAGGAGAGCCACAATGCAGACCAAGGCATCATGGAGCAGAAGGCTGTCCGAAGGGGGAGGAGCAGAACAGAAATGTAATAATAATAATAATCCTTGCATTTGATATAGCGCTTTTCATGTCTTCTCGACGTCTCAAAGCGCTTCACAAAATATACTGTAAAGTGAATTGACTGTATATTTGTGGGCGAAATATGGCAGCCAATTGTGCACAGCAGTGTCCCACAAACAGTCGTGGATTGAAGTGACCAATTTTATTATTGTTTTTTTTTCTTGAGGGATTATTATCAGGCATGTGGAGAAAGGAAACTTGCCCAAGGTTTTTCCCTGCTGGGAATCAAACCCAGGTCTCTCGCTTGCGAGGCGAGTGCTCTAATGCTCTAACCACTGACCTACAGGACTCTTGTAGTAGTGATAGGGGATTCAATAGTTAGGGGCATAGATTGCATCCTTTGTAGCCACGAACGAGAGTGCTGAGGGTATGTGGCCAACCTGGATAAGGGATATCTCGAGGCGGCTGGAGAGGAATTTGGAAAGGGAGGGGGCAGATCCAGTCGTCATGATCCATGTTGGGATAAACAACACAGGTAAAAGACTGGATCTCAAGGCTAATAATCTCTGGATTATTACCTGAGTCATGTGCAACATGGAGTAGGGAGAAACAGATTACGAAAGTTAACACATGACTAAAGGATTGGTGTGGGAAAGAAGGGTTCCATTTCATGGGACACTGGCACCAGGTCTGGGACAGGAAGGGGGTGTCTTACCAGAAAGGATAAATGGAGCTGTGGCAAAGGCTTTAAGGTAGAAAATGGGGGGAGGGATCAGAATTAAATGACATAAGCCCAAATATAAAGGAAATGGGAGATGAGAGTATAGGTCAGACAAACAGGAGAACTGGAGACAATAATTCGTAGTGAGGAACCAGATGTATTAGGTATTACTGAAATATGGCTACAGAAAAAACAGGTCTGGCACTTAAACATTGCAGGGCATAACATATCTAGAAAGGATAGAGATGGGAAAAAGGGCTGTGGAGTAGTTGTACTTATTAGGGATAACATCATGGCAGTAGAAAAAAGGGATATGGCCATCAATAAAATAGAAACATAATCTGTGTGGATAGAGATAAAAGATAAGAAAGGATCGATCAGACAAATAGGGGTACTCTACAGACCACTTAATAGTAGAAGGGAGATAGAGGAAGAAATAAGCAACCAAATTAGGGAAATGAGTAAAAGACATACGATCATGGGGGATTTCAACTACCCCAAAATAAATTGTCTAGAAGAGATAGGTATAAGGGATAAGGAAATGGAGTTTCTTCAATGTGTACAGGACTCCTTTCTTACCCAGTATGTAAGCGGCCCAACAAGGGCGGAATCACTACTGGATTTATTAATGGGAAATGAACCAGAGCAGATAAGAGAAGTAAGAATAGGGGAACATCTAGGCAATAAGGACCATAACTTAATAAGGTTTAAGATAACGATTGAGAAAGACATGAAAATGACAAAGACCAGGGTAATAGATTGGAAAAAAAGCTGATTTTGAGGGGATGAGAACAGAACTTGGGGAAAATAAACTGGAAAACAATATTGGCAAACAAGGAGCTAGAGCAGCAGCGGGAAACATTTAAAATGGTGATCAATAGAGTCCAGGAGAAATATATTCCACTAAAAAACAAGATAAAGCTAAACAATAATGAGACTCTGTGAATGAATAAAAACATGAGGGCAAAGTTGAGATTGAGGAAAGAGGCATTCACTAAGTACATAAACAAGGGAGAGCATGACAGAAATAAATATGAGGAGATTAGCAAAGAAGTCAAAATAACAATTAGGAAGGCAAAGAGGAATTATGAAACTAAATTATTAAGGAATATAAAAAGTAGTAGTAAAATATTCTACAGACATATAACTAAGAAAAGAAAAATCAAAATAGGAATAGGACCACTAAGATAAGCTCACAGGCAGCCACAGCGAAATGGCAGAAATATTGAACAATTACTTTGCCTCAGTATTTACCAGGAAGACGGATCAGGTAGACGTGACAGTAGAAGAGTAGATCAAAAAATATATAAATACATTTAAAATAAAAGGGGAGATAAGCAATAAACTGATCAAATTCAGGGAGGATAAAACCCCTGATTTGGATGGATTGCATCCGCATATATTTTAAAAATCTAGGGAAGAGATAGCAGAGGCTATTGCATATATATAATTATTCATTAGAAAAGGGAGTAGTACCAGAGGACTGGAGGATAGCTAATGTTATACCTATATTTAAAAAGGGAGAGAGAGAAAAGCCCAGGAAACTATAGATCTGTCAGCTTAACATCGGCGGTAGGAAAATAATGGAATCCTTACTTGAAAGAGGTAATAGAAAAACATCTAGAAAACGAAAATATAAGAATAATCATTATGGATTTCAAAAAGGAAGGTCATGCTTGACCCTCCTCATTGAATTCTTTGAAGACATAACAAAAAGAGTAGACAAGGGTAATGCAGTAGATGTAATATATTTGGATTTCCAAAAGGCTTTCGATAAGGTACCATATAATAGACTAATGAATAAGGTCAGAGCATGTGGAGTCAGGGAAAAATAGTAGAATGGATAGCAAGCTGGCTACAAGACAGAAAACAGAGAGTAGGAGTAAAGGGTAGCTATTCAGACTGGCAGAAGGTGGGAAGTGGTATTCCACAAGGGTTGGTATTGGGACCACTGTTGTTCACAATTTACATTATCGATTTGGACTTGGGAATCGAAAGTACAAATTCAAAATTTGTGGACGACACCAAATTGGGAGGTGTAGTTAATACTGAGGAGGACTGCAAAAAATTACAAGACATTAATAAACTTGCTGAATGGACATTTAATTGGCAAATAAATTTCAATATAAGTGGGAGGTGGTACATTTTGAGGAATAAGGAGGTCACATATTGCCTGGAAAATAAGAATCTAAATGGGGTAGAGGAGCAAAGGGATCTAGGGCTACAGATACACAAATCGCTGAAAGTAGTGAGACAGGTTAATAAGGCCATTAAAAAAAAGCAAACCAAGCGTTGGGGTTCATTTCTAGAGGGATTGAAATGAAAAGCAGAGAAGTTATGCTAAACATATATCGAAGTTTGATTAGACCACACTTGGAGTATTGTGAACAGTTTTGGTCCCCATATTAAAGAAATGATATAGAGACACTGGAGAAGGTGCAATGGAGATTTAAAAGGATGATACCGGAACTGCAAGATTATACCTCTCAGGAAAGGTTAAACAAGCTTGAGCTATTGTCTCTTGAAAAGAGAAGGGTGAAGGGTGACCTAACAGAGGTCTTTAAAATTATGAAACGTTTTGATAGGGTAGATATAAAGAAGATGTTTCCACTTGTGGGGGAGATCAAAACCAGGAGCCATCAATATAAAATAGTCACAAATAAATCAAATAGCAGAGTTAGAAGAAACTTCTTTAACCAGAGAGTGGTGGGAATGTGCAACTTGCTACCACAAGTAATAGCTGAGGCGAATAGCATAGATGCATTTAAGGGGAAGGTAGATAGGTATGAGGGAGAAAGGAACAGAAGGTTATGCTGATAGGCTTAGTTGAGGAAGGGCAGGAGGCTCATTGGAGCATAAACATCGGCATAGACCAGTTGGGCCAAATGGCCTGGTCTATTCTGTGTATTCTATGTAATTCTATGTAAAAAGAAATCTAGGAGGAGGGAATATAACTCCATGGAGGAGCAGGTACCACAACAGGAGCTAGCATTAGATAGGCTTGATGGACCATAAATAGCTGTATGCTGTAAATTCTATGAACGCATGATTTTTTTTCAAAGTCTTAAGATTTTACAACATTTTCAACACCAAAAACCATGAAGCAGAAACAGAAAATACATTAAAACACCCAGCCAAGTAAGTAAACATTTGCACAATAAGAAAATTATCTGTAGCACTGTTTATTATCTGTAGCACTGTTTACTTATTTATCATTTTCCTTCAAGTATGATTGAGTTACATCAACTTCACTGTACATATGTTGTAAATTGCACAGACAAAGGGAGATCCTCTATCAATTGATAATATTTAAAAAAACGTCAGCTTCAAATTATAGTAAATTTTTTTACGTAATTCCTTTGTACTTTTTCTTAAAACTAATGTTGCATAGATCAAAAATATGTCATTGTGTTAATTTGTCTTTTGGCTTCACTCATATAGTCTAAGCTGACACTCCAATGCAGTATTTGGGATGTGCTGCATTGTTGAGATGCAATCCTTTGGATGAGATGTTAAATCGAGGCCATGTCTGCTTTTTCAAGTAGAAGTTAAAGGTCCCCTGGCTCTATTCGGAAACAGAATGGAGCTTCTCGCTCCAGTTGTCTTGGCCAGCAACCCCCCAAATAAATTCGCCATTCACTTCATGCTTGTTTGCATGACACTGCTGTGCGAAAATTGACTGCCAAATTCACCCACAAAGCACATAGTTGCTACACTTTACAGTATAGCAGGTGAAGCACTTTGAGACGTCCTGTTGAGTTGAAAGACGCTTTACACCAAATGTAAGGATTCTTATTGCAACATATCCTAAAATAACTAAGTGTCATCAGACGCTCAGTGAAAGGATTCTCTACATATTTCTTTTGAAATGTGCGATTTTTAAAATATTTAGTAAGTTCATTAACAGAACAATGGGCAACTAATTGCCCCAAAACACACAATCTTCAAAATAAATATAATACAACAAAAGATTACATTTGTATAGCGCCTTTCACGTTGGGAGGACGTCCCAAGGCAGTGTACAGCATTTCAGACAGGATATAGCAAAACAATAACTTACTGGATAACCATTTAAAGGCTGGAAATACAGATTTTGATCTGTGATGCAGACGTGTCCAGGATTGGTGACCAAAGGAGTGACCATTTCAGCTTCGCACTCCATATGAAGGCTTTCGGAAACGTTTTGAAATCTATAAGAAGTGTCAAAGTTACCATCAGACAATGAAATTAGGTGGATAGATAAATCCCAGTCTAAAGGCAAATTAATCCAAACCAACATGATCATTCAGAAAATAGATAAAAGATGCTTTAACTGCCATTAAATTCCCACTTTGTAGGATTAGAAGATGGCAATTATGATAAAGTCATACCAAGATTAGAAGTTATGCGCTTGACAAGCTTCACTAAAGTAGCACCTCAGCACCTCTACAAAAGAGTTATAGGAATTGAATTTTAAACAGGAAAAGTCAGCAACACAGAAAAGCAGGAATAGGCCAGAAAAGATGTGATACATGAAGAAAACAGGGCAAGGAAAACTGTGAAGAATGATGGAGAATATAAGACCCAGTGAAGTTTAGCAGAGTGATCAAATGTGTTGCTAATAAATTTCAGAGTAATTAAGTGTAAAACATAGATTATATATTTTCGGGGGGGGGGATGGGTGTGGATTATAGAATGGAAATACCATCAGAATGGCAAAACTATCAAATATGGAGAAATGGAAAGATATGGGTTACAATCAAATACACATCGTTAAAAGTGGGACAGCAGATGGGAAAACACAAAAGGAATATTAGGTTTTACATAAAGAAGCAATGAACACAAAATAAAGAGTTGCTGTTTACTCTTGGCAAGACACTGGCTATGTTGCAGCTGGAGTATTGTTTGTGCACACCCAAATATAAAATATCATGGCCACTGAGAGGAAAATACTAAAGATGCAAGGATTATACTGTAGTTATGAAAAAAGACTTTGAAACAGCTTGTCTAGATTCACTGGGGCAAATGATTCATACAGGATCTAATAAGTGTTCAGAATTATGAAAGGGATTGAGAGGGTAAATTATGAGATTATTTCCACTGGTTGGTGAATCAGCATCAAGGGCCATAAACTCAAGATCATTACTGGAAATATAAAAAGCGAGATAAGAAGTAATGCTTTTTACACAAAGGATTACCAGCATGTGGAACACATTACATGTGGTTATTGAAGCAGCATCAATACTATTTAAAATGGAATTTTTTTTTGTTAGTTAGGTCAAATAACAGCATTCAATTAACATGCCAATCACATACACAGTTTACTATCTACTAAAACAAAACTACGGCGCAGTACTGTTATAATGTAATCTTCTTTATAGCATCAAGTTAATAATAATGCGGTTGCACTATGTAAATCATTCACTGCACTTGCATTCAGACACACACCGGTCTGCTTTGCACTAAAATAGCCGACTTCAGATCATCAGGATGCCCGCAATGTCACTTTCTGATTCAGGCATATAGGAAGTGGCACTGGCAGTGACATAGTGAGCTAGACGCAAGACCTTTCTCTTTGACCGTGCCTTCAGCTCCCTTCTCGACTCTCTACCCACTCCTCGCTCCCTCCCTTCCCTCCCCTCACCCTGACCATTTCCCCCCTGCTCGGGTCCTGACCCAACTGTCCAGCGCCTTGGGACATCCTCCCGACATGAAAGGCGCTCTATAAATCAAATTTTGTTGTTGTTGTTAATGCGGGTACCGGCTGCTAAAGCGAGCCAAAGGGCTGCGTGCACGCACAGTAAAACCAGATATTACTATAGTGCATCTAGGGATTTTATGTATCCCAACCACAATGTAATAACAAGTATATTCTGTATCTTACCTGTTTTTATCAAATGAAGTCCGAGCCAATCGAGACTGCAAGATGGCTGTGATCTAAATTATAGCAAAGACAGATATATGGAGTCATTACACAGAATAGACACAAGTAGATGTCAGCTATATCAAATGCAACGATTATTATAATGACAAATAAGACAAATGCAATAAGCTAAAATTAAAGCTTTGTACCGGGGGGGGGTTAGAGCAAATTCGTTGGCTGATTTTCATCCAATTTTGAAATTTAATTCAATTCAACATAAATATAAGGATTCTGAGCTGGGATTGGATAGGAGGGGCTGATGGGAAGAGAATGAATGCATCTTTGTTCAGAAAACACTTACCATAGCAGTCTGGTCTGCCATCTTGTCCAGCTGAGAAGCTCTGTGAAGCTATGAAAGGAATATATATATATTATATAATATAGTAACAATTTCAGGAGAAAGTTTGATGTACACCTAGAGATTATGCTATTCTGACCAATAATATTTTTGATATTTGATATAAACACTGCAGTAGGTAGATGGAAATTATAATTAGTCCCAGAGCACACTAGACTTTGGGCACAACTCCTGTGATGGGGTGTTGAGGTGGGGTAGAGTCATATCCCTGGACAATGTCACGTTACAGAAAACAACTCAGAAAATTACAGTACACAATATTTTACCTGGAGTAAGCTCTGTATGGCATCTTGTGCTTTTGAAGTGTTCTCTATCTTGAAGACATAATCCTTCTTCCCCTGGTTTTAAAACAAGGTCAAGTTATATAATAATTGAATTTATTTTACAATAGTGCATCCATTAAATTAGCAAACAAAAATAAGATCTTCAATGCTGAATGAATAAAAGCTGAACAAGAACACTTATGAAAATTACTTATTGCTTTAAGGCTCAAAATAACTGGGGGTTAACTTCCTCTTTTGTATTCATAAGAAAATGTGCTTTTTTTAAAAAAAATGCAAGCTTCAGCCATGCATCCAGTTGTTCACACAATTTGTGCCCATGATCACGAATAACCTGAGCATATAAGAGTCAACTCTAACGATTGGATTATTATATATCTCTATTGATTCATTCTTTCAGTTAGTTAGTACACTGAATCAGTGCTTGGCTAAAAGTCTATTCCCTTTCAGCTTCTTTGTCTCCCCTCTAAAATGTGTTCCCATCTTAATTCCCCATTACACAGAGAAATTAAAATAAAAAAGTGGCCAACAGGGTAAATTAAGTGCATTACAGATCAAGCGCTCTGGGACGCTACCCTGCATGAAGCAATATAAATGCAAATTGTTGTTGTTTAGAAATGGCAATAAATAATATGGATTCAAATGTCTCACTCTCTGATACTCGATTGCGGAATCCCTTTGACTTGACCGGTCGCTCACCTCCTTCAAGGTCCGCCTCAACTGCTTCAATGTGCTTAAAAAAAATCTTTGATTGCAGCCATCTTTCCCCCGCCCCCCACAACCTCCTGCCCCTTCCAGCTCCAGCACAAACCCTGGATTGTCCAACAACTTGGGACATTCTCTTTGTGTGAAACATGTTATATAAATGTAAATTTGTATTGGATTGTTCATTCAAATTGAAAGCGCAAAAATGCAGATGAGCAGTGTTACATTACAGGTCCCCACATCATGCAGAAAATCAGACTCAGTCCCACTAAATCACTCCACATAATCTCTTCGGTCAGTTCCATGAATTTTCTCAGTTCTCAATTTCCTTCATATATATCCCATTCACAAGATTTTCAGGATATATTATGTAACAAAACAAAATAGAAGGCGGTTATTTGCAACACCTCTTCATCCTCTCCTACAAAAGAAGCTGTCTGTAACTCGACTTACAAACATAATTTGTTGTTGTTGTTGAAAGGTTTAAATCTCACCGTGTAAACAGTTTGTGAAGCACTTTCCACATAGCCCCACACTGTAGCCACTAAGAACTGGAACATTGGATTTTATCAAACTAGAAATGAGCTGCCTCTAGTCTTGATCAATACAAGATAAATATAGTCATATAGCTGGAGAAGTGAGCTGAAGTAGAATGTAATTGGTTGTTGTAGTGACCCTAGACTTCTTCATCTAAGCTGGTCTAACTGGTTCCTGTCATGTGAAATGGCTGATGGTCAAGATGTTCACCAGATCACAAAAAAGGTTTGGATGAAATAAGCCCTTCGGCCCATTTTGACCTCATCCTTTCATTTAAAATAAAATGGGTTCAATTTAACAAAAACACATGGAGGCCAAAAAGGTTATTCATTCCAGTCTTGAAAATGTGCTTAAAAAAACTTGAATATTAAAAACAAACAAGAAAAGTTAAAATTTAACTTCAACTTATCCTTACTACTTTATCATTTTCTACTTATTTTAACCATGTGTAGATGGACTAAATTTATAGTAATATCCCAGACTGAGACATTTGAAAGACTGGTGTCCGTTCCTTTTTACTTTGATGCAGAAATACGTATAGTCAAAGGCATTATTTTTATAAACAATTTCAAAAGCAACTGCAACAATCCTATGATAAGATCTGATTTGCAAACGAAAATGCCTTGCAAGGAATCATAAGCAAACCAGACTCCAAATACAATGTCTCCATGCTGCAGGCATTTACACATTAATTGAGGTTAAATACATCTCTTTCTTTAACATGATTATAATTAGTCTGACTCGGATATGAAATTCATATGAAATTCAATCCTTTATTAAAATAAAATAAACTGGGAAAACCATTAACCTACCCTTTCAATTTTATATGGAGCCACTATGCAATGTTCTTTGATTAAACAGATCTAAAAAGAAAAAGAGATCAAAGTTACTGACAAAAGATGCAAAAATTCACAGTGCAAAATGAGAACAGTATTGTCTAACTTCAAAAGTAAAATCATATAAATATGATTTTATTCACTGGTAGTTTAACATTCAGTGGTGTGATTCTATCCATCAAAGTTGATATATAATTAAACTGAGGTCCAGCCTGTCTGCCTGTTCAGGTGGAGGTCAAAGACTGCACACACTATTTGAAAAAGAGGGTTCATCCTCCAAATAAAATGGGTCATCTGTTTCAAGGCTGATTGTGGGATATTGCTGTAAACAACTCGGCTGCCACCTGTTGAAATATACCGACTATCACCTCAGGGTGCCTTGGTATATTTTAAACAGTAATCGAATGTTCCAGAAGGTTTGATAGTTAAATGGTTAAAAGTAGCTTTGCTGGACGGGCTGAGGTCAGTTTCTGATTACATTTCATATGTGGAGTCCTGTAGCTCAGTGGTTAGAGCGCACTCGCTTTGCAAGCGAGAGACCTGGGTTCAATTCCAGGCAGGGCGAAACCTTGGGCAAGTTTCCTTACTCCACACGCCTAATAATAATCCCTCCAAAACCAAAAACAATAATAAAAATTGGTCTTTTTCAATCTACGACTGTTTGTGGGACATTGCTGCGCGCAATTGGCTGCCGCGTTCGCCCACAAATATACAGTCAATTCACTTTACAGTGTGTTCTGTGAAGCGCTTTGGGACGTCCTCCCGACGTGAAAAGGGCTATATCAAACGCAAGGATTATTATTATTATTGAGCATTGATTTAAGAACAATGGGCCACAGAAAGAAAAGGCTGCAGCCTCAGACAGCTGCCTATCTCAAGGCTGAGAAAAAAGCAGACTGTGGAAGACTGCCCAGAACTTGTCCATATCTCTCTCTGTGCAAAGCAGCCTACGAAGGGTGGGGGCTATCTCTGTGACCAGGGGAAGTGGAGTTAGAAACACATAAAAGAAAGATGTAACTTTGAAATAGTTGGGAGTTTGTGTAGAGGGTCAGCACACTTCGATATTGATTCTACTGCATCTATGTATACGTACAGGGGTGAGGGAATTTACCTCCAGTAAGAAAGTGACCATTAAAAGTGAAAGAGGAGTAGTGGGTAATATGGTTTTGGTTCTGTTTGCTAGGCAGAGAAGCAATAACAATAGTAGTAGTTGGTCCAGGGAAACCCAGAAGTCAGGTTAGGCAGTACGAGTTAAGTGCTGGGCTAATAGTTGGTTGTGTGTTGAGTTTAGCAGAGCTACTCTCCATGATTTGTTACCGTTGTCGATTGAATATTGCTGTGTATGGTTGGTTCCAAGGGTTTACCGGACGCCAGTCCCTGTTTAGTGTTGGTATTACGAGAATCAGTTGTCTCTGAGGGGTATTTCCAGGGGCTGATCTCTCCAGTGTATGTCAAGGTGTGATCCCAAGTCTACTGTTTAGTCTGGAGTACAAAACAATGCTTGGATATGTGTTGTCATCCCTGTATCGTCAGTAGTACTGATTGGTCTGGAGTATGGAACAGTGTCTGGATACTTCTGGATACATATATCTGTGCTGTATTATTATTATTATTGTGTTGTATGTCATAAAGTTAATTGTACTTTACTGTTTGTTTAATAAAATAAACACTATACTCTTACCACCACTTGTCGAATTATTAACACACCTTCGCCTACAAACAGTCACTCCACTTTACAGTAAATCACGTGAAGCACTTTAGGACGTCCTCCCTCCTGAAAGGTGCTTTACCAAATGCAAGGATTATAATGATAATATATCTTCCACTGAATTACTTCTAAAAGAACTTTGGTTCCATTCTGCAAAAATAAATCCGTTTAAGGGAACAAGTAGTTCTGCATTATGATTGGAAGTACAACTTTTGTCAGTGTTGAAGTTCTCCCTTAAAACAATCTTTGACAGAATGAGGAAGGGTGCTCAGGGTAGGGACCATGGGAAGTTGCAATGGTGTTTTCACATTAATCTAAATTCAGAGTTGCACCAACTTCCAGAAAGAGATCAAGTCAAACAGCATCTTAGATGATAATAGTTTGTCCAAGTAGCCTGAAATCCCAATCACCATTATGCAAAAGAACCTTATGCAATTAATGGAATACCTCCCATTATATTCAAAGGCACTACTGAGTATAATGGGACACTCAAAGACCTTTAATTTTCAGAGTTCATCAATTAAATCGCAAGAAACATGCTGTATCTTTTCTGTGAAAAAAAACAAGTGAGGGACCAGACAAGTTCACAAATAGAATTTTTCCTTCTGACAAGTAAGTAGGCAGAATCAAAGAGAATCAAGTTCTGTAATACTGAGAGCGTGTGGGGCAAAAGGAGCAATTTCCTGCTCCACCGGAGTCCTGTAGCTCAGTGGTTAGAGCACTCGCCTTGCAAGCGAGACACTGTGTTCAATTCCAGGCAGGGCGAAACCTTGGGCAAGTTTCCTTACTCCACACGCCTAATAATAATCCCTCCAAAACAAAACAATTAATAAATTGGTCAGTTTCAATCCACGACTGTTTGTGGGACACTGCTGTGCGCAATTGGCTGCCACGTTTTGCCCACAAATATACAGTTAATTCAGTTTACAGCATATTCTGTGAAGCGCTTTGAGACGTCTAGAAGACATGAAAAGCACTATATCAAATGCAAGGATTATTATTACTATTATCATTACCAAGGTTCAGATAAGAAATGTACAAACCACTTGATTTCATCCTTCCTCAACACTAACCCGCTTTGTTTCAATTACAGCGCCAAGCCATTTTCGTAAATGAGTTCAGTGTTCTGGTCTCTACCGCTGTTCCTGGTAACCCAGTCCAACTAATGGATTATTTTATGGGTAAAGATGTAATTCTAGGTTCTGTGTTGTTTACGGCAATTTCCCGCCATCAGCCTTGAAACAAATGCCCTTCATAACCTTCAACGTCTTCATAACTTTGAAACAAATGCCCTTCATAACCTTGAACTTCTGCCTCTTATTGCTTATAAGATAAACTTCTAGTTCCGTTAAAAGATCTAATAATAAATCTGACCTAGACTTCAATCTCAATGATCTAACTGGAGAATCTTCACCGACCATCTACATTTATTGAAGATAAGTTATTAGAAATACACTGAATGAATTCAGAAGAATGCTCAACAGGAAGGGGAAAAAAACATCAATTCTGACACGGCTTTTTGAAAAAAATTTGAAGGTTGTTCTGAAACCTCCACAGTAAAGCAAATAAAATGAACGATTTCATAAAGTGACTGCTATTGATAAAAAAAATGTCAAGAAGCACATCTGAATTCACTCTACAGGCTGCAATAGCCGGCTGGCATATCAATTTTATTACATTTATTAAATATTACTGGAGCACAAAAGATCTTTGTGGTTTATTTGGCTACTCTTCATAAGTAAAAATAAATTAATTTTATATTAATAATAATCCTTGCAATTGATATAGTGGCTTATCACATCACTGAGAATTCTCAAAGCGCTTTACAGGATATACTGTAAAGTGGTTTGACTGTGTATTGAGTGAGTGAAACCCGGGAGCAAGTTGCGCACAGCAACGTGCCACAAACAGCCATGGAGTGAGTAAACAATTTTATTTGAGGGATTGTTGGCCAGAACACCAGGAGAAAGCCCTTTGCTTTTCAAATAGCACCACAGGATCTTTTATATCCACCTGAACAGGGCTCGGTTGAACATCGCATCCAAAGGACGCACCTCCATCAATGCAACAACCCCCGTCCCAAGCACTGCAATGAAGTATCAGCTTAGATTATGTGATTCTAAGTCCCGACATTTTATGAGATAATGTGTGACCAGTTTATTCCTAAATTTAACATCAACTGTTAAATGTGCAAATACAAAATCCTTCTCAAGTACCCAAGCAGTTAAAAGTTAGATTATAAGTAAATGCTTAATAGTTTGAAAATCCCTACCTGCTGGCAGGATAGGCGGAATCCACAAACTAAATTTCTGTAAAAGCAGAATTTATTTCAAGTAAAAAAATAGGAAATCACTACTGCCAACGTATCTCAAATGAAATTGAAAATCATCCCCAGACAAGCCTAAACTTACTCTTCAGAGGGATTATTACTTTGCTTATCCTCCAGCTCTTCAATTCTGCTGCAGTCTCTGAAAGAGAACTGCAAATATTCAAAGGTCAGTCTACATTGACAGTGTTCTGAATTCAAAAGCAGCACATTAGTATTCAGTGGAAAAACATAATTTAAGCACTACATAAATAGATCGTTAGTGTCTGATTTTATTGTAAAAGGTGCAAAGATTCTCATTTTATATCTAAAATTTACATAGCCATTTATTTCTTAGAAAAATAAATATTGAAGCCTTGAAATATTGCATACCCTTTTAGTAATGCTGTCCAAGAGAAGGTTATTCAGGAATCCAAAAAACAACGGATATTTAACTGACCATTAATAAGAATTACTGTGCCTAGTAAATAGATCCTGTACAAACAAAACATCCTTAACTACAGTAGCATGTAACTTTCAAGTCAATTTGCTTTCATTTAAAAATATTCATATTTACTAAAGATTCAGTTTTACAATGCAGATCATATCGATACCAATATTGGACAAAAGTAAACAATGGCAGAAAAAATATCTATACAAATAACAGACACGTCAATTTAATCTTGTGATTAACAAAACAAATCAGTTAATAAAACTGTCAATAACAAAAGGCACTTTCTAGTACAGCGTATAAAGCCTTGTTCAAATTTCTTTGTTATGAAAAAATGACAATTTTGGTTAATAAACAAATCACCACATACAAAGATTCCCAAAGAAGTGGAGAAAGAGGATTCGAGGAGGAAGATTGGGGTTCCTTCCATTACAACAAGCATTTATAAAGCGTCCTTCAAGCGGGGTAGTGTCTTGGAGCGCTTAACAGTAGTGAAGCAGTTCAGAAAGGTAGGAAGGTACTAGGGCATGACCATCACTCAACATAATGTAATGTTTTAGTTGCAATGTCTCAAGGATAAGGGAATAATGTCAGCATGTAAGCTTTCTCCTCACTTGTGGCCATTTTCATTGCTTTAAATTTTTCTTGCATTGGTATCTTTACTTGTACAGCAAGTTATGATTTTTGATTGGGATGTTCCTCCTGACATGAAAGACGCAATATCAATGCAATTTGTTGTTATTATTGATAAATATTGGTGCTTATGTAGAAATCATTGTAGAACATTATAATAAATAATGACACAGCTTCTGCATTGCCTGTCTAACGAACCACAGTATATTAGCTTCAGTGATCTTTTAATTAATTTGCTACCATTTTGAAAAGTAACATCTTCTTTAGAACTTACTCTTTTATTCATGAGATGCTAATTCTGGTTAAAACAAGAAAAGCATAGCATAACCTCAGGTATATAGTGCAAAATGCCAATGAGATAGTAGCAAGTATCGCCCTTCAAATGAAACAAATCCTCAACTCAATTGAGTTTTCTGTTCATACAGCTGAGATAATTTTCATCTTATGTCATGTGCACCCAGGACAATATTGATTGGTCCATATATTGTACTATAAAATATAACATTTGCATTTTTAGAAAACAACTCACATGATTCTGGGAACTATGAATTAATTAAGAAAAAACATACATTTCACAATTACAAATGCTCTGTGACACTACCTGCATGAAGAGTGCTTTATAAACGCAAGTTGTTGTTTAACATTTTTGGGCATTGAATTTCAAACTATGTTATGTTAGAAAGTTCCTACACGTTTAAATGTTGTAGCATACACCAACAATTATACAAGATTAGCCAAAGGCAGCCACTGTTAACTGGTGATACCAATTCTACAGATTGTACCTTTATAACAGGTTCTGATATCTGTTCAGGTTCAAACATCAACGATTTAGAACATATCTTGAGGGAACCTTTAATTTTTCTGCAACAAAAACAAATGATGAATTTATAAGTGATGTTTTTGGTCACACAAATGATGTTAAAGAAACCTATCAAGACAAAAAGCTTTAGGAAAGTCATCTCCTCCAATTAACCCGACCACCAACTATGGTCGACATTTATTGGAGAAACCTACTTTCTGGCCTATCCTGGTGGATGTACTGTAGATCAAAATGATCTCAACCATAAGTATAATTCCTGAAAAGGATTTTTATTCATTTCAAATGATATTCTCAAAGATCTGAGGAAAAAATAATAACAAAGTTCAGACCAGCAGTGAAGACGAATGTACATTTGAATACTAGACGTAACACAGTACCATTAATATTAAGAGTTCAGTTGCAATGTAATCCGAAAACTGATTGAACGCTGTTAATTTTTTTGTGTGATTAACATCTAGTTAACCTTACCTTGGTAGATAGCACTCCAGGACACTACCCTGTGTGAAGGGCTCTATTTAAGTGCAAGTTATTATTGTCGTTGATTTAGATGAACAAAGTTCTTACATAAACATTTATTACATAATAATATGTAAATAATTGAACATTAAACATTCCAGTTAAAGACCATCGTCAGCACTACATCCAGCTTCACTCCATTATAACAAGCATGTAGCAAACAATAGACTGTGACATTTTTATAGTAAATTTAAATTCACAGGTGGCGAACCCATTTCCACTGGCGGGTGGGTCAGTAACCCAAGGATACTGATTTAAAAATAGTTGTTAAAAGAAACAGAGGGGATGTGAGGAGAAATGTTTTCATATAGCGAGTTGCTGGGATCTGGAATGAATTGCCTGAAAGGGTGGTGGAAGCCGATTCGATAACAACTTTTAAGAGAGATGCAGATAACTACTTGGAGTGGACAAGTTTGCAGGGCTATGGGGAGAGAGCGGGGGAGTGGGATTGACTTGGATAGCTCTTTTCGAAGAGCTGGCACAGGCACGATGGGCCAAATGGCCTCCTTCTGTGCTGTATAATTCTATGATTCAGTGGAATCCGCTTTCGCCAGATGCCGGTTAATCCCGGACATAGCGAAAAATCGAACAAAACGCCTGGCCCCGATTCATTTGCATTCTTGCCTGTTTTAAATATGCCTGTTAATTTGGACAAAAATCTGGTTAATCCGGGCAAAATGCTACATTGGTTGCCGCTGCACGTATTCACTCGGGCCTTCTGTGTCGAGCCTTCAGCCACGAGGGGATGTAGAAGGGAGGAGTCAAATTATGATTGACAGCAGACTCCAGCCATTCACGAGAGTTCAGAGGAATGGGAAAGAACTAGGGAGAAGATGGGAGGAGTCAAATCGCAAATGATTGACAGCTGAGCCGCTTGTGACTGGGTGGAGCCCATCCATTCACAAGCGGCTGAAGGCTGTCAATCACCTCAGCACCGCAGCTACTTGGCCCCCTTCCCATCGTATGGGAAGGGCAATGGGAGGGAGGAAGCGCAGACGTTCCTCTGCTGGCCGGGAATGGTATTTTGGTTAAACTCGGACACCTCTTAAGTCGGACAAAATATCAATGCATATGGCTAAACCCGCTTCCACTGTATATATTTTTATAGGTGTACTTGGGTAACTTAAATGTCATTCCCTATTCTTTGGCTACATATACTGACAACAACAGCCAAGAAGTCGGATGCACATTCCTGCCTCTTCCACCCACCCACTTTTCAAGAAGAACCAAGGAATCTGTAGGCACACGCTCCGATTCAATATCTCTTCCTTCCACCCCCCCCCTCCACCTCACCCGCCCTTCTTTGACTTGCTGACTCCCTACCAACCTGCCCGCTCCCTCCGTTCATCGGGCTCCGGTCTGCTCCATGTCTTCTACCCGACCCGCCCTATCATCGGTGACTGGCTTTCAGCCTCTCTGCCCCGAAACTCTGTAACTCCATCCCATGGTCTCTTCACCTCTCTTCCTCCCTTGCCTCCTTCAAGGCCAGTCTTAAGACCCTCCTCTTCGACTGTGCCTTTGGTCTCCCTCCCACCTCTCTGCCTTCCTTCACCCCTACACCACCCCTCCCCCATGCTTGGGCCCCGACACCTGACTGTTCAGCACTTTGGGACGTCCTCCCGACGTGAAAGGCGCTCTACAAATGTAATTTTGTGTTGCTGTTGTTGTGTTCAACATGGACAGACAAGGAATAGAGCCAGGAATGAACCTCCATTTGTCCTTACTCTGCAGCACTGAATGTGGACTCACTAAAAATATATTTTTTCCAAAACCATTACAACAATGGCCATCTTCACACAGAGGAAGATATAAGCAATTCAAAATAAAATTGAAATGTCAAGCTATAAATATGAACACAGCACAGCAGTAGATTGCTCATAGAAGATCTTGGAGTGGATACTTTATATTGGATACTTTATATTAGAGTCCTGTAGCTCATGGAGTCCTGTAGCTCAGTGGTTAGAGCACTCGCTTTCCAAGCGAGAGACCTGAGTTCAATTCCAGGCAGAGGGCGAAACCTTGGGCAAGTTTCCTTACTCCACACACCTAATAATAATCCCTCCAAAAACCAAAAACAATAATACATTGGTCATTTTCAATCTACGACTGTTTGTGGGATATTGCTGTGCGCAATTGGCTGCCGCGTCCGCCCACAAATATACAGTCAATTCACTTTACAGTGTGTTCTGGGATGTCCTCCCGACGTGAAAAGCGCTATATCAAATGCAAGGATTATTATTATTAATATATATATGGTTAGTGGTTACTTTGTCATCAGTGAGAGAAAATACACTTTAGTTTCATGGATAGAGAAGTCATGGAATACGATTTACATCCCAAGTGGACACTGCCCTCCAAAGTCAGTACCAAAGCTACAAGTGAGTTGTGGTAACCACTACGCCTATAATACAGAACATATCAAGTGTTCATTCAAACTGAAGATCGGGAAAGCAATTAAAAATTTACATGAAAATAATAATAATAATGCTTGCATTTGATATTGGGCCTGATCACATCTTCGAGGCGTGTCAAAGCACCTCACAGAATATTCTAACTGTGTACATCAAATAATTTTCTGATTTTAGTAAGTATACTGCAGATTGCATAGCAGTTTTGCTGATGCGACTATGAATTGTTTTCTTTTTCCCATAGTGAAATATAGTTAGCTCTCGAAACAGGAAAAATGCTACAATGTTTATACACTATAGGCCTGTTACAAAAGACATCTGAGCCTAATCCAAAACAACTTTAATAAAAAAAAGTGTTAAGAATCAGTTGCCAATATTAAAATAATTCAGGATGACTGAAAATAAATTATACACAATTTTGAAAAAAACGATAGAACCCAAGGTGGTGAGAATGTTTGGATGCCCTTAATTATTTTTAATGAATTACTCTTATTTTAAACGATCCATTGAACATACAATATTCAATCATGTTCAATCCTGAGTCTGTTCTCAGTTCAAAGCAGAAGAGGGAAGAACATCGAGAAGAATTGATCAGAATCATTAAGGTACAATTTTGACCAAATCTACCCTTACTTGGGGCAAAGATTAATACTTTATTTTCTTTTAACTGTTTTTAGTACGTCCAATTCTCTTTCTACACGACATATGCCTCTCTGCTCCTTGTCTTACTTTCTCTTGCTGGAGTGCGGTTGCATGAGCGCCGGTTGCCCTCTGGTACCCAGTCAAAGTGGCCACTGTTCATGTGTGAACCTAGATGGTGATGTTGGCAGGCCACTTGACTGTAGAGGGTGGCACAGCCAAGCTGATCTCTCCCCACCCGGCTGTTACAGACATGCACAACCAATTTAGGCTTTCCAAGCAGCCCGGCTGAGCAGACAGGCAAAATTAGAAAACTAATTGGGCCCACTAAATTTATATTAAACCAAAGACAAACACGAACTGTACATCACAAAAACTTTCGTAAATGATTCCCGAGGCTTTCAGGGTTTTTACAATACCTGTTTTCGCCTTTTTCATTGGCAAGCACATAATAAAATGTGTGGTGATCAAAGTAATACTCCTCCAGGTCAAGAAGCAACAGAGAAAACCTGTTAGAAGAAAAACAAATGAAGTAATAAACGGTTTAACCTTTTCCAAATACAATATATACAATATACAGTATATAAATATTTTAAAAAGACAGTGTATTTGGCATTAAGAGAACTCTCCAGGAGATACACATGAAATACTGTGTAGGTTACAGCTGCTTCTGAAAGAACACAACTTACATTGATATAGCACATTTTGCATAAATGGAAAGTCTCAAAATAATTTGATGAAGGGAAGTAAACTATATACTGTACACAAGAACAACAGAAAAGCATTTTCAACGTTACAGGACTTTGGTGCATATGTTTATTCAGTATCATGGCTTATTGTGCATAAAAAGATAGGATGTTATTACTCGGATCAGTGTAGTATCCTGATCTTTGGTAACTAAGGTACGTACTGTATATAAATACCATTCGGTCACTGGATCAAAATAACCATGTTCATGTCCTCAAAATGAGCAGTAAAAATAAAATCATCCTAGCTGCCAACATTTTTTTAACAAAAAATTCTTATGCAGCATTTTGTATCTAAAAGAACATTTCAAAGTTTTTCACAAATAAATAAAGCGAACCTTGTTATGGATGGAAATGGGAAGCAATGCCCACAAAACAATGAGACGAGTAATGTGAATGATGGAGGTGGAATGGAATTTGAATAAGGGAGGGATATAAATTGGGCAACCAGGAGAAAAATCCTGCACTTTTATTTGAAAGGGAGAAAGAGAATACCTTAATATCAATCTGAATCAAATGGTAGCTGGATCTCAATTTAACATTTTGAAAAGGGATTATGATCTGGTTTTTTTTTTACAGCTACAATCATGTAGTTTGGTATAAAATGTTCTATCCAATGACCCGATTAAGGTTCTGGAAGTGCCTATTGTTCAGTTAACCTCCAGGTAGACCACGGCACACAAAAAATAAGCAACATAGCTAACAGTGAAGAAGATTGTAAGCAACTTCAGAAATAGACCAACTGGTAGATTGGGCAGAGAAGCGGCAGATGAAATTCAATGTAGAAAGGTAAAATTATACATTTTGGAAAGAAGAATAAGGGGAATTGTATCCTAAATGGTAGAATTTTAAAAGGAGTAGAAGAGCAGAGACTTGGGGGTTAAAATATATTAAATCTTTACCAGTGAGAAGGCAGCACAATATAATACAAATTTATGTAGTGCCTTTCATATCAGGAGAAAACTGAAGAAAGCTAATGAAATTCTAGGTTTTATTATTACAGGTATAAAATATAAAAACAAAGAAATGATGTTTAGCTCGTATAAAATGTTAGATAGATCAGTTAGAGCATTGTGCTCAGTTTTGTCTGCCTATTTTAGGAAAGATGTCAGGGGTATAGAAAGAGGGCTCAAGGGAGATTTTCTAGAATGATCCCAGGGTTTCATACCAGGATGATCATGGTTTGATCTAAGAGTAAAGACCTGAGGAATTGGGCCTGTTTTCCCTGGAACAGAAAATGTTGCTGGGAGACCTGACTGAGGTCTTTAAAATTATGAGGCATTTTGATAAAGTAGATAAAAATAATTTCCGCTAGTTGAGTCAGTGACTAGAGGACATCAATTTAAGTTAATTAATAATGGAAAAGAGGGTAGGAGGATTTTATTTAAAGTGCTTTTCAGATGTGCAATGCACTGCCAAATGCTGTGATCGAGGCATGATCCATATTAGCTTTCAGGAGGAACTAGGTGGATACTAAAAATGAGTAACTTGAGTATGGGGGAAAAAGACATGTAAATAGGATTGAAAGGATTTCTCTTTCAAAAAGCCAACAAAGATACAATGGGCCAAATGGGCTTTTGGGACGTCCTCCCGACTTGAAAGGAGCTATACAAATGTAATTTTGTTGTTTCCATGATGTTAAGTGCTACCTGCTACCTAGAGAGAACAGTGTCTCTCGCTCATGGAATGATATCCCAGTGGAAGAGAAAAGAGTTAAAATATTTCATTCTAGAAAGGAAGAAAATTGGCAGAGAAAATTTCTTCCTCGTAATATTCAGCAAACAACTCCACTGGCAGCAGCACTCCAGTACATAAGGCACTATCTCCAGCGGCATTGATCGCAATAACCAGAAGGTTTCCTCCCTGCTTCAGGAGTCAGCAGCCATTCGTTTGATGGAACTGGTTGCCTTTAATTTCTGGCGAGCGAAGACCATGTCCATAAAACAGCATTGCAATTTATAATTTTGGAAACAACAGGACAACGTGGTGATTCACACCTACAATATAGTTTTTGAGTTGCTGCCTGATCCTGTGGATTCAGTGTCCTCAATGCAAATAGGGTAAATCCACAGTAACAGCAAACCTCAGAGCAATAAATCATACTATAAGTGCGGCTCCATCTTTTCCCCAACCAACCTCTGCAATAACCACCTGCTCAACTCTCCTACTGATTATCTTTGCTTCATAAACTCAGAGTTTTCAGTCACGGTGCCGTCATTCTCTTGAACACACTTCCTTTTGTCTCACATCCTCTATCATACTTCTCAAAACTCATTCTAATAACCGAACTCTTTGCCTGTGCGTTTGCTCAGCTTCCCTATCCCTTTGTTGAGTGCCCCATACCACCATTGAAAACAATTTCCCTTAGTGAGAGGTTCTAGTGCTCCAAGGCTCTACTCCATGTAAAAGATGCTATATAAATGCAAGTTATTGTTGCTATATAAATGCAAGTTGTGACTTAACACATGCTTGCCTTACAGCAAGAAAAGCAATTATATTGGTTTACAGTTTGCACCTTTTAGATCAAAATAACTTTTAGAGCACAGTTGGTAGCTAGTGTGAAACCAAGCTGTTACAGACTAGAAAAGGCCCTTTTTGACCTCGGCTAAGCTGTTGAGCCTCAGAAAGACACAACTGGAGTACTGCAAAGGGATTCAGCAAGATTCCTGGGCCAGGAAAGAGAAAGATTACCTCATGTTCCATCTCTGATCGGTATCCAGAGGTTGAACGTGTTCCTGCCAATGGTGAAGCAGAGTGGGTGAGGGATACGTAGAAGGCCCAAATTAGAGCAAAGGCAGTGTGGCTAGGGAGATCACAGGGGTATGCAGGTATTTGAAAGTAATGAGAATCTTGAAATTGATCTGATGGGGAATAGGACTCTAGTTATAAATGTCACTCGATAAGGTACATTTAGATTCTGTAGAAAAACATTAACCTGCTTGTTTCGCTTAAGAAAAGTTAGCCATGTAAGATACAGAATATATTATCTAATTCAGCTGACAGGCATCCAGCTAACAACGCATCTAAACTTTTTCCATTAAATTACTGAATTACTTACCAACAATTCTATTCATCCCTTTCAATCAGAAGTAAGACACAACATGGTAGAGCACTAATTTCCTTCTATTACGGAAAGGGCAGGCTGGTGAAACTAATCAAATAGCTCCTTCAAACAGCTAGTACAGTCATGTTGGGCCAAATGGCCTCCTTCAGTGCTGTTGTGGAGTCCTGTAGCTCAGTGGTTAGAGCACTCGCCTTGCAAGTGAGAGACCTGAGTTCAATTCCAGGCAGGGTGAAACCAAGTTTCCTTACTCCACGAGCCTAATAATAATCCCTCCAAAACAAAAAACAATAATAAATTGGTCATTTTCAATCCACGACTGTTTGTGGGATACTCACTGCTGTGCACAATTGGCTGCCGCGTTTCGCCCACAAATATACAGTCAATTCACTTTACAGTCTATTCTGTGAAGTGTTTTGAGACGTCGAGAAGATGTGAAAAGCGCTATATCAAATGCAAGGATTATTATTATTATAATTCTATGAGGTAATGTGGAGAGACAGGACCCATGGTTGTGAGGGCCAGATCAGGCTCAGTTTAGATGTCCAAACAGAGTGGGGGAAACTGGAGGGAGATCAGATGGAATAATTTCCTGTACTGCTTTCACACAGGCGTCAACCTGGCTCAGTCGGTAGCACTCTCACCTCTGAGGCAGAAGACTATGGTTCAAGCCCATCAGAACTTGTCTCACATCCTGGAGACACCAGGAACAATAACCAGGATTTCTCAAAATCCTATGCAACATTGCTTAAATATATTAGATATGTATGGGAACACTTCGCCCACTTCAGAGGGAAGAGCAACAATAAGGAATACTTAATACTGCAGAGAATTAACAGCTTAGGGCAACTAAATCCAACATCTTGCCACACACACTGTAATTTATATTTGAAAACAAGACTACCACTGTAATATTCCAATGATTAGGTCAAAACCTCAAGAAGGAACTTCAACCATATTTGGCCAAAATGGAAATTTCCACATAGCCCATATGAGGATAATGGTAGAAATAGGAGCCGAGCACATTCCAGGGCAGTAGTATGGGCTTCCTGCCACCCTCCCCGTGTGGTCAAACACAGTGCTGGCAATCACTGATCAAGTAGCACTGCCCCACTGGACCTCGATTTCCACTTGAGCTAATTTAAAGACTGCAATCAAATTGAATAGAAGAAACCAAACACATTTCTATCTTTACATTCCCAACTAATGGGCTTCACCTTCCACACAACCCAAACTCCTGGGTCCAGACCGTCACTTGGACACACATCCAGGATTCCTCTTATTCCGAGACGTTACCTCATGTGAAGGGATGATCACGTCAATGCCCAAACCCGTAACACAGCAGCAGCAGCAGTGGTTGAGACACCTCTGGGCCTACACCTGTCCCCCAACCCTGTTGCTCCTTTCTCCCTCCAGGACTCCCCCCCCCTCACCCCCAGACCCTCCGCTCTCTCTGCGGGCCTCGGGCCTGCTTTCACCCTGAAGCCTCGCCGTTGCCCTAAAGCCTCGCCCAAGATACCCACCTTTCCCGGGAACGTTTCCTCTTCTTCACAAACGCCATCGCGGCGGCGAGAGATGGAAACACCAAAGATTGTCCGATCCTCCCCTTCCCCTCCCCCTCCCCCCTCCCCGGCCTCAACCCCTCCCTCCCCAGTCCCTCCCATCCCACCCCCCTCCCCGGCCTCAGCCCCTCCCCCTCCCCGGCCTCAGCCCCTCCCCTTCCCCAGTCCCTCCATCCCACCCCCTCCCCGGCTCACCCCCCCCTCCCCGGCCTCAGCCCCTCCCCTTCCCCCAGTCCCTCCCTCCCTCCCCCTCCCCGGCCTCACCCCTCCCCTTCCCCAGTCCCTCCCTCCCTCCTCCCGCCTCAACCCCTCCCCCTTCCCCAGTCCCTCCCCTCCCACCCCTCCCCTCCCCGGCCTCAGCCCCTCCCCTTCCCCAGTCCTCCCTCCCCCTCCCCGCCTCCAACCCCTCCCCTTCCCCAGTCCCTCCCATCCCACCCCCTCCCCGGCCTCAGCCCCTCCCCTCCCCGCCTCAGCCCCTCCCCTTCCCAGTCCCTCCATCCCACCCCCTCCCCGGCTTCAACCCCTCCCCTCCCCGCCTCAGCCCTCCCCTTCCCCAGTCCCTCCCTCCCTCCCCCTCCCGGCCTCAACCCCTCCCCTTCCCCAGTCCCTCCTCCTCCTCCCCGGCCTCAACCCCCTTCCCCAGTCCTCCCTCCCACCCCCCTCCCCGGCCTCAGCCCCTCCCCTTCCCCAGTCCCTCCCTCCCCCCTCCCCGGCCTCAACCCCTCCCCTTCCCCAGTCCCTCCCTCCCTCCTCTCCAGCCTCAACCCTCCCCCTCCCCGGCTTCAACCCCTCCCCTCCCCGGCCTCAACCCCTCCCCTTCCCCAGTCCTCCCTCCCTCCCCGGCCTCAGCCCCTCCCCTTCCCCAGTCCCCCCTCCCACCCCCTCCCCGGCCTCAGCCCCTTCCCTTCCCCAGTCCCTCCCATCCCACCCCCCTCCCCGGCTTCAACCCTCCCCCTCCCCGGCCTCAACCCCTCCCCCTCCCCCGGCCTCACCCCTCCCCCTCCCCGGCCTCAGCCCCTCCCCTCCCCGGCCTCAACCCCTCCCCTCCCCAGTCCCTCCCATCCCACCCCCCTCCCCGGCCTCAACCCTCCCCCTCCCCGGCCTCAGCCCCTCCCCCTCCCGGCCTGCCCCTCCCCCTCCCGGCCTCAGCCCCTCCCCCTCCCCTGCCCCAGTCCCTCCCCCTCCCAGGCCTCAGACCCTCCCCCTCCCCGGCCCCAGTCCCTCCCCCTCCCAGGCCTCAGCCCCTCCCCCTCCCCGGCCTCAGCCCCTCCCCCTCCCCGGCCCAGTCCCTCCCCCTCCCAGGCCTCAGCCCCTCCCCCTCCCCGGCCTCAGCCCCCTCCCCCTCACCATCCCTCCCCGGCCCCAGTCCCTCCCCCTCCCCGGCCTCAGCCCCCTCCACTCCCGGGCAGCCCCTCCCCCTCCCAGGCCTCAGCCCCTCCCCCTCCCCGTCCCTCCCTGGCCCCAGTCCCTCCCCCTCCCGGCCTCAGCCCCTCCCCTCCCCAGCCCCTCCCATCCCCGGCCTCAGCCCCTCCCCCTCCCGGTCCCTCCCTGGCCCCAGTCCCTCCCCCTCCCAGCCCCTCCCCCTCCCCGGCCTCAGCCCCTCCACCTCCCCAGCCCCTCCCCATCCCCGGCCTCAGCCCCTCCCCCTCCCCATCCCTCCCCGGCCCCAGTCCCTCCTCCTCCCCGGCCTCAGACCCTCCCCAGCCTCAGACCCTCCCCCTCCCCAGCCTCAGACCCTCCCCCTCCCAGGCCTCAGACCCTCCCCCTCCCCGGCCTCAGTCCCTCCCCGGCCTCAGACCCTCCCCTCCCCTGCGGCTCCCCAGGAGGAGGCTGCACTAATTGTGCTGAAGCTCTTGTAGGTCAGGCAGTTCTGTGACCTTCGATCTCCGATATGGTGCAGAGACCTGCCAGTGATTTCGGAGAGTGTCTGTCTCCTGGTGACCTGGTCCACAACCCCCCCCCCCAACCTTGTCATGTATTTTGTTTGGGTCAGCCGGGTATCTGACATTTGTGGAAACCTATCACCGTGCTTAAGAGCATCCAAACCAAACTGGAGAATTCCGTGCCTCCCACCTACACATGCAAATCCCAGCGATAGATTGTCGGAATGGAATACACACTCTCTCCTTAGAGGGATGCATCCTGCTTCCCTAATTCTGAAGAGTAATAGGCGCAACCTGGCAAGAGCCAAAGCTTGGAAACCCCCAGAATGTATGTTGGAGTACAGCTGGAGCCTATTGAGAGCACTACCTGGCAAGCTTTCCTGCTGCTTGTCCACCTCCTTGCCCCACTACTCGCCGATATCATTAACCTCTCCATGTCATCTGGCACTGTTCTTCAAAACATAGTAACGGATCCCGGGGCTGAGCCAGGGGGAGGGGGAGGAAGGTGACCAAAGGCGCGGTCGAAAAGAAAGGTCTTCAGCAGAGACCTGAAAATGGGAAGGGAGGGAGGGAGGGAGGCGAAGGGAGTGAGGAAGGCAGTTCCAGAGCTTTGGGGATAGTGGCTGAAGGCACAGCCACTGAGGGTGGAGCGGAAGACTCGGGGGACAAGGAGGAGGCCAGACCCGGAGGAACGAAGGCAACGGGTACTGTTTTGAGGAGAGAGGAGGTCAGAGAGGTAGGGGGTGCAGAGGAGTGCAGGGACTTGAATACAAGGATGAGGATCTTGAAATCGATCCTCTCTAGGATAGGCAGCCAGTGCAATCTGGCAAGGACTGGGGTGATCAGGGAACAGAGTTTCGTGTGGGTGAGAATGCGGGCGGCAGAGTTTTAAATTATTTGGATTTTATGGATGGTAGTGGATGGGAGCCCAGCGAGGAGGGCATTAGAGTAGTCCAACCAAGAGGTGACAAAGGCATGGACCAGGGTTTCAGCGGCTTTTGGGGAGAGGTATTGGTGGAGACGGGCGATGCATTGAAGGTGGAAGAAAGTGGTCCTGGTGAGGGACCGGATGTGGGGGAGGAAGGATAATTGGAGGTCTACCGTACCATCTCAAATCTCCCTTTCCAATCCAAGGTCCTTGAGAGAACCGTTGCCTCCGAGCTTTGCTCTTTCCTCTCCTCTCACTCCCTCCATGAACCCCTCCAATCGGGTTTCTGTGCTGCCCACAGCACGGAAACTGCTCTGGTCAAGGTCACAAACGACATCCTGACCATGTGTGACCAGGGCTCCCTCTGCCTCCTCCACCGCCTCTCCTCCCACCTCAACCTTCAAGGTTCTGTCCTTGACTGGTTCAGGTCCTACCTTTCACATCGTCTCCATTTCGTCGCGGCAAACAGTTTCTCCTCCAGCCCCCGCAATGTCTCGTGCAGTGTTCCTCAGGGCTCTGTCCTCAGTCCCCTCCTCTTCACCCTCTACATGCTCCCCTTTGGTGACATCATCCACAGACATGGGATAAATTTCCACATGTATGTGGATGACACCCAGCTCTACCTCTCTGCCTCTACCCTGAACTCCAGGACTACTGAGGTCCTGACCGACTGCTTGTCGAACATCAAGTCCTGGACGAGGGCCAACTTTCTCCAACTCAATGTCAGCAAGATTGAGGCCTCCTGATTGGCTCAAGCCAGCACCACTGCACCTCAGGCACTGGCAGCATCAGCCTCCACGGCTGCACACTCAACCTCACTAAGCCAGTCAGGAACCTGGGTGTCTTGTTTGACCCTGAACTGTCCTTTCTCCCCCACATCCACGCCATGACTGGCACTGCCTACCACCACCTCCGCAACATTGCTAGACTCTGCCACTGCCTCACCCTTCAGGCTGCTGAGACACTCACCCACGCATTCGTCACCTCAAGGCTTGATTATGGGAACTCTCTCCTCATCGGCCTTCCCAACTCTTCCCTTCACAAGCTGCAGATCATCCAAAACTCTGCAGCTCGTGTACTCTCACGCACCAGGCTCCACGACCCCATCACTTCCACCCTCGCCCGACTCCACTGGCTCCCCATCCCCCAGACGATCGAGTTCAAGATCCTCGTCCTCACCTTTAAGGCCATCCATGGCCTTGCCCCTCCTACCTCTCTGACCTGCTGACTCCCTACCAACCTGCTCACTCCCTCCGCTCATCAGGCTCCGGTCTGCTCCATGTCTCCCGCCGACCCGCCCTACCATCGGTGGCCGGGCTTTCAGCCTCTCTGCCCCCACACTCTGGAACTCCATCCCATGGTCCCTTCGCCTCTCTTCCTCCCTTGCCTCCTTCAAGGCCGGTCTCAAGACCCTTCTCTTCAACCGTGCCTTTGGTCTCCCTCCCACCTCTCTGCCTTCCCCCACCCCTACACCACCCCTCCCCCATGCTCAGGCCCCGATATCTGACTGTTCAGCCCCATGGGATGTCCTCCCGACGTGAAAGGCGCTCTACAAATGTAATTTTATTGTTGTTGTTAGGGCTTTGGCTTACAGGGTTAATTGGAGCTGAGTGAAACGAGTCCCTGCCCCCAGTGACTGGTCTGCCCTTCCAAGTCCTGCCAATGAGCCAAGCTGGCTGAGCTGTCCTGAAGTATCGCAAAACTGCTTGGTTCAATAACTGGACTACGGAGACTTCCACAGAGAGTTGACTTGATTCTAACATTCCATGCCAAACATGTCACTTTGGAGCCAGTTCAGCTCCAAGGAGACCCTGTTTTATCTCCCAACCCCTCCTCCCCCCGGGAACGTAGTTACTAGTTGATCATTTGATATTCGACAAGTGTGGGTTTGAGGGCTGCAAGTTATGAGGAGATACTGACATAGCTGGACTTGTTGAAATGCTGAGATTTTCAGATTGTAAGAACGGTTTGGTGAAGAAGGTCTTTTGGCTCATTTCATCTTATCCTTCTAACTTCTGGACATTCTGTTGATCTGGTTCTTACATCTCCCTCTCAATCTTTTTCATTATAAATGTAATGTAACAGACTGTAAACCCAGAATTGCAGGTTTAAAATCAACAAGCCTCACAGAAGCTTTTTCCACAGATAATAGACAGGGTGATTTAACATCTTGAAAAATTAAATGGCTATATATCTGGTTGATTGAAGTAATCAAATACTTTCCAGGTTAGGATGACTGTCGTGTTGTTGA